AATTAGATCCTAGTCACTCCTGTATCCTCTGACAGCATCCTCTTCGGGATACTCCGCTATGCTATCTTCTGTTCCCTATTTTTTTAAGAGCTACCTGGGACTTCCTTGTCTCTCACCGAGCCATAGGAACGCGCCTTTCTTTCTTCCCAGTCACTTTGTTACCTCTCGATGAGAAGATTAACGATAATTCCAAATTATCCAGCCACTTCTTTAAGGTTCGTTCGGTGCCACAATAGGAATCCGACGTACGTTCGACAGATTACCTATGCCGTATTCCCAATAGCGAAAAACAGTTCCCCTCAAAATACCTCAGCATACTGCCAGAAAAGCATCAGTGGCATGTAAAGTTATCATGCACATGTTATGGGGGCAATATGCGGGAATATGATGCTTTTAGCTATAAGGGATCGTCTAAGAATTATCCCCAAGGCTACAAGGGGATACTTTTGACTTCCGTGATATCGTGCAATTTTTTATCCACTAATTTGGACGTCGAATGATTTATTTTGATTGAATGAAAAAAAAGAAAGGATACGTACCTACAAGCAAGCTCCGCTATTATTCGATTTCGATTCGCGTCACGAATCTGATCTGGGTAATCCGTCGAGGGTATATGAGGGTAATCAGTCAGCTCCGGGGTTACGTTATAGATGCGATCTAGCGGCGCACCGTCGTGCCGTGTGAGGGATCGCTTTCATTTGCATCGACCGTGCTGGGAATAATGCATATTCCGCATTAAGCTTCCACTTTTCGAAAGCCCGACACCCACTTTTCCATAGAGTGTATAAATACGTATGCACGGCCCGTGAGGTCACCTGGACACCTACCTCGCGTACCTCTCGTATTCAATACATCAATATGTTTAACGTGCGAAAGGTTCCTTCGCCTGGAATGCATCATCCTCTTGGTAAGCCTAAGAGCGTACAAGAGAGAATGTAAAATTTTGCGAAAATCAGGCATAAAATGCTTGAACGACATTCCCGAGGCATTTCTCTCCGCGCGGTAAGGCCTTGAAATGCAGAAATAAGGTAAAAAGTAAAACAAGCGAAATATCGAAAGAGAATAAGAATTTATGAAGATACTCGCTGCTGGGACCCATTAAAGACTTTATTTGGACTCTGAACAATGAGGACGATCAGTCGAAGGGACTAAAAGTATCGGCGGGATCGATTGGAAGGTATCGCCCCGGTATTCGAGATGGTCAACGGTTGACCATGGAAGATCGGTCCACTTAAGTCCAATGAAGGTTTTATGCGTTCCGTAACAGTTTTAAGAAATAATAATAAGAAGAGGGAGATCAAGTCGACGATTATAATAAGCATAGTCGATCTGGTAGGAGGGCGAGTGTTAAAGAGATAGATTAAGAGAGAGAGAGAGAGAGTACATTTATATATATAAGGAGTCAAAGAAAAAAAAAAGGTACGAGAGAGCGAGGAGCTGTAGAAGCGAGAGAGGAGCCGTAATAATTGATCGTAAATATAACAAACGAGCTCTCGGACGCGGCACGGGTATGCATGTCGCCAGTCACTCCTATAAACATGCTAATGGCGGTTCCCGATAATAAGTTAGTGGTCCGATAGTCTACCTCCGTGGCACCTGAGTCCAGTGTGTGTCTGCAGGCTCTCTAGGTACCCACGTATAGGTATACGCGGGTCCGTGCTTTACAGGCCGATGCGTCCGACTCGGGGACCCGCTAACGGCCCCAAGGACCGACCTGGAGCCGAGGGAGAAGGGTTAGTAGCTCTTGTAACGCTATCGACCCTGTCGCTGTACATCACGTCGACACCATCCTCTAGTCGGCTCATTTCAGCCCGAGTTGGTATAGCAGTAGGAGTTGGCTTCTGCGCCATTACTCCAGTGCTCAGGCACTACGTTGCCTGATGTCTCTATAACCACCAGCAGATATACAGAATTAACGTCTCAATAGTATCCGTTGAATATTTTTACCATTTTTTTCACATCTATCAATTATTTCTCCAGCCTCTACCTCGCACGGCGCACTCAGAACTCCAGCATAAGGATACCAAGTCTTCGTGCCAGCCGGACCCAGAGCGCCTCTATCCCCAGTAGCCACCAAATGAAATGAAGAAGGTTAGATAGAAGGGGATGAAGACTCGGATGAAGAGAAGTACCGGGACGAGCCAATTAGCCACGTTCGAATGCTCAGGTACCTTATAGCACGGCTTCGTCGTCGCTTATAAGTGACCTGGAAAGCTTCCGGAGCCCGATGGCTGGGGACATTACGGGGACCAGGGACAGACGGGACAGAACACAGGGCAGGACCCTATCTTATCCGGGGAGAAGTTTATAGCCCGGTCGACTCTAATTGGGCGAGAAATCATCGGGCACTCCTTTCTCCTGCGCGCAGTCAAAGACGCCACTAATTCACGATCGCCGCGCGTTATTGCCATCCGCGGCACTCTCTCACTCGTTCGCTCTCCTATTCGCTCTTTTGCTCTCTATAGATACACACTTCTCTCTCCCTCTCTCTTCCTCTCTTTAACGTCTCCTTCACTCTTCCCTCCTGCTCCGTCTCGCTCCAACCTTATCCAATTCCAGCCCTTGACTAACTTGTCACCCTCTTCTTTTCTGTCTTATGTTAGTTCGATCCGTGTCCGCCGCCTCCCGTTCCTGTACCACCTCTTGTCCAGCTCGGCTTCCAAGTACATTCCTACGCACTGCCTATCGCAACTCCCTACACCCGCGCTCTACACCCTCGAGCTGCTACGTATTCGCATACCTGTCCCGTGTTACCTTGCTACCTACCTATATCCACCATCACCACGGATTTTCACGCATTCATACTTTGCACGTATCCCAAGATAGCCGCAGCGGCGCCCCTGCTGCTGCTCACTACCATACCCGTCACTAACAGGACTAACACGTCATCGATGTCAGCACCCTTCTAGGGTATTCTCAAACACGCTGCTCAGGATAACGACTCTGTCTCCCCCAGGCAGCGTGCTAATAGTCCCTCGTATATACCCTGGAGGAGCAGCGGCGCACCGGAGAGTAAGTTGCACGTGGGTGTTGGTATACATATATATATATATATATATAAAAGGAATGAAAAAAAGATATAGATATAATGAAGACGAGGAAAAAGATATACCCCCACGGTGGGTATAAGTGCGTATGCGCGTGCTTGCGTGAAGAAGAAAGAGTCCAAGCATGTAAATTCCATTGAGAGTCCTCGGTAGTCCACGGAAGCGGTACGCGATACCCATCATACATACGTTTCCCGGTAATGTCGGTAAATCGGTAGGAGCAATAAGAGGGGAAAAAACGAGAGACAGATAAAAAGAAGTGGCAAGAGAAGAATGATCGGGGGTCCGCATAAGAAGAGAAAGGGTAGCCGCATCTCGCGGAGCCATATCTCATTGAGAAAGGAGGAGGTGACTTTAATGTAGCCCGCGTCCCGTGAGCAATCGCGCTGAGGCACCCGACGTGCCGGTAAGAGTAAGATCGTTAATCTTTCCGCGCCGATCGGTCTCAGATAGTAATTGTTACGTTCTCGTTCTCGCGCCTGACTGCCTTGCCCTGCCTGCCCGAGTTGTTCTACCCCGCCGGCTGGCTGACTTGCTTAGTCCCTTTACCTTTCTTCTTGCCTCATGCTCCGATCTTCCACCGAGCCCTCTTCTTATTCTTCTCTTCTTTTCTTCCACTTCTCGACCACCTTCTTCTTCTTCTTCTTCTTTCTCCTTTCTCACATGGATCCCTGCTCCTTGTTCTCCTTGTTCAGGACTGTTGCCGTTTCCAGGGTGCTTCTTTCTTTTGTAAGTGGGAGTGCCGACGAGAGACCACTCACCCACCACCGGTGTTAATGCCTTTGGCAAGTTTGTTCGCATTACGATGCGGTCGATCTCTCTCTCTCTCTCTCTCTCTCTCTGTCCACCCCTTTTTAGCTGGAGGGAGACTACATAAATTTCAAGCTCGCGGTCTACTTCTCTGTCTTCGAGTCAACCCTTCGAAAGCACACCCTCGAGAGTGCCTCGATTATACTCCGAGAGAGAGAGAGAGAGAGAAAGAGAGAGTCTTGTCGTTACCACTGCGTCCGTTTGCTTCTGTCTTTCTGCATTCTAGCTTTCCTTCTCTTATTCTTCGCTTGTCCTTCACAGTTTTCATGGACCACGGGATCTTTTATCTTGCGCCAGTGGCGAAGGCGCTGTACACGCTGGGAGAGGACATGGATATCGTGAGAAAACGGGAGTCTCTCGGGAACCAGTTTTAAAGCGTGTTCTGGACGTTGTGGAAAGGTAATGTCGATCGACCAGCCATTTGATTCGACTAGCTTTATATACCTACGTATATCTGGTCTCTCTTCTTTCTCTGGGTATAACGATAACGCTGCGTGGACGTGCGTGATTTTGTGTTGGGGATCATCCGAAAGTCATGCGATATATGGTGGATATTTACAAACGATTCATTTAAATTAAAAGTTTTAACAGGACATCGTACAGAAGTACCTATTGGTACGTACCTACCTACATTAATTGTGTATCTTATACCTACTAGTATAGTGCTACTCTCTAGTGCTTCTGCTAAGGGACTAGTTCCGAATGAGTTTCATTAAACGTTTCTCATTGATAAATAGACGCGCATCTGGCTCTCTTTCAGGTAGGTAAAAAAATGACAAGGATGAGACGGTATCGAGAACCTTCAGACCAACGAGTGTAACGAGGATGCACGTACACCTCGTCATCCTGTACAAAGTTAAGAATTCTAGATTTTAGTTAAAAAAAAATGGTCCAGCCAGTAATCAATGGAACAGCTACAAGTAATTGTACAAAAGTAACTTTGTGAATTGATGGATATCGAACGTGTTCTCGAAGTAGTCTCCCTTGCATGGAATACAACGTGTACCAGGATGGAGAAGGATCTGGCGAGCACTGAGACTCCTCGGACTACTTATTACAGTGACGCATAACATTGATTATCGGTAGGTAGTGATAGGTAATAGAACTATAGGACAATAGTACTGGTAATAGAAACAGTAGTCGTAATAGTAATAGCAATAGTAACAGTAGTAGCTTTAGTAGGTACTAATATTATAATAGCCATAAAGTAGATGCCAGACGGCAATAATACACAGCATGATAATTCATGATCATCCATATCATCGTCATTGACGTTAGAGTAATTCACAAGATCATCCACAGTATGTACAGACGACAGTGGGTCCAGAAGGCCTTTGTGCTCAGCGGTCGTGTTTGGTGAGTTCCAAGGGTTGCTGATCAGTCCAGTGATCTCTCCATGCTGCGGGCGGCGAGGGTGCATCCTGATCCGAATCCTGAACGTCGATCTCCTCGTCCTCGTCGTCGACGGATTCGAGTTCCATCCTAGAATCCGTCCCAGGTCTTTGACCGAGACCAGGCCCCGTTCTCGACGTGGGTGCCGCTGTGGGACTCGGTGAGGAGCTGTCCCCAACGAGCTGACTGATCATCCTGAAGGCACTGGGTTTTCTCTCGGGAAGCGTTTGCGAACGCGTTATGGACTCGATCCTATCGACCCTTTCCAAGAGGGGTGTCGCGCCAGTGACGACAGCGCGAAATGCACTATTTTCGCCTCCCATTCCGCCTATGGAGGAGGAGTTCGTGGTACGGGAGCCTATATCCACCAGGGAATTCGCGGACGCGGAATGCAGCGGCTGCGGCTGCGGCGGTGGCGGCGGCGGCGGCGGCGGTGGCGAACGCTTTAAAAGGTTCATTCGCTGATGGCGCCGCCACTTTGCCCGTCTGTTGGAAAACCAAACCTAAGAGTCACGAGGGTCGTTAGAAAGGTGATCGGTGAGAGTGCGCACTACTGGGCCTCATGGGCCTCATCCTCATAGTCGGATTGCTATAGTAGTTACCTGAACACGTGCTTCGGACAGAGACGTCTTCGAGGCCAGTCGCTCTCTGGTGGAGACGCACGGATAGTGCGATCTCTCGAACTCCTTTTCGAGCTCCTCCAACTGTTCGGGACTGAAGGTCGTGCGATTCCGACGGAACTTTGGCTGCTCCGAGCCGTCCAGACTCCCATCGTCGCCTTCGGCTTCTGACAATAAATTATAAATTTTCAAAACAGGCCTTTCCCATCAGACTCACCCTATAGTCAAATACACTTAGATCCACGGGGAAGCGTCGATCGTTTTTCAAGTATCGAAATTACGTATAAACCTACCGTGCAAGTATCCACGTGCAATAGCATCGGCAGCGTGCAGAGCATGCTCGGGACTGCCGGTAATATTAGCGGAAGCCGCGGCAGCTGCAGCGGCGGCCGCAGCGGTGCCAGGGCTGAGAGACGGCGGAAGAAGAAGCGCAGAAGCGGCACCGGAGATTCCTGTTGGCAACGGCGGTAATACCCAGGGATGTCCAGGACCACCAGGAGCGGGCCATCCGGCCGGTAGATGATGCGACGAGGAGGGATGATGCGCGGAATTAAAATAAGGATGCGGAGCAGCCGCATATAATCCATATCCGGCCGCCCTGGCGAATTCCGCAGCTGCTCTCTCCGCCGCACGATTCCTCAGTATCCGGTTGATACTGCTGACCGACGGTGCTGTGGCGTTGCTGCATACGCCTATAGGAACCACCCTCGTTAAGAAAGTCATCCCTTAACATTCTGAATAATCGTTAGGTCAAAAGACACGCTCACCCTCCGATATAAGGCGCTCCCTTATCTCCCAGGCGAAGATCGTTGGGTTCTCACGTTTGTACTGCTCGATTTTGGCTACGACTGCGGGCGTTGCTACCTTTGGTTTGCTACCGCCAATCAGACCAGGAGGACGTAGCGTTCCTGTAACCGAGTTCCCGTGACAATTGTTATGACGAGGAGAATACGACGCAGGGTCAAAGGCTCTTTGAACTGCAGAGAAGGTACCAAGAGATGCAAGAGGAATGGAAGGAGGATCGTGAACCGGCACGAAGTCAGCTAATGGCCCAAGGACGCGAAGACGTGCACGTTCTATGCAAACTTCATGCAGGTTTCACTGTAAGCTTGCGACTACTTTCTAAAGCTACTTCGTGATTTTTCCCAACGAAGTGGTCATTGTCGACGCGGTGGCGCATTGAGATTAATTAAGGTGAAGGATTTTCTTAGCGTAGACATTTTTCTAATACGTCTTCGGCAAGGTCACGAACGAAAATTCCCAGGACTGAGGGACGTCGCATGAAAGAGGGAACAGTGGCTCACCTGTTTGTCCAGTACATCGCTGAAGGATGTGAGATTCACGTAGTAATGGAAACCAGAGGCGCAGGCAGACTTGAGCAATTATGTGTCGTTACGTACTATTATTAATAACAATAATGAACCTAAAGCCGACAGGGTATATCGCGTGCGCTCCCACGGGTGAAGTGCGTGCCGAGTATAAACGATGTACCTACCTAATAGGTATCCATGCCTGGAGCAAATTCCTTACTTCGACTCTCGTCTTCCTTTGTTTGCTCGTATTTCATATAAAATTTCGAACACGCATTTAATAAAAGAAATCACACGCACGCGATTACGCGCTGTTCGAGCTTAGGCATACTGGACCTTCCTAACTTTTGGGGTTAATCGTAGCCTCCGCGAACGTTAGTCTCCACGTGTAGTTCGTTATCTGACGAACGAAGTGTCCTCACTATGTGTATTACTTATTCCGTGGTGAAGTCATTACCAAGGTAAGCTCGTGGCACGGCGCTGCGAACGATACAGCCAAACAGTTCATGAAAACTGGACGCTTAGGATATATACCGAACGAGGTGCTTACGTAGATGGCAGCACTCGCAGCATTCGTCCCTCCAATCCCGTCCGGATTAATTGTCCCAGCCGTTAAGTAATTGGCTGACTATTACGGCGCGTTATATTCACCCGGGTGAGGCTAAGGAGTCAGTATTTTTAAAATGAAGACATTACCGGGAGGCGAGCGCGCGGTCGAACGGTATTTTTACGAGCGGCTCGTAAAGTTAACGAGGAGCGAGGCGGCCCGCGAAGCAACCAGGACTCCTCGATCCTCGAGCCTGATGCGTCCAAGTTCCTGCAACGGCAGTCAGCGCTGCAGCCGATACCCACATATCCTTAGTCCCGGTGCAACCTCCACTGCAACCGAGCCCGTCATTTTTATTACTTAGTTCGCGTACACTCCGCACCTCGTTCTCTTTATTTCTTCACCTTCTTTCTCTCATTTCATTCTTGTGCCACTTCGTTTCCACTTTTCTGCTCCGTCTTACAATTTTCTCTTCTTTTATTTATTTTTCTTTTTTATTTTATATACCTCGACCTTCGACTCTCCACCGACCATCTTGGTATCCACTTTGTCCACGGTGCCTCTTAAGGGAATCCACTTTCAGCGAACGGCAACTTGCTCGCCTTTTGCTACCTTTTCTCGAATCATGCCGAAACACCTGCTCGAGCTGGCTACCGCTTAACCGGGCTACCGAGATTATTCGTGTTCCCCGGAAGTCCTCGCTGTTCCGGGTGTGCTCCGTGAAATTTCATTTCCTCCAGGTGAGACGATCGTACATGACACGATGATGGTCTTTTCACGCTCGTGCATCCTTAACACTTTGCTCGATAACTTTTATCTCGATTTTTGTGCATTTTTATAATATTCCCAATTTTTGTGTTTTATTCGCGTACTACACGTGTTCCGTATTAAAATTCAACGAATACGATTTCATTATCTTTCACTTCAAACTTTCCAGGATTACTTGCAATTAAAAAAAAAACACAATAATTATTGTACAAAAAATTCTTTAACGTCTTCTCGCACGTTTCCATTCCCCGACATTAAATTTACGTATCTCCGATATTGGTAGGACTGTTAGGTCAAATTAGCCCAAACGAGGGAGCCATCAATGAAGATAAAACAGCCGGTGCCTAACTTGGCTGGAGCTAATTCTCATCAATTCCCAAAACAGTGATGGTCAAAGTGGCACCGAACAGGTACCAGTCGCGATATCCAGAGCATTAACGGAGTGGTTGTAACGTAGGAGCCTAAAGTTTCCAGAGAGTGGAATGTAGAGCCACGCCATTATCTACACCCAACGTGGCAAGCATCGTGTCCGACAATAAACCCAATTATTATCAAGACGCAATTACCATTTGATCCTCGAACGTCGCACGGATCAAGGATACGTTAGCGATTGACTTGCTCTCATAAATACGTAAATTGATTTCTTTCAAAGCAAAAACCACCACCCTTTCGCTACCAGAGAAGCACGAGGTACGCCCGATAAAGATAACCCCAAAATTACTCACCCAAAAGCTTCGTGACCACCGCACCCTGCTGGTTCAACGACAGCACGTGATTGGCCAGGTCGTTGTAATGCCGCAAAGCTCCAAGCCCGTGCGATATCTCCAGCAGTCGTTGCCTGGAGGTGCCGCCATTTGTAGCGCTAGCAAACGGGCTGCCAGCGCAGTTCTGCAAGCTAACTCCTGCCGATGAAAAATTAGCATTAAACGAACGTCAAGAATAAAGAGAATTCGAAATAATAACACATTATTTTATTTATCTTTATTTCAGCTTAAATCAGTCATAAGTTAGGTTAGGTCAAGCCTGACGGGACATACAGGTCCAATCCGAATACTACTGACTACATGTAAAAGACCCCGTGGCTGATTTGCCTCGAGTCCGTAGGTGCTTCGTGTTACAGGAATTCGAATGTTATCACTGGGAGCATCGCTAACGCGGTACAATTTTTGTTTTTCGATCTCTTTCTCCCACCTTCTCTCTGTCTCATTCGACTCAATCTTCCCCCGTTTAACTTTACTCGCTTTTACTCTCATTCTTATTTCCCATCCACTTGGTCGCTACTCGACTCGTCGTCACGACGAATCGTTATTTACGGCGTGATAATTGCAACGAGCTCAACGGTGGCTCCGGCGATTTATAGGCTTGCTCGCGGCAGCCACTCGCCCGTGCTAATCGGCCAAATGTCTGGAAGACACGAGAGAGATTATCGGTTCGTGTATACAGTATATACGTTAGTATAGGTAGGCGGACTACCGATGACGGAGTTTAGGTTGGGTCAGGTCAGACTAGGTTAGGTTTTCATGTTATCGGTGGAAACAAAAAAGAACGGCAATGACAAAGGGAGTGAGAGCGAAAGAGAGGAAAGAGGCTTACAACGCCTTAATCTTGGCTGTCGGCCAATTTAAATGCACTTTTGATATACAGCGTATAAAACGGAATTTGGTTCTTTACGAAGGACAATAAACTTGTCCACCGTATAAATAATCGGAGATCCCGGTACAGTCGTACGTATGCAGAGTTTACGGAGGAAAGATGATAATGAGACGCGGGTTAGTCGCGCAAGCTAAGTGAAAGGTTAATGCACGAGAGAAACGGACAAGACGGATTGAACGTTAATCGCGAGTGCATCTTTCTGACTGTAAGTGACAAGTCTGCACTCTGATTTTGATTAGAGCGTCGATATGTTTTTACCTGGGAAGTTCCTTCATGTGACAATGCAGTTGGTATCACTTGATAGAACATATATTTATCCTGGTTCAAAACAAGGATGCTTATTCTTTATAATTATATTCAAGCAGGAGACAGTAGACGATAAGGAAGCAGCAAGTAGGATTTTTAGTAGGATTCTCAGTGAATATTTCATTCTTCAAATGAAGGATCCCGACGTCCTCCTACCTCAGTATTGTTTGGTAGGTGTCTAGGCAAGACCCTGAACCTACGAAGTAAAATTTCTAATAGGGATTCTAATGCACTGGGGATACAGGAAAAACGACTTGTCGGTGATAATACATTTTTATCTGAGAATAATTCTTCTTAATTCTCTCTAAAGTTCATTGCTGGTACCCAACATGCAATGGAGCTCAAACAGCACAGGAATCCTGAAGTCATCTTTAGGACGCCTAAGGAGAAAAAAGAACCTCTGTCGAATGACACGTCTTAAAGACGACTTTTGGACTGTACGTGTTGTCTGGGTAGTGTCATCAGCATCATCAGGATCACATCCAGCTACGGTATAAAGACTGTGCCGGTAACCTCTACTTGCGTATTTCAATCCCTTCGGTAGTCAATTTGCTTCGCTCATGGCGACCGACAGAGGATTTATCGTCGCTGCGGAGCAAAGTGATAAAACCCGCTCGACGTCTAAGAAGGAGGCAGGACTGTTGACGGAATTGGAAGCGGTCATGAGGGATAAAAGAAATAAATAAAATTTAAAGGCATTCTTTGCGTCTCTTCGTCTCTTCCTCAAATCAGGATGAATCCAAAGCGTGTCTCGACGTTTCGTAACGATTTTATATCTGTGTGATAGTTGATCTGATCGAGGCCAGTTCACCCTGTCAAGATGGTTATCGGTAGCAGCCGTGCAAGATAGGATCGGCTGGTAGCGATGGTGGCCGGGAGTCATGAAAACGAAAGTAACCGCTTCTTGCGGAAAGAAAGAAGTTCCTCCTGTCGCTTCAAGAGAAGAAGCGTGCGGCGTCGCGACGTGCCGAACCGGTTTTGATCGAGTATGACTGGTTTCCAGTGCATGTAATGGTTCGCGAACCGGTGAAAAATCCCCAAATACGCAAACCCCTTTGTGATCCGGATCGATTATTCGAAATTCAAAAAAAAAAAGCAACGAATGATAATATACAAGCAGATACCGAGTGTCCGAAATACTGCAGATAACAATCCTGATTCATCTAAAGATATACCAAGATGCTCCGAAAAAATCGGTATCGAAGTTACCCTTAATATCTGTAAAATTTGGAAAATCGTGTTATTGATTAGGAAATTATAAACAAATTTTTTAAATAATCCCTGCGATTCGTTACTATTCATCCGTGCCTAAATGACTGTACAGAGTTCAAAGGTCGCTCTTCTGCTGGATGCATCCTTGCACCGGGCGATGGGGGTGAGACGTGGACGAGGAATGAGGATGACGCCGACGCCAAAGGCGACGACATGTGCGATCCCCTTGGCTTCCATCACTTCGAGAACCATGAAACGTCATTGTCACGCTCGTTTAACGTGCCTCGCTTCCTTGACAATGCCTTTTTTTTTTTTTTTTCAATGGGACCAAGCGATACCGAAGTTCACGGCGATTTTCAACGGACGATCGGTTAACCGAGCTCTATACAATTAACGATAGTCGGATTGTCCAGACTGAACGTAAGAAGTCCCCTGATTACTGGGTGCTAATCGGTACATCTCGATTTCAGTCTACCCACGGTACTTCAGATATAATCGGTACTTAAAGCGAGGGTTAATATTACAACGTGTAAATGTGCTCACAGGTGCGGCCTTCGACCATCTGATTCTTCGGGCTGTAAGGAATTTGAGTCAGTGCTAACAACCCTGTGTAATCCTTAAGTAATACATACGGATATAAAGACCTACCAAGTTTCCATCCATGTAACACGGTAAAGCATTATAGATAATAGAACTAGGGTCAACGATAAAAATCGTATTGGGTGTCGTCGCTCTTTTGGATTCTCCTTATCAGGTTGATAAATTATAAAAAAAAGTGCCATCCAAAGATCGACGAAACCCATAGAAAGACACGCGTTCGTATCGAGTATGTGAGAAACCGATATACTGGTAATAGGTAGATGCAGAATCGACTAACCATCGATGAGCGGTGCGGGTGGTACGTTGATCTGATGGTGCTGATGGGACGTATGTGGCGTATGGGAATGATGATGAGAGGGATGAACTCGAAGAAGGTGTGAGCGTGATTGGGGTTGGTTGAGCGTCGGCGAAGGAGGTTCCCAAGGACGAGTGACGGTCCCACCAGCACCGGTAGGTCCTTCCTCTTCCTGACAGCATAACTTCCCGCCGACTGTGGTGGTGTTGCTTATGACGTTGTGATTGTCGTTGTTGTTGTTGTTGCTGGTACTGTTGTTGTTGTTGTTGTTAGTGGGCGTACGAGTCGCACCGGTCGCAGGACTGCCACTACCACTTCCACTGCCACTGCCACTGACACTTCCACTGCCACTGCCAATGTTATCAACCACCATATCGTTGATCACCGGCTTGGCAGTCCCTGGAGGTGTCGCGATACCGCCGCCGATCATCATTACCGCACCACCACCACTAGCACTACCGGCGGACCACCTTCGCTAGCACTTACTATACCTCTACCGGTACCACCTTCGCCTTCCCCTATTTCCCCTTCTAGCTCTTCGTACTGGCCCACCACCTCCTCTACCAGAAGCACCAGGGCTCCTCCAGCACCGTCGCCACCTCCACCACCTTCTTCTTCAGCTACGTCGGCTTCTCCTTTGGCATCCGTCGGTGCGCCGTCGCTACCTCGAACGTGTACCCAAGAACGTACCTTGGTTCGAGAACTTTTGCTAAGCTCACGGACGCTTCTGTGCTCTTCGTCATGTACCGCTACGAGACTCGCACTTACGCCCGGAGAAGAGACACATAAAATATCCAGGTGATTCGCTTTTGTATTCCTCAGGTAGGATCCAGTTGGGTCCCTTGTCTCCTATTCCTGATCTTGCTCGGTAGCCTGCCTCGGTCTTCTTCCCTTTTTTCTAGGATCCTTCTCACACTTCCTTGGTCCCTCTTCCCGGCAAAAGGTCTCCTGGCTGTCAGTTCAGCAGATCCGAGTCGCAGAGTCGATCAGTCTTGCCTCCATCGCCGATGATGAACGACACGTAACGCGAACTCGACACACGGTATGCAAAATCCGACGATAAGGGCGCACGCGCAGCCAATACGAAAGTCCACTGAGAGACCTTAGCTCGCTCGTTGTCGGGGTCCGGCAGACGACGTCTCTGGATGGGCCAAGGCTAGTCCAGGCGGCAACGAGAGCACCGCGGCGCCTATGTCTTCTTCTCAGGTATACCGTAACTGCTCGCGCTCCGCCGGATTCGAGCAGATTGGCTTCCGTTCGGTGGTTCGAAGCGCGCCCAGACTGCCTTGCCCCCACCTGTTCGTGCCCGTGTTCTAAAGGTGAGATCAAGATTTAAGGCACTCGGCGACGCTCGCTGGCATTAAGCCGCGGCCTCAGGTGGGGACTCTCGGGGAGAGACCTGGGTAAAGGCCAGCTTGCGCACCCTGGCCGCGCATATACTCTCTTATGCTACGCCTTACGCCTTACGCCTACCGACCATTACCATACGATCGACCAATTGGATGACCTCGTCGACGCCCATCGATCCACGCGAGTCGCCTCGACTCTGGCTCTTGTTTTATCCCTGTCTCTTTATCCTCCTTATCAAGGAACCTTATTCTCCGCTCCTGGATACTTTTCCAACCACCCCTGATACTCGCGTTTCCATACTTTTTCTTGTCCTCTTTAGCCTCGCTGCACCCTATCCTTACCTACCCCTATCGGCCGGGACCAGCTCACTTTTATTTCATTCACCTTTCTTTTCACTGGCACAATGCATAATGGACCCGTATTTCACCTTACTACCCCTCCGCATGCAGATACCACCGACTACCCTTGCAAAATTCAGGGCACTAACTGCCAACGATAAAAACAATCGGCAATTCTCAGATTGTTATCTTTGGGTCAGCCACCTTTTTATATGAGAAATACATTACAGGCACAGACGAAACGGGAAGGACCCTTGGATTAGAATTATGTAAGAAGTATCCTGATAATGCTTGTAGAGCTACGAAGAAATTTTATACGCAGCCACGTTGGGTGGTGTTCGGTAAGAGGGAGGTAAAAAAGCGGGGAAATATCGATCTTTTCGATAACACACGGTTTTCCCCGTAGCACGAGACGGTCACGTTATAAATAATAACCAAGCAGAACCCCCGGTATACGTGTATTTGACGGAATGGCTGATTACGCATTTTGTAATGGCTGCTTTGAATTTACCATTCGTCTGTTCACCATATTCGATCGCATACTTTGTAATAGAAATTACTTATTTTTTCCGTGTCCAACCAAATGCCTCACAATCGGACAAACCGTTCCCATTTGTTGTGCTATTATCACCGTAGACGCTCTTCGATACGTTGGAGCAATAATCGTTTTTCTGTATATATCGCGTACATGCTTGCCATTATGTTTTCCTCGTGGCAAACAGCTTTCGTTGCCTACTATATGACTGGCAAAGTAATCCGTTTCCAGTCACCTTACAATGTGCATGAACGGCACATTCAATGTAGAACTTTTGTTTTCTCATTTAAATGAACGGCGCAACGTGCATTTTATCCTACACACTGCCACTAATTACTAGGTCTATTTATTTCTGCACCGTGACCACAATGCAATGTCTAGATTGGCCGTGTAACCACAGATGCGCGTAGAATCGCTTGTGCAGGTGCCTTGAATAACCTTAAGCAGCTTATTAACAATTGGATCTTCGCCGATGCGCTGAGGTTGTTTGCGAGCTGAGATCTCTCTGGTTTAAGACGTACAGGAAGACTTGACGCATGTACGTGGACGAGGACGGTTTTGCTGGAAAATAAAAGAACATGGAAATCAATAGAAAAGCTTGCATATCGCCTAGTTTCAAACGCGGCGAAGTCACCGCGTACCTTATGCACCTTTTTTATCCATAGAAAATACTCGGAGAAAAATATTTACTTGGTCCTTAATTTTAATCCTGGTATCCGTTTATTGGGAATCTGCAATAAATATTATATAGATTTAATATCGTTGAAGTAAAAAATTGTCTTTATACTTAATTTCGCATCATTCATATTATTCGTACCGATAACAGTTCATTTTTCGAATTCTGTCACCGATCAATTTTTCAATTCAGAAGCCGTCTGGAGAATCTTTTTAATCCACGGATTCTCACCGTAAAGAGTAGTAAGGAACAGCCTGAAAATAGTCTTCCTTTCCGGCCTATATTTTTATACCTCTTCACTGTATACGAGTCTCAGACACAGATTAACGATCCATTATCATTAGTATAACAAAAAGTATTCAAGTTCTGGATAAATGTTGACGAAAAGTATAAAAAAGTTTACAACGAACTTCAGCATTTCAATGGAACAAGCACACGATCGTTTTGACGAAATTTGAAATTCGAATTTTTCACAAAAATTTATCAACCGTCTACCCAATAAAGACATTCTCTTGTAAGATTTCAGGTTCCACGAATAATCGACTGCCATATATTCACAATCAGATATACATAACTAGATGAACTAAATGCGAAACCCTAGAGGGCCGAAAATCCCAAGTTGACGTGACCAATGACTTCTCCTAAGCGATCGAATTAACCGCTCCCACGGTTCAGTCCTGAGGTGTAACAATAGTCGTTATCGGATGTCAGTCGAATAGCCAAGGCATCAATCATTCTTTGAAAAGAATGACCTTGACAATAGTACCAGCTAATGCTGTAATACCCACAGGAGAATTACGCGACTCAGAGCCGTCAAGGCCACTCGATGCCGTGCCATAGTGTGCGTATAACGAAATTAATTAATCGATGGGTTAACGATGCGGTGAAATCTATTGGGTGCTTTCGATTGGACAGGTTCCTATTAATTTGCTCGACTATCCATTAAACAGGTATACCCAAACGGTAGATACGTGACTAGGCTCGTATTCCTTTCACGTGAAGGGGACGGTAAAAAACGGGAGCCGTGAAAACTGTTCATATTTTTTCTCATCTTTTTTTTTTTTATTCCCTCTTCCCCACTCCTCCTCTCGCTCTATCCCAGTATTCCTCTTCTTCTTCTTTTCGACAGTCCCGAACGAAACGTCGATCATCTACGTATCCGCTATCAATCTTTCGAGACAGAATCGTTCTTAGTGATGCAGCGTTTCTTAACTGGCACGTCGAAACGTTTTGGTAGACACCGCGCAGAATCCTTCTCCAGCAGTCATGCCTTTTGTTTCTCGTAGCAAGGATACGATATGCTTACGGCAGTTGGATGGTCCAATGTTGACAGGTACCCAAGTCGGTAGGCTGTGAACCGAAGCTGTGAAGATTTTATATATGAAGAATTGTCGCTGAGAAATGCGATTTATTTCACTGATAACGCATAGCTGCTACTATATGTATATTTTTCGAAAGAGACAATTCTATTATTTTAATTGATTTTTCTTTGAATCCTCAAACAATCAGCAACGTGGATCTGTTTGCACGTCAAAGGAAAAAAAAAGCGCAGTGCACGTGTCATGTGTCAAACGGATGTTTAGACGATTCGATTAGCGCCTCTGCAGATGCATTCGGCGTATGTTTCGTTTCGATTTCATCCAATTGGCACCATTTCTAATTACCCAATTTCAGCTGGTCAATGACCAAACCGCGATCTGCCGATGAATACCACGAGGACCGGGTGCGTGTCTTCCTTGCGGGAACGTTGCCAGTGTTTCTATGGCCGACTTTACCGACTGACCCAGAATCCATGGACCCCGCGAGATCACGCACATCCGCAGATACAGCATCCTGACAGTCCTCGTTTCAATTCCAACATCCAGTTCTGACGTTTTGCCTCGACTTCCTGTGGATGACGGCTCTAGGAGCTACGTAGTTGCGAGTTGACTTTCGTGCCTTCCTGTTGGACGAGATTATATTAAATTAGGACAAAATTAAACGACCGGTATCCCGAGTCAACGTATTTACAGACTCAGGTACCTTTTGTCTGATTTCTCAATATAACTTATTTGAAACCAGAAAATATGAAAAAGCATACCAAGAGCATTTTCAAGTTTCGTCTATTTCTACATAAGGAGTAATGGTACCTGGTCAAACCGATAGCCAAGTCACGATTCTACAGGATGCAATGGGTGAGTGGTTGGTAAAGAATCATAGAGCAACGAAGCCCAGCCAATGACAAGGTCCGGATAAAATTGACGTGGCGATTCCTCCTGCGAGTACACAGAGTGCGTGTCCGGAGGCGATATTCGCAGGTGGAAGTGAAATGGTGCTGATGATAAATCATGCGACAGGAATGAATCGGCTAAATTGCTGCTCGCACGTATCCGCATGCGGTTGCCTCGGGTAGCCCCAGAAGACGGGATAATGTGCCTGTGCCCCGGTGGGAGCGATGAAGGTTCTACCTTGTATACGAAGGTACTGGGAAGAGTGAAGTTAGGCGGGTAGGTAAATGGGTGTGTAGGTAGATTAGGGTAGGCGGGTGGTAGGAAGGTTCAGATAGGTGTGGATATACCCAGGAAGACGGTAGCATAGACCAGGTGGGGTATATACCTGCACCAGAAAGCGGCTGGTAGTTGGTCGGTAGGTATGATGTCCGTCACGCGAGAAGGCGCACGCGTGCTAGTAGCCATTGGTCTATTGATTTCAAGAGAGTCCGAATACGCCAGGGGGACCGGAACGGCGATAGAACGGTTACCGGTATAATACGAGAACCGCACAACCCGAAGACACGGATCCTGCACGGATGGGCGTGGTGTCGATGTCCAAGAGAGTGGGGTCGACTTACTTTTCATTGGGTATCACCAACCGATTGAAACGCCCGTAAACCAGAAAACCAACCATACGTACCTCGTCCATCGTTCCATAGGGTACGTATTCTTGCCCACCGTTCTCTACGCGACAATTCAGTAATGTCGGTTCGATGGTACGTGGGTACCTAACCACGAGCAACCATACCCCATGGTTAAAGGGGGCGTTCGCAACTACCCCTATACTAGGAAATTCGATCGCACACCCACTGGACATTTTAGAATTCACCATTAGGCCAAATATTCGTATCTGTTATATTGAGATTATGTTCTTTTTTTTTCAACAGTCGTGTCCACGTCGGTATAAGTATCACTCTCGTATACCTGGTTTACCTTCTTCGAGTTTTTCATACTTTCGCACCGATTTATCTCTCGTGACTCTTTTTCTCCTGTTCCAATGATTCCATTCGTTCCAGTTCCAGTTGTCGTGCGGCTTGATGCTCGGATACCTGATGTAATCCTGTAACGAACGACGCTCCGTGTATAACCTCGAATTACAGAGAACTGTAAAGAACTTCGAAGGGATTTACATCCAGTGCTTTTATTATCTCAACGGCCTAACGTGTCACGGAACGCGTTGGTATCGTCGATAGGTAAATATAATTGAGTATAGGTATATATACGATTTCTCTATAATATTAGAGTAAAATATTACCTATTCACGTATCTACAAATCCATAGACAATTTCGACCACCAACACCAACAGCGCCGAGGATCGTTGATTATACCTGAAACAGTTATTAAATTTCAGAAAATTCGTAATCAACTCCACCATCCAGATACTCAAGACTTTCTATGTCGGATGTGGCACAAAGTCTGTCTATAATAACCAACTTTCGAACCGTGTACGATTTGCCTATGTCCGCTCCTGATCATTAGTTCCTAAAGTGTCCGCAAAAGGACAATAGCGCTCCTAGCGAATCCAGTACGAAGCGAAGTGCAGCTCGTAAGAACAGTCTCGATTCGTAATATCGATTCGTGTCGACGGATTCATTGTCACCTGTCTATAGCTTCATCGTGTACGATATTCTAGTGTGTTACTGGAATATAGGCGAATAGTCACTAACCAACTTTATATAGGTACGTATACGTAAACATCGCGTTACCCTTACTGGAACACGTATTGCTACGGTTTGCACGATGCGTGCACGAAATGACAGATCGGTTCGAATGCCCTGCTGTTATTCGATGGCTTTCGATCTTCGTAAAATTGGCTAACAGTGTCGCTCAGCTAGCTCGTAGAGAAAGCTGGTCTGCACGCGCGAATTAATGGGATTATTCGTAAACGAAAAAACGGAAAATCCTCTTACGGAGTGCTAGCTTCTTGGATGTTTAACGCTACGGAGATATGGCGATCGGGTTGGCACGATGCGAGTGAGTTTAGCATCGAGGATCGTTGAGCGATGAAAGAGAAGAGAATTTGTTCGAGTAGACAAAAGTGTCGCGATGACTATTGAATTTCTATCGTTTGCCAATGGCTCCAGCCACGTTTCCCTCTCTGGTACCTTAAGGTATTTTCCACGGTGTCGCGTAGTGCAAGGCGATATGGAGGAAGGCTTACACGAAAGACAATAAAAGTGCCGGGCTTGAAAATTCACTGTCATGAAAACGATAATTGCCATACGTGAATATAGCTAGCAGCCCCGGTACGCAACCGACTGCTGACTGCTTGTATAATCGTTGATGATGGTCGACAACAACAGTCAGTAATTAACGACTGCGATGGAGCAATCAAATCACACGGACGGCAATCCTTTGGCCTTTATCGTTTATCCGTGCGTGTTCCTTGAGCTCTCGATCAATATATATTGATCCGTTCTATCGGTCCGATGACGAGGAGATGAATAATTATTCTTTGCTTCCGGGAAGTCTGAAAAAGAGATTAATTATTTAATAATATACGCTCTGAGCACCTGGAGGTTGTTAATGAGTCAAGTAAATCTTGGAGGGGCCATCTTCTTATGGCTTCAACGTCAGAGAGTTCTGTGGATCTTTTACGATTTATGACAAACTGTATGCGTCGCTGTTCGGTGTGCGCGTATCGAATGAAGTTAGCTTGGCTGGTTGGCCTTCTGCGATAAAACCAACTTCACCTTCACAACCTTCAACTGGCACCTTTGAAGAAATTATTGAAGAACCAATTTCTAAAATTAATCTGTACTGCGCTGTGATCGCCTACTACAGAAATTATGGTAAAATGTAAAACTGTAGTAAGTCTATAAAAATACGCTATACAAATCGGATCCACGATTAAAGTCTGTATTTTTGACAACTCAAAGACGATGAAGACGAAAATTCATTATATGTATGTATACGTATATATATATGTATATATGTATATATGTGTATATATATATATATATATCCAGTCGACTATTCTACATTAATAATGAATAACTATGTCACAAAGTTTACATGTGCACGGTTTTAGCACTGACATATATTTTCTTATTTTACCATATATTTCATCGATCCTATCCTATTCTTATCTTATCTTAAAAGATAACAGTGTTTGCGATCTGTCAAAAGTAATAGTTTACTTGTCAACAGACTACAATATATATTAATTACAGCTCTTGTATGTATAGAAATCACATTCCAATGTTACTGGAATTAGAATTTGTTTATCCTGGCAAATCGTGCCGTTTCACGTGTCAAGCTGTATTGAATTCATCACTTACTTATTCATTAAGGCAATATCCACTGTGGCATAGCAGACACATATCTAGTATATAGTAATGCCAGATAGTAAATATAGGTACTTATAGATAGATATATTGGTATAGTCGGTTTCATCACATTCAGCACCGTTGGGTATCAAGGTGCTTATTAGACGAAAAAAATATCAACCGCTCAATCGGAATTATATTGCATACGCACCCTTATAGATATTAACTATATCAACTTGCCGGGATAATACACAATTCGAACAATACGCTGTGGTTTTGCTCCATTTAATATTTTATATGACTGTTGTCTAGGAGCGAACTATAGTACGCAATATGGAGCTCCCATGGCATATATGTATTTATGTACTCTTGTCACAATTGCAACTAGTATATCTATACTCGAAGTGTTCAGACTATAGGACACGTACGCTATTGCAAAATTTGCCAATCATTGCGTTGCGCTAATCAATCGACTGGATCAGGCGTTGAAATATCAGTAAAATAATGCGATTCACAGTTCCGTTGCGGATCGATCGATTCGCATTAAGAAATCTAGTGAAGAAAATTTCAGTCAAGTATTATCATTATAGAATTTAAGTGTAGGAAAAGTCTTGCAACGGTATTGGCAAGTATGGGCAAATATGGGTACAATCTTACTGCTACCTAGATGCAGCATCTACTTGCGGTATAGATGGTAACTCCGAAAATCGTGAGAACGTAATCGTAGATTTAAAAAGTTACGACTAACCGCATCGTAGACTTCGAATACAGTGCAGAAGAATTCGTGAGATGCAATTGAAGTATAACTAATTATTTAACAAGTTTTTGAGGTTAGGAAGACATTGTGATATTTTCCTATCATATTTCCATTGACATTCCGTACCTTTTTCTTAAGCTTTTTAAATGTAGATTCGTTACATTATTCATCATACAACCAGTTTACAGTATTGCCAAAAAAATAAAATAATCGTTACCAAAAGTTCCAAGTTTTATTTTTTATTTTCTTTCAAAATCTAGGTTTTTATAAAAATAAAACTTTGTTCCGCCTACGGTAACACGTGCTCCATCCAAATTTTTCCCTAATTTAAGTAAACCAGTGGAAAACGGTTCGATTAAAGTTTGATTAATCTTCCTAACGTGTGTAACGAAAAAATATATCGATCCTCCGAGTATTAAGACGTACTATGCAATATACAATATATGCAATATACAATATATGCAATATCAAATGAATTGCTTACTACATAAAATAAAAAAATTCTCCGACGTAACAGCAAACGCTAAAAAATCATTCCTTGTCCCTCGGCATACAAAAGTCCCATTCTGCGCGTAGCCAGGTTAAATCGAAAGTTCAAAAATTCCCAAAGGATCCACTAAGCCCTCTATACGCAGACCGAACGATAGCGGAAGTCTTAAGAAAGCATGCAACCAGGTCATCTCACGTGCATGAATTCCTCTGGAGTTTCGCAAGTCTATTTATCGCTCCCACCGAGAGCAGCTGTTTCCGTGAGTATAAAACAGACATTCGCACTCGTCGCTATGATTCTGGTTATTACGTTGGAGAGTCTGCCGGGAGTGAGTTAACCTCGGTTAACCCCCGGTTAACCTCCCCGGCGCGAGGGACGTCCCGTTTACAGGAATCACGCGATACCGATTCTCATCTAGCCGGAGCGAGCTGTCTTATGAAAACGATAACGTATGCACCTAGTCCAACCCTGGCGAATCTAGAGATAGCACAGCCCACCATGAAGATCTGCACCGGGTGATCCTGCAGTAGACACCAGGTACGTGTACGTAGGATAAACCGACTTTTAAATAATCCTTAATGATCCAAGAAGATTGAGGGTCACAGATCAATGGAGTATATAGCCAAAGATAAATAATTTTCTATGGCGTGTATCAAGTCCATGGCCTCTCGTGTACTCGCGGTACTTAAGTGAATAAAAGGCTATCGGTACAAGTAATACGGGTAAGCTATAGCTATGGATCATTAAAGGATTCCATCACGTGTCTTATCGTTAGGTAACCGAATCGGGTAAGGAATCGTGGAGCGCCGATGGTAGCACGCATTAGGGACCGTATAGGTTGGTATACTTCTATACGAGAAGCAACCACCTGTGCGCATAGCTAATACCATATAATAAGGACTCATGCATATGAATTTAGTGGGCCAGTCTACCCGCTTATCGTCGAATCTATCGGAGCACAACACACAGAACGCCAACCCTTTGGATACGCATAATAATGTTTCACCGGGCCGAAGCAGAACCCTGGTTTCGGGCCCAGGCTCGTCATGCGTGCCGTGCGGTATGCCACGGCTGCCAAGAACACCCTGTACCGTGTAGAAGAGATATACGCTACGCTAATATCCGTGGCGACTTCTTATAACCCTAATAATACTTGGAATAATAAAAGGGACAGATGTGCCCCCGACTAGAGCAAATCCCCGCCTACCCGTCGACTCTACAGACATTACAAGTCCTCCGGCGAAGAGTTCTTATTAAAAATAATTTAACGTTCAACAAGCAACAATTTACCGTCCAGCAGCTTCTTGCCCGTTCCTCTCCCTGTATTCGATGCTAACACAAGTTAGCGATTGTCAATCCTACATCAGGTAACCACACGGCGAGTCGGTCCAGTTCCTCAAAATATTGGTCAGTCCGACTTTCTCGTGGACAGATGCTCGAGTTTTTTTTTTCTCCGCGTGAGAGCATGTTCCCTGACTTTTTGCTCCTGCGAATGTACATAATGAATACGTGCGTATCTGACGTTTTGCTCGCACTGCCGAACCTGCGGCCCCGCTCTCGGCCCTGGTGGCGCTCGCGATAATAATGAATAGGGTGGTAAAGCGGGCGAGAGAAAGAGAGAGGTGAACAGCGAAGAGGGTGGCCAGGAGGAAGGAGAAGCTAAGCTGGTAGGAGAGAAGTCGAGTTAAACGAACACCTGTGCCAACTGGGGCGCATCCGAGGCACAGACGGATGGACGAGCGAACGGGTGGACAAAACAGGTGGGCCGCACGCCGGGATTCTTGCATCGGTTTGACTTAATTCATGAGTTCTCATCGGGCGACCGTAGCGAGCAGCCAGACAGGTAGGTATAGATAGTGTGCGAGTCGGCCGCTCTGCGTCGGTGCGTGTTACGCGACACGTATAAATGCAGTAGGCATTTACGCACGCGGCCACGAGGACCTCCTGATGACGTCCATCGGTTCAGCTTTCTTGGTCCATGAACTACGGCGGTGGCCAAGTTCATATTTGTGCTGTAGATATGCATACGTACAATGCTCCGTGTCTGAATAGGGCTACTAGGTGGACTCCCTTCGCTTATCCATCTTCGTCTATGCATTTATATGCATATGGTGGGTTCACCGAGCAACAAAGTCTTTCTTTACCACCTCGATTCCACTGGCGTTCACGCGCATCACGTGACAGACCGTTCGCGATAGGACACCGCACTCTGCTTCCCAATCCGTCTTGCTCCTCGAGGCATGCGCACCTAGGAGACAATAAAACGAGCGTGAAACCGCACTCGAATTCATAACGAATAGGAATGCAAGTGCCGTATCATTTACCAAGGTAAAAGTCGGCTGGGTTATACCTATACAACGTCGGATGGGTGGATGGTTAGGTGGGAATGGTTGCGGTCCGTCATCGCTAAACGCCGAAACCGCAGCCAGATGTTCAGATCGCAAAGGTATTAAGAACCGTGCCAGCTGCATTCGCGTAGTCCATCCATGTAGGTCGTCTTCGAACACATGACCACGTGAAATGTACATACGTATCTCCATTAGCTCCGAACTCCGTTTAGTCCTGGATACAGAGAAAAGAAATGTAACACGGAGTGCCGTCGAGTGTGTGGACGGCGTGCTAAATTTATCAATGGATCTTAGTATGATAATAAGCTAATCGGATGTATTATACGACGAGGGGCCCCGACGTTTCCCGGCTTAAGTGGATGCCGCGGGATGAATTAAGCCGGGCAAAAATGAAGAGAGAAGACAATGAGAGGAAGTGAAGGTCCAACGAACGCGCCTCGTTTCAACCTTCCTTTCTCAATTCCAGTATATTGTATCCATCTACCGGGAACCTATCTGGCTAGGCAGGTACCATTATAGGAAGTTCAAGAGAGGCGAGATATCCATCCATCCGACGAGCGTGCTCCTACCATATTCCTGTGCCGGTAGGCTAACCGCAATCGTTCCCCGGTGTCCCCGTTATATCCACGCATAATGCGGAATTCGTAATTAGTCCGGTATACCGAATCGCGATCTACACGCATTCATCAGTGCTTCCACACTGCCTACGTCCAATGAAAACGTCTACTTCCCTTCCGTACAGAGAGTGATTACCGATTCTACCATAAGGTACGCATCCCTCGGTACATGTTCGTCTTCTTCTTTTTTTTTTCTCTATTCGCCCGTTTCTCTCTATTATGCTCCGTGTATTCATTCTCCTGCAGATCACAGCCTGAACCGCACGCTCTCGCCTGGCGTTATCCTTTACTTCCATATGTACTCGGCAATAGCCGGGTAAGCGCTTGCGAGAGCGTTAGGATCGTGTGCGTAAGCGATGCGTGAGAGGTGCGTGCCTCGTGCGTCGGAGACTGTGTGCAAACGTGTGTAATGGGAAGGGAGGAGCACCAGCTGGCGTCAGAGTGACAAGATCTAAAATTAGAGCGCGCCTGTGTTGCGTGTCGATCGTCGCATGCGCATATCGTACGCCCCTTTCCGGCTTCAGCTTATTTTCATAACTTCTTTCAATTTTTTCTCCTCGCAGCGTCCTCCGACCGGAGGAGAAACCGTGAGAAGGGGATCGATACGGCGTGTCGTTGTAGTCGGGACCGACTGCGGAACTGACTAAATGCCATTGTGTCCTCCATTCTATCCATAGCTTTTTTTATTTTTTTCAAGTTTTCCTCTTCCTCCTCTTTCACCCACTCCTTCGCCCTTGGGTACATCCCTCGGAGCTCGCTTTCACCTCGCAGCATCTCCTCCTGTCAAAGGACACCCATCCGGTTATTTATTACAATCGATTAAAATCATTTCTCCTACGTCTCACTCGACCTCCCTCTTGCGCGACTATCGCCATTCGCTCTCTTCGTGCTTTTTCTTCGCCTACCAGTGGCACCGGCAAGCAGAACGGCAGTACAGTCCCGCGAGAAAAATAATGACTATCGCATGTGTACCTCCACCTATAATTTACCAAGTGGAGGGACGCATACGACCCCAGTAGTTCTAACCTTACCAACCATCTACTTTGACTAAGTGTACCTATAGTATTCGCACGGGCTAGATGACCGTCTTGCTCAGCCAGACTGCGCAAGCTACCTTGCCTGACGTAGCTCACCTTGCACGCTCCTGGAAACAGTTGCCACTGCGACTTCCCTTTGACAACCAGCGAATTAGGCTGAGCCCAGGAAAATTTTCATAGGAATCCCTGCGCTGCCCAGCCACCTCATTCTCATCCTCCTAATCCTCAGGTTTAAACAATCAGGGTGGATTTCACGTGCGGGTGGAAGCCCCTGCGGAAATCGGTTACTATGTAATTTAAAGCGCTGCCTGTCCTTCTTCGTTGCTTCTACCTCTTTCCTTGGCAGGATGTCTTATTCGCATTCCTCTGTCTTTGCGAATCTTCTCATGCAGGATAGCTAATCAGGATATTCTTGATAGTCGGTACGCTTAACGGGGCGTTTCATGGTATTCCGGGAAATCGCAAGATAAGCAGCATACTTTTTTCTATCCACTCCCATTGGATACGCATAGCGCTGTGGATTCCGGTACAGGTTTAAAACACTGGCTACAGGTACGTTCTATAGCAACGTGCCAAAAGCACCAGTCGACGAAACTAATGGATAGTGGAGCGTGGCCCCGCGATACTCAGCCGTTCCATTGACTAATTGCTTTCTTTCATTGGGCATCATTGTCGCTCCTCGGCATTATACGGATTTCAAGGGGTCTCCGGGAAGTCGAGTATTACCCATATTCATCGACGACTTTTTCACTCGAGCTGAAAACAACAAAAAAAGAAACGAACTTTAAGGTCGCCCGAGGAATCACTTGTCGCACGTATACACGGAGATTCTACGAACGTATGAAATTTACAATGTCCACGATGTGTGCAAGAGTCACGTGTATACGGATGTATACCCGTATAGTACTTAACGTATGGACGTTTGCCTTTTACCAGTTCAAAAGTTTCGAGAGACCTCGCCTTTTTTTTAGCGTAGTCACTTCACTTATTCTCTCTCACTCTTTTGTGGATATGCATGCGTACTCTTATTCGCTGTTCCTCGCTCTATCTCTCTCTCTGGTATCCTATCAGGTTAATTTTGTCCAGTATGAACGCGGGGGTGAATCCCCGGTAGTCGATTGAGCGTTTCGTGGGACGATGGGCTGAAGAAAAAGGAAAAAAAAGAAAAAAGAAAAATGACGTCGTGGGTGAAGCCAATTTCGTGCGAGGTGACGCGCATAGGACCCCGTGAGAAACGGGAGCACTGCTAGTAGTCATACATACCTCCCACGATCAGGCCAGACCAGGCGAAGAAGGGCCTCTGAGCAAATCAGTCGGCCACCTATGTGACGTATTTTTGACTTGTTCGCTGCCCCACGGTCTAGCTGATGACGCGACCAAGAAATAATGGACGCGCCAGGACGCGTCAGCGAGTAGGCCCTCTGCGACGCACTGACGTTTCCGTTGTCCAGATCGAGGAGCCGATCGTTTGCCTTGTGAACCTAAACGAAAAGTGATGTTCAGTTATACGCAGTGCACAGAAGCTAGGGTAAAAACGAGTGTGATTAGGAGTAAAAGAAAGAAATCCCAGCATTGCGTGTTGCGTACTGGAAATGTTCGATCGGCGGCCATAACAGCGAGCCCCGAGGGATGTACAGAAGGCAGGCAGGTAGGTGTAGGTATCGGACGATAAAAATGGCCGAATCCGATAATCAAGGAATCGCAGACACATTACATAACTTGGCAGCCTGATTTTAACGGGCGTCCTGGATGTTACGGAGGCATGAATTACATTAGCGAGAGCGCAGATGCGTACCGAATATACGACTGTGAAGAATTGTACCATTGGCGCGCCAGGTTTAAAAAGTCGGCGCACCATATTGCAAGATAGGATCTCTCGCGGTAGCACCGGCTGGATGAGATAGAATCAAACCAAACGAAACCCTTTGCTCGGCTTTCAGCCACCTTGCTCGCGCGCTCGATTCGGCCGCCGCTAGCGCCTTCAAAGAATATCGCCATCTGTGCCTCATTAGCTTAAGCGGTACAAACAGTCTGTGGTCTCTCACCTCGTGAAAGGAACCGGGACGCTCTGTCTCTTTTCGAACCAGAGGCCTTCCGCTGCTCTCCTCTCGCTCCCTTGCTCTCCTACTTCCTTGCCTACCTTTCATACTCGTTCGCTTCTTCGGTTGCTCGCTCGCTTCCTCCTTTCCAGGCTTGGCTGCCTCCTTGCTTGCTTGCCTGCCTGCCTTCGCGCCCGCTCCTTAACGGCCATTATACGGACTATTACCTTACTCCTCGGGTGGAAAACTGCCGAGCGCGAATGGAATGGAAATACACGGGTATGCCGGACGGGGAGGCTGGAAACGACTTCATTCGTATTTGCGATCCACTGTTCTCCTGGCAGGTACACTTTACTTGTCCGTAGGAACTCTCTGGCGCGTCGTTATTAGACGGTATATAGCTACTGCTCACTGCGAGGTTATAATGTGGAATAAATTGACGCTGCCCGATAATTTACTGATGCTGTTACGGGTTTCGAGTAGTAAACGAGTGTTGGCTCTCGTGTTATAACTGGCGGCTACTGCCGGCATGAGACCCTCGGGCATCCTCGGGTATCTCGAACCGAGGACACCGCGATGACGCTATACAAATATGAAGTTTGACATTTAATGCGCTAGCATTATGAATATGGCTCGTCTGCGTTACTACAGGCGCCAGGAGGCTCCTGGTCTTTTTTGTCACAGAGTCACCGGAGGATAAAGACTTGTTTAAAATGAGCAAACCCTGGAGACGACGGATGGTAGCGAGCTTCCAATTTATGTATTTGTACAGGTGCAACAATTGTATCTTGTCGTAGCCATAGGGGATCATCAGGTTGGAACTGGGGTGCATAGTAGCGCATGGTGGCATACAGAAGCGCGTTCCTGAGAACGAGACGGATACAGCTATTGATTTCGATCGCAGTCGGTAAATGCCGGAAGTCCATTCTGTGCATCAGCCAGAGAGAGAGAGAGAGAGAGAGGGGGGAAGATAGTGGGTGTGAAACGCCGAGGGAGACGAGGAGTGAATATTCCAGAGGCAAAAGAAACAAGTGCAAGGTGAGGAGGTGTGAGGATACCAAGCGAGCCGTGCTATCCTTATATCCCACTAGCGGCGACCTACGAGCGTTCTTAAAGTGGAGAAAAAGAGAAGTAACAAGTGAGAAGGAAGATGAGCTCAGGGCATTGTCTTGACGAAAGAGACGAGGTAAGCGCGGAAGCCGGGTAAATGGTTCGTATGCTTTTGGTAGCGATCGGCCACGGGCTTTACCGGTAATACGTAATACGTACACGGTTACGTATCAACGTTAGACTAGGTGGCCGCCACCCACGCTGCTTCTGAGCTGCCCGAGGAGCAACGAAAATGAAGAAGGGACATGAGACACGATGGAGACGGAGGCAATGCGGCTCGAGCAGACAGGGAAGGTATATATACTGCTAGGTATGAGCTGTAGGTAGCAAACTGAAAGGCGAAGGAGTTCGGGGCCCCCCCGAGTAATGCACGACGATGTACGTACGCGTACGACAATGCCAGTCTCGTACAATGAGAAAGGAGGAGCATTGAAAGGCAAATGAGCCTTCGGTTTCTCGCCTCCTTGGGGCTCTTTCTATTACGCACCCACATCCGCTGCCTTTCAAGTAGCACCCCAAACACGTTACGCAAATTAATGCCACGTTAACACGGCCTTTTTCGGTTGACCAGCCGAAGGAGTGTCAGTATTCGGAGGATCATTTTAATAATGATTTATCGCCGCTCGACGAGGCTAATTATTTACCAGCGAGCACAATGCTGCCGGGCCTTTTTACACGCACGCGCTCTCTTGCGTAGATATCACTATACCTGCATGCCTGCCTACCTGACTGACTGACTGACTGACTGCCTATATATCTACCTGCCTGCCTGTCTGCATTCACAGGGAAAATATATTCGGGGAAACCGACTCTAAACGGAGTCAACCCACGAAACGCCCTCTATGAACTTTGACACCTTGTCGAAGGTATTTAGACTCGTCGATGTTCGGGTGCCCTCGGTATTTGCCATCTTCTTCATAATCCCCTAATACCGTGTCAACCCCATTTGACCCTAAACGGCCCTGTAGGCTTATATTCAATCGCGTCGACGCGCTTTCAATCCAGTTCCAACGATCCCACGTCACCGTTTCTTTTCGGTGACCTTATTGATTCCTTTTGCTCCTTCGATTCTTCTTTTCTTCTTTTCAACATTTAATTACGCGCTCCATACGGCCACGTGCGTACAGGTGGCTTGGACGGCACGAACCATCCCAGACCCGTGATGCTTCTTTGCGATTGGGACCTTCGGTACTCGTGCTCCTTTTTTTATCATTAAAATCCCAACGAAACGTCAATCTGCCTGGCGATCTTCTGGCAGCCTAAAGAGAGACACGAGAAATATAAGCTCAATGGCGAATCGATTAGGACGTCCTCGTTATATTGACCTATTCTTTTTTTCTCAGATCTTCGTATTCAGTCCATTCTTTTTTTCACCTTCTTTCCGGAACGGGACGGACGCATAAATTTTCCCAAACGTTCCACCAGGGCGCCGTTCGGTCGTTAAGGAATTAATTATACAAGATTCTCAATGGCTAGGGACATTCGAATTCCAAACTCGTGCGAGTATAACGATTCTGACTATTTCACTCGCCATTCATTCGGTTTTTCTTCGCTTTTCTACGATTCATCCCTCCTGCGTCTCTTTATTTTGTTTTCTTTTTTTGTTATATTCTCTCATTTTTCTTCTTCTCATCCCTTGTACCTGTTTGGAATAATCTTTATTATTACATTTGCTTTTATTTTAACTTCAGTATGGCGATGAGCATCATAGCAGAGTACCGTTTCGCTGGTCTCAATTATTACAAACGGTACCTCTTCGAAATTACTTTGTTCACACTGTTCACCTCCTGGACTTTATCATTGGGCTGAAATAGTAGTACTTCATAGGTAACAATGCCTTCTGTTTATTCTAAGCGGATTTCCGATTAATTGGTCGTTCGTACGCAACGCAAAGCCAGGGAATTACAAGTTTTACGAATGGCTTCGTACTCGTCAATAGTTTGCGTATTCAGATTCACTGAACTATGTACCTTTGTACGTACTTAGTAATAGGATCAGTAGTAACGATGCCCTTATCCCATGTACAACTATGCTATACAATTGTAATCCTTCTACAACTAAAATATGACATAGAGAGGTTAAATATATATGATTTTTAATGCAAAAAATCTTACCTGCTATATATGCATATCACTCATAGATACTATAAAGTCTATTACGAATTTTACTACGAGTGCTGCGAATTTCATTGCATCTTTGTTAAATACACGGCGAAAAGAAACTCAGCGAAATTTGCAATACTCGTCGTAAGTTTTGTAAGACACTCTATACGTACATACAATAATACTGAATTTAAAGAGCTGTTAAGAGCCACCTGGAGCTGGGCTATCGAACTGTTTTCTGTGTGGGCTGTGTGTTCATTACTGCCGCCCTTATTACCAGTCGGTAAACGTCCAAGAATATCGTCTTAACCAATCCTTGGTAATACAGGGCTTAACACTTATAATTGCGGTTAATCAAAAGTGTCGCCTAGTACTTTCAAATACAGTTTAATGCAAAGAAATGAATCAACAATTTTTTTAAATCATAGATATACATTCCTATATATAAAAATATTTCTGATAACCAAAAAATAATTTATTCTCGATCTTGGATACTCGTTATCTATTTTTTTCCAACTGCACGATTACATACGCGTGATCTTGTTTGATAGTATACATATATTTACTTTGTACACGTGTCTTTCTTGATGATCATCATGTCAGCACACAAGCAATTAGTCGTAAGCGATATAGGCTGCAGCTGAAATTACAAATGGAATCTTTAATGGCTGAATAACTCTTACAGTTATCACACAAAAATGCCATTCTGGAATGGCAAAAACATTTGCAGCTGTTTGACAAAAGTAACAGATAAGGACGCCATGCGAGAATAAAATTATATAAGGTGAATGGCCCAGTAATCGGCATATACCACCAATCGTCTGTTGTATTATAATACTGTAAATTTTTCTATAGTCAAAGCACACATTGACTACTACTGGGAGCATGGCCGATGATTGGGCCATCTACCCTCTCTATATGACAAAAAAAGGCTTGAATGCAGGCTGAGTCCATTTCCTAAATTAACGGGTATGTTCAGCAGAAACACCGCTGAGGGAGCAAGTACATTTGATTGGTCATTTGATCATTAATCTTGAAACAGTGTGATATTTGACCAATCAAATGTATTTGCTCCCACAGCGGTGTTTCTGCTGAACATACCCAATGATTGTAGTCCCTCTAGTAAGAGTCCGGCCAACGGTAGGGCTTGTTAGTGATTGGCTCCGCCATATTATGGGCTCTTTCGGGAATAGAATGGGGTGTGTGAATACGTATATGGGAGAGATTTGCATTGTGTAGTGTGCGTAGCGTTAAGCCCTAGGGCGGCCGTAGCCCAGTGGATAGGGTAGCGGATTCACGACCGAAAGGTTGGAGGTTCGCGCCCAGCTTCCAGCGGCATTCACCAATGGGTTTTCATATGAAAACTTAAGTGAGTATTTATACGGATTTCGCCCAACACTGTTCGGATTCGGTGTATAAACTTTGTAGGTCCCCTCACGCTGAGTTGAATAAGGCCCGTCTCGCAAGGTACATCGCCATCTAGTGTCGAACTTCCAATCCTTGATTATTAGGACTAGTTACTGGCACATGTCCCCCATTGGGGATACAGCCAAAAGGAAAGGAAGGAAGGAAGCGTTAAGCCCTGTACGGCGGGCTGCTTGTACTTGGCGCGAGACTCGACCGAGTCTCGCGCAATGTCATGGTGGCGCCAAACAAGCCCTTAATATGGCGTCCCTTCCGGGTGTTGGCCGGACTCTTACTAGAGGGACTCTAAATGATGGCATACGGGAGCGCCACACCAGATGGTATTCACTCAAAGTACAATAATGGCGGTATATTTAATTCTGTAAAAATATTGTAAGAGTCTTCATATTGGAAATTAATTTCAATTAAATTATCGCTAATGATAACATACAAATGATAACCTCTGCAAGATCTTGTTTCTAACGTTTTCCTTGTTCGGTGACCATTAAATAGATGATGATGCTTTCAACGGACGGCGATTCGGCCATGTTTGCCAGACTACAGTCAAACAATATTATCGCCAGACTCGTGGCAACTTTTGACCGAACTGTGATAATTGAGTCTTTATCAGTCTGATTAACTACTTGTCTTCGCGCTTTCTAAGGCACTCATCGTTCAACCATTATCGAGAGTGTCAGTATTTTTGTCCTTTTCATTTATTACTCAAATCTTACAGAAGAAGAGTGTGCAGTATGGCATCCCAGGTTGGTATTCCGAACGTCAGATTGCAACAGTTATATGGAGAATTTCGAACACCCGTTAGAATTCTTTATTTTCAGATATACGAATTTAACGTGGAAATGACCTGCGGTGGATGCTCTGGAGCGGTCGAAAAAGTTCTTGACAGCAAATCTGGTGAACTTTTTATATTTGGCAAAAATAATTTGTAATACATTGCACGGTGCAAGAATATAACTAGCATTGAACAGCATATACGTTTTTGTAGATTTTGGCGGGTTTTCCTTAAATTCATCTTTTCTGTTTCAGGTGTCGAAAATGTGAGAATTGATCTTCCTGCTAAAAAGGTCTATGTAAAGTCCACTCTCTCCTCTGACGAAATTTTAAGTTACATTAAGAAAACTGGTAAAGCTTGCTCCTTTGTGGGTATACAAACCTAAATAATCTTTGTTTAATGGCCATATGGCAGCTTCTAAATATTTCCTAAAAGATTCCGTTAAAAATACATTTTCTGTTTATTATGCATATAAACGTTATAACGTATATTCTATATTCGTTAAATAAAAAAAAAATAAACGTACACTTATAAACGAGTTTTTCATTAATTTAAGTCTGTCACCTTATTAATGCCAAATGGAAAAACCAATGAGGCAGATTTTTATATATCAATAAGGTGAATAAATCTACTTTAAGATATTACAAGATCGTTAATTCTTTTTCATTAGCAGATAAGTGTAAAGTCAAGTAATGACGCTGGAACGTTATTCAGATTATGTTAATGATGGAGGTTCCAAGTACGTGTCAAGATTATTTTTTTAACTCATCCTCTACAATGCTTAATCGCTCTTCCAAGAGCACTACTGTATCGCGTAGAGACTCGACTTGCTGACTAAGAGATTCCACAACGCTGCTTGTTTGATTAGGTGATTGTAAACATGTACGTGATGGCGACTCAGGTAACCCAAACTTTGCAATATGACCCTTTTCAAACGGCTTCTTCTGTCTCATGTTGATAACTTCCACTCGAACATTTTCTCCTGGTAAATTAGCAATAGGACCTTGACAAAGTTTAGGCTCAGAAATTATGTCTAAATCCAGATCCTCTACAGAAGGCACTGGAGACTGCTTCTAGAGGAAAGAAGTTGAATTTAAAATATTGATCGCCTCGTACATTACATACTAATAAACGTTTACCTCTATTGTTTCTGAATCTTTAACGTCATCATAATCGACCTGGAGAGGTTTTGAAGGACCGTTATCACGTTTTGATTTAGTAGCTTTTGAAGATATTAATTGTCTGGGACGCTTTCTTGCACGATCGTCTTTGTCGAAATTGGATTTCCATAATAGCAGTTGTCGATCAGCTCCACCCGATGCAAAGAAATCACCGTCGCCCGAGAATGCTAAGGATGTTACAGCCGAACAATGTCCTTTTAATGTATAGATGGGACGGCCTTCGAGTAGATCCAATATCTGTCATATGGAATCTTGGTATAGGATGAAATTAAATACAGAATTTATACACAAGATATTAGAAGCAACGTTACCTTCATTGTAGAATCTTGAGAGCCTGTTAACATAAAATTACCATTAGGATGAAATTTGGCCTTGTTTATTGCACCATTGTGTGCTGCATAATGCTGATGCAAGGAGTCTGTTCTTAGATCGTAGAGTTTTACACAACCACCTACATTAGCAGATCCTATTGCAGCTCCACTTGGATGAAACTCAACATCGACTGCAGGACCTATTTTAATCAATATATTATTTAAAAGATATGACCAACTTAACTCTATTATATTCTACACAAACCTTTAATCTCATTAAATGTTTTTATACACTGTCCGTTTCCCATATCCCATACTCTAATAGTCTTATCATCGCTGCATGATACAATGAGCCGTCCATCTGGGGAAAACTTTGCTGATCTCACCCAGTTTGTGTGATCAGTAAACGATGCAAGGAATCTTCTTCGACAAACCATCCAGACCTTAATGCTCTTATCATCAGAAGCAGTCACTAGCTACAACATTCAAAGAATTCCAAATCGAAAATCAAATTTACAGGAGTTATTAATATTTGTTAGATCATACCACGTTTCTATAAACCAACCCTCTGACCATCCAGACTGAACTGTACAGATCTCACAGCTCCCATGTGTGCTCTGAAATCCAGAGATTGTCCCTGAATCTTTGGGACCCATATTCTCACAGACCGATCCCTTGATGCACTAGCTATGACTTCTCCAGATGGAGAGTAGGCAACATCCAAGACTACGTCTTTGTGCGCATAAAATTTATATGCACGTACAGACTCATTAAAATTCCATACCATTAAGGTACGGTCAAGACTGCTGGATGCTATTTGGTTTGAATTTGGGTGAAAAGATAAGCCAGTTAGAGTATCTTTATGTCCTTTAAAATGTCTCTCTACTGCTGGATCAGCAGCAACGAGAGATATTTTTTTATTTTGATTCATATTTCCGTCCCAACCCAACTCTTATACTTTTAAAACTTTTGTGGCAATTTCAAATCTTGCTTCTCCAACTCCAACGCATGTCACTTTAGTTTCCTTTCTTAACAGCCTCTTCGCAGTGCCTCCTTGTCATCGCTCCAGTTTAACAGTTGCGCTTCGTTCAAAAGCACTAACTACGTTAATCAAGATTCGAAAAGAGCAGCGCCCTCAATATTTACAATAGGTCTGTTCTCTTTGCCTACAATTTATGCACTTTTCAAAAAGTGCAGATTCTCACTGGTTACTTAAAAATATCATCCAATAAAAAATTCCATTTTTTGAAAAGTGCAGAAAACGTAGGTAACGAGAACAGAACTAAACGACAGCCATTGCACTTGGATATCCTGTAGGTATAAAATGAACATTGACAAACTACTTAAATCCTTCTTAAAAGCACATACATATTAGAACATTTTTTATATATATAAATATATATCTCAAGATTGCACCAAACAATTATATTTGTTTTTAATATACAAACAAGGACAATCACTTTCCTCTAGTCCCCATTGTAATTCAGGCAACAAAAAGAAGTAAGCAGTATTCATTTGGCATGCCATTGATTTACTTTATTCGAATCTTTTTTTTGTCGTTATGAGAACAATTTAAAAACTAGTTGAACATTTACAAATTATGATAATAGGCTAGATAGCATGTTTGAATTAGATCTTTATTTGGAAGATACATAGGTATTGATAGGATAGTTGAACGTAACTGTAGGTGTCAAGAAGGAAATAGGTGATCAAACACAAAATGTACAAACGAAATACAATACAGTACTTTTTCTTTTTCTTATCACTTGTTTGACGATACGTGAGCATGGCTTTCTCAATGGCGCACTAAAGAAGGGGACTGGGGACACGTCTTTCGCTGACATCCTAGTCAATAGTAATTGTACATTCGACCTTGACTTACATGCTAAAGCTTCCGCATTTCTCTCGCACTCATTGTTTCATTTAAAAAATAATATATCATCTTTCTGCGATTCAAAGGAAATCAGGTAAACAGTTTCTTCTTAAATTTGACAGTTCCATGCACAACGATCTACATCGTTTGCTCGACATTTCACCGCACCGGCAACGCCTTCTTCAAAAGAAATCTGCATCCGGCGAAAACGGGGAAGCCGAAGGCATGTTAAAAAAAAAGCAATACAGCACATAAGGATGCAAAGAAACTAATAATAATCTATTACGAGATTCACCCGACGCGTCGGCGTCGAGTTCGATATTTTTAACGTACTTATCTAATTATAATAGGTTCTAGGACGCATCTAATAAATCCTCGTCAACCAACTGACAATGGAATCATATAGCGTAGGCGCTCAGTATTTCATTTCAAGAAATAATTGGAGATAAATGACACTGAGTAAAAAGAACAAAGATAGACGTTAGTAAGAAAAAAAAAAAAAATGATGTAAGACACTATTGTCGAGTCCTCCCTCTTCTCCGGGATTAACCGTTAGAATTCCGCCGGTACGGAAGCCGGAAAACAAAGTGATGGTCGCGCAGGTAGTTTACTGTTATAATCACCTTAATTGATATTTTATTAAACATATTCGTGGGTCTACCTGTGTGAGTACGTTTCCCGGTGTAAATACTTAAAATGTCGCTGGTATCGTTTGTGTCTTATGAAAAGACACGTGTACATACATCCTCTCTCTACATGTATCTGTGTGTCCATCGTATTATTCTCCACGTAAACTGCCGTAAGTGTAAGTTCTCATAATCTTTTTTTTTGTATTTTTTTATAATAAAATTATTTTTCTAATCTTTGTCGATCAGCTGTTGTTGCCCTGTGAAAACTGCCTTCTGTCACAACACAATAATACTTGCGTGGTGGGTTGATATTATTTCGGAATTTGGCCGATCTTGCTTGCATTAAAGATGTTTTAAACACCGTCGTTTTACCTCTTCTTTTAATCTTTACTTTTTTCTCGTGTTTTCTTCATTTTTGCTTCTTATCTTGTCATTATACTGTTGTTTATCGTCAACCGTTTCTCGATAATAAGAATAGTACTCTTTCCCTCTTTATTCTTGTCTGGTTAGTTCTGGGGCACCAAATTCAAATTCCAAGGTTTTTTTTATTCGCATCTCGCGTTCAATAGCCGCGCTTTTATGAAACACTCTAGGTTTCAAGAATCGACAAATATCCTGAACTCTTAACGTGATCCCCGAAGTTTAGGCTTACAGTCCCCAAAGGGTCTAATAAAATTTTGCGAATCAGCAGACAGCGAGAAGAAATATCGCACGACATGAAAGATTTGATGTGCACGATTTTTGTATTCCCGTTTATCGAATCGCTTGAGAATATAGTTTTTAAAAAAACCATAATGTTAATGTCGCCCGAGTTTCTTTCACTTTTTAACCAATACTCGAGACCGGATACTCGTGTCGTTTGGTACAAGATGCCGATTGCGCGTCCGCTATATTGTTTCACGTACGTCTCCACTGTGTCCCGATATAAGTTTTCCAGTACTGTGAAAATGACGTTATTACGGTATACTGTGATGTTATGTCACTTTCATAGCACTGAAAGCTTATATCGGAAACACAGGGTTCGTGACACTGACAAACGAGTGCAAATGCAACAAACAAATGTCTCTCATTGTCACGGATTCAACGTAGAGTCTTTCGTAAATGCGGATAATTGAACTATAATTGTATAGAATTATTGAAAAGATTTTTCCCCATTCTCATTATGCTCTCATATAATGTGTTGCGCTCTTGCACGGTTGCGTTTTTTTTTACTGTTGCGTTTGGGGCTTACCGCGCGGTGCATAACCTCCGCGGTTTCCTGCCCTTTGACCTCGAAACTGTCCACGGCCACCTCTATCCATGCCACGATCACCACGTGGACCGCCTCTGGGACCACTGCCCCCTCTCTTAAAGCCACCGTTGTAACCTGTACTACCTTCGTTGTTATAGTTTCGCTGTTGATAGCCATTTTGATAGTTACTGTCGTTGCGATAGTAAGTCCCTGTTAAATAATGTAAGAAGAAAGTTTAGGTTACGTACTAAAAATTGCGCTAAGGTACAACTACAGCTTCTATTTCTCAAATTCTGTTTACCTTGACCACCGCCGCGACCATTCTGCTGATAGCCACCCCTGCCTCTACTATTGTAGCCATTGGAATTTCCACGTCTGCCACCTCGACCTCTGTAACCTCCACGTTGCTGCTCACCCCAAGGTTGCTGAGATGTTTGTTGTTGAGATTGTTGCTGGACTTGCGATGGCTGCTGTTGAGTTTCACTCTGATTCCATTCTGTCGTAGCTCCCTCAGAGAGCTGACACCAATCAACAGTTTCCGGTTGCTGTTCCAGTTTTGGTTCCCCGTTGGAACCTTCCTCCTGCGGTTGATCCATGCCTTCCTGCAGTAGTATAATGGCACTGTTTCTCATCTCCGTAACCATAGCACAAAAAAATTCTTTTACTGTATTTGACGAAGCGTACTTTTGTATTCTGCAATTGACCATCCTGAAGCGGTGACTGCTCGAAGCTCTGTGGTGGAGATTGCTGGGTCATTGGTTGCACCTGAGGTTGTTGCTGCTGAAATCCACCTGGATGCTGAGGACTGTATTGAATATTTGGCTGCTGATGAGACGGCGGCATAGGTATCGGTGGTGGAGGATTCGGGTTAGCGAATCCAGGAATGTGGGGCATGTCCTGTGGCGGCTGATGTTGATATATAACCTGCTGGGGTACAACGGTCGGGTTCGCGAAGTTCTGATTTGTGAAGGTTTGCGACGGAATGGGTGCATTCACTGTAGGAGGAATGTGAGATACGATAGGTGCCTGAGTAGTCACGTCGGATGAATCGAGTTCCGATTCCTGAAGGAAAAAGAAATTCGGGGTTCCTATCACGTCATTGATCCTTAGCACCTGTGGTGGCTGCTGTTGAACTGTCTGCTGCTGCTGTTGCGGTTGTTGCTGCTGTGGTTGTTGCGGTTGAGGAGTAGGTACAAAACCAGCAGCATTCGTGTAAAAAGATGTTTCAACAGGAGCAGCAGCATGAGGAGGAATCGGTTGCGCAACGACTGGAATTGGTCCTGAAACTGGAGCCGCGTCGGAAACAGGAAGTGGAGCTACTTGGACCGGAAAGTTAGGAATGGGAACCATGGATTCTGGTGGTGGAATGTGTCTATCGGGAGTATTGTACTCCTCGTTAACAGGTTCCTGAACGGTTGCATCAGCCACCGTTGCAGCTGCGACGACCTCGGCAACCTAGAATAAGTATTTAATATGTACTTGAAGCTATTAATTGACCTCAAAATTTATAATTAAGAACAATTCACCACCTCAGCTTCTGTCTTCTGGCTTCTGTCTTGTTGAACTTGATCAAAGTAGCCGCACTGGTTAACGGAAGTGATTATTTCTTTGATCTTGTTGTATGTTGTTCCCACAACTTCTTTTTGCTTGCCGTCTACAATAGCCACCAAATGCTCTGCAACCTTTTGCACTTGCTGAACAAAGGGCAGATCATCCTCCGTTTGTTTGTGCTTCACTGTTACTTCCAGGTAGAGGCTATCCAAGTACTTAAGATCATCTTCGGTCAGTTGTATGGCGCCATTCGTTCCAGCGAGAAAATCCTCACGTGCACCCTCATTACCCAGGCTTAACAATACGTCTTGTATGATTAAAACCTCACGTATCTAAATAGAAACATAGAATAAAACATTAACTATATTACAAAAGAGTAAGTAGAGAAGTAGAGATTTTCAATAATAGTATGTATTTAAAATAAAAAGTATGTGAAATGCAAGAGTGTTAATAATAATATTAATTTTCTCTATAAATGTTAACTACTATGATTTGAATTAAAAAGGACAGAGAGCAATTCAATACAAAAGTATAAGAAATCATTGTTCTACCTTGGCAATATCCTGTTGCATCCTCTCAGCTGCCTCTTTCCTGGCCTGCTTCTTTTGCTGTTTAGCAGCATCATTTGCAATAACAATGATCTGCTTGCACAGCTCACGGGTAATGTCCAGAGTTTGTTGTACTTCATCATATTTAGCCACTGCCCTCTTTTGATCTTGATCTAGTTCTTTGCCATTTTTCTGAAGGTCCCTGTACGTCTCTAGCTTTCCCTGTAGCAAATACAAGATAATTATAAACAATTAGAATTCAAACAATTGAAAAATACAAAGTAAATAAAACATAATACTCTTATTACATTCTAACAATGGGGATATTGAAAAGTAATTAGGAATGTAAATGATAGTGCTTTATTGAATTTAATCATTATACAATAGTAACATTGACAGATCATAACGCCATATATATATCCATATCTTATCGTTATACATATTATGATTATGATACATTTTGCCTCAAAGAGAATGGGAAAGATAAAGTACATCACTGCTTTGCTGTGTGAAAATTCAAATCTTCAGAATTTTTAGATATCACCACACAACAGATTCTTTACTGCACTGGTAGTTTCATATTTCAAAACACAAAGTTAAACATTTAGAAGGCAATGTAATATTAGTAACATACAGAGAAATTGTAATATAAAAATATTGAGTAATAAAATAGTTGCTAACAGTAATATAATCTTCATTGGGGATATGTTACTAAAACAGCATCAAAGTTAAGGCAAAGCGGAAAAGAACATCATTAGAAGAATGTCCAAGAAAAAGTTGCAAAAAGTCGGCAAACTGAGTCCACAGTAACATGGTGCATTGATGTAGACGGGAGACAACATGCATCCTGAACAAATATCAAGCATGGCTATAATTCATAGTCTCAAAAGAAACTCCTTGTAGACGATAAATCGCAGAAGCCGGTTCGACATGTTGTCAGATCATTGAACGGCGTAAAAAATCTCGTGTAGAAGGAACCGCCATGACATCAGTAAAGCGATAGGTAATATAGGATGCGTATAGCTCAACAAATATGTGCTTAACGTAATCATCAATCCTGAATGATACATGGGAAGATATTATCGTATCAGGAATGTCAAAATGAGAAGTAAAATCAGCGAATTCGTTATGAATTTTCGGGCGCGAGCACATGGCGCACGGCAGAAACATGGCGGACGTGGGTAGGAAGCCGCGACTTGACAGATGTAAAAATGCCGGATTGTATAGTTTTCGAGGTTAGCCTGATATTAGTAATTACCTTGCGTTTCTCGAGATTTCGTATCTTGTGCTCGAGGACGATAATCGCTTGCCGTATAGGATCGACGGCCTCCGTAGAGGCCTGTTTCTCTAGTTTAGGGTTGGCAGAAGGCATCCTTCACGGGCAACAAACGCGAACTGGAATGGTAGGGAATCGCGTGTAATGGGGCAAGCGATGAACACGACGCGTGCGCTGATCGCCTTACCAACCGATTCTCAATTCCCACTCTCTAGTTCTGTAGCCTACCTACAGTCTACCGGATTTTGCATCATGGGGCTCTCCCGCCGGTCATTATTATGCTTTCATAATTTGAGCAGCTCATTCGCCGGCACAAACACCTGTAAGTACTTACTTAAAAATTAAAAAAAAAGAAAAGGCACTGGCACAATCCCTTGAGTATTGCCAAAAATTCGGGCTATAGTGAACAATACATTTTCAGCAAATACTACTGAAATGAGTCACTAAACCAATATAAATTATGCATTGGTAGTCTAAGATTAAAAAAAAAAAAGTAAAATTTAGACACGAGTCAATTTTTCATGTTTTATTTAAAAATGATTAATAAAAACATAAATTATGCCAGTAATATTCCGTTATATATAATATAATCTTTATATTTTGATCATATCCTTTTTCTTTTCTCATCTCGATTATTATAACAGAAAATACTGTAATTTCTTTGCTCCATCGACAAAGGATTGTTATTACTGTGTCATATCGTTCGGCTTCAAATTAACTTTCAATATGGATAAAATGTACAATGGGACGAATAAACGCATTGTCCGCCGCTTTCTCGAATAAAGTATAATATAACAATTAATATTAATAGTCTCGATCTATATAATATCGTTGACAATAAAAGTGTCGTGTAGCGAAGAGGCTGCTGTACACGGGAAGTCACTATCAAAACAATAAAATAAGTAGTAGAAACGAATTTTTGTACTTTTAAACTGATAAAAAATTGCGTCTCCTACTTCTTCACTCTTTATACAATTTTGTAGAGAAAGGTTCGTTGGTCGTTTAAAATAATAATGAAATTCCCGTAAACCGCAACTGACCGCTAACGCGATATGAACTATTGCATGGCACATTCCCTAAAATAAAAAATCATCCCCTCTCATAACTGCGTATTTCCCTCTATTGTGTACGATGTCAGTTTGTCCAAATGCCCGCATTTTAGGTATTTAAAGTAATATCTCGCTTCGACAATTTATAATACAAATCGACAGTTCCTCCTGATAATTATTTAGTAGAATAGAATTTCGTCTCGTTGCGCAATATTATTAATGATGTCTAAACCCTTTGGGGTCGCGCTACTGATAGACGTCTTCCACGCGATTTCGTTCACTCTGCTTAATATATCTTTACAATTTACAAATATAATTTGATACATCGTCGTCGAAAAATACATTCGCGCCACACACGCATTATCACCACTCGTCTTTTTAGAGATATCTTCGTTACCTTTCTTTTTTCTCGCTAAAAAATCTGGAAACAGGTTAAAACTTAAACGTCTTATAATTGTAAACAATAATAATTAATAATAATATAAAGACAATGACAATAATAATTAATAATATATCGCTTAAATTATGTAATGGTTGTTTTTTTTTTCATTTAATGTACAGCAAACTGATAGCGAATATCACCCTATCTCTAAATCTCTATTGTCTACTGGAAAGTATTTTTAGAAGCTAACGCGTTATTAGCGGAAAACATTATAAAATTCCTAACATTCTAATGTCGGTGGAAGATGAAACGAAACGCATTCGCTTTTTTATTTAATGAGAATTTAATGGCCATCGTATTCTTTCAGTTATCTAACGCCAATCATTGTCGGTATCGTTAACGCGAACTGTCATTAAAATAAAATTATTTGAAGTAAAACCTTATCTAACAAGGAAACTCAAGATTCGAGTATTATTAAAATTTCTTTAACTTTAAAAACAAACGCAATGGATATGGCATAACGATATTTTCCAAAACATTGGACATTATCACTTGTGTCAGATTTAATACAATAGAACAAGAAATATGATAATCAAAATAAAGAAGATGATTTTTGAAGAAAAATCACAGTATACGGGCCCAATAACTTTTCATTCGTGAGGCTTCGCCAATTAGGGCTGCTGTTCAGTACACGGAGCTGTGACATCAGAAACAAAGAAACCTTTGCAATCATTTTCTTCCTGTATTTACCATTAGTTCATCCAACTATTGGTTCAGCTGGCTTCCTTATATGACACGGAAAACAGGTAATCTGCGTTTAAATGTATCAAATAATTTAAGTCGAAGAAAACCGTACAGAAATGAAGTAGGCGTAATTGCCGCCACCATGAGAATTTGACAGATCGGTTTATTCTTAGACAATAGTGTTGAAGACAAGATTTTTGTGAATTTTAAATCCAGATGATCAGGCTTTCTTGTCATATAATGGAATTGGCCGAACTAATACATTAAACTAGTTGAAAACAAAAGAGAAAAACAGTTGTAAAGATTTCCTCCACGCAACATAGTTCAGCTGAACAGCAGCCTTAAAAATGACATCTCATAACCATCCATTCAATTTTTTCCTGGCAAGGGATACATCCGAAATGTCAATAATCAAGGAATTTAGAATCGTACTGTTCGCTCGTGCCAAATTAGTAGTTTGCGATACAAGTGCGAGAAAGCGAACTTTATAGGCAGGCGGTGAAGTTGGTCGCACGAGCCGCACACGAGTAACACAACGGCACGAGCCGAAGGCGAGTTTGTTTGTTTTGCGAGTGCGGCAAGTGTGACAAACTTCACAAACTACGCATAATGTTCGCTTTATTGTACCAGTATCGCATAATATTTTCTGTAACGAATGCATGAAAAACGCTACTTTCTGTGCCTCCAAAGTGACTGGAACATCTCTTCGATGAAGGAGGCAGCCATAAGAAGAGCAAGGAAGGCTTCAAAAGTGAATGCATTTGATGACAGCGCGCGAGAACAAAGTTTACTTTATCGCACTGGTGCGAGAAGAAAGCACTAGTGCGATAATGTAAAATTGGGCCGATTTGCGCATGCGCAGCATTTTTATCGTATCCATAGATATAAAGCGCCACTTTCGCCACACTTCGGAGGCACGAAAAGTAGTGTTTTTCATGCATGAGTTACATAATAGCACATTATGCAACAAGGGAGTAAAGTCGTTGATTATTCCCGCGGGTGAGAGTGTACTGCCCGAGCGAAGCTCTCACCCGCGGGAATAACCGACTTTACTCTCGTGTTACATATAGTGCTTTATTTACGACTGAACTACAATAGCCACTTTATTCCCTGAAAAGTGGAACCAAATCAGCCACCGTCATTATGATGGAAATATACGTTTTTTCTAATATTCAAAAATTCAAAATTTTTAAATTTTTCACTTTTTCAAAACTTTCAAGTTTTCAAAAATTTTCAAAATTAAAAAAAATTCAAAATTTTGCGGAAATAAAGTAAATTTGCGGGAAAACCAAATATGCGGGAATAAAATGCTACTTTAGTCCTGCTTTTCAGGGAATAAAGTGGCTATTATAGCTCAGTCGTGAATAAAAAATATTAAAATCATTCAGGCTTCCTTCGAGAAATCACTGACGCAGACTGTTACTCTGGAAGGTACTCGTCGGATAATTTACTTTACTAATTATGACTGCATTGTAAGAAGAGATGGTCTAAATTATTTTGCGCAAGAAAAGATTGATAATTTACATTAAAAAAAGGATTCGATGAGCGGATGTCTCAATTAATCGAAAGACAATGGCTTAGCTAGATTAAATCCACCAGTAAATGAATAGTAAGAAACACTCCAGTAAATGAAGACCCGTGTTAAAAACACTGTATATAGATATAATTTACCTGAAAATATCCATTTACTGGGGCCTGTCAATTTACTGCTGGAGTCACTCTATCAAAAACTAAGAATACGATGCTACTTCAAGAGAATGAAGATCGTTTAAATTTTAGCGCATTCTTTGCAATAAAAGATCCTTGCAGACCAACATAGAATGCAATTTTTTAGAATAATTTCAGTAGAGAAAAGTATTGTTCTCATTATATTGGAATACGTTCGCCCTGAATTCTCATTATGAAAAGTTATAAGTTATCCAAGCTTGCAAAATAATGCTTTTTACAAGTTGCATCGATAAATAGTAGAAACATATTCGAAAAGTACTAAGTTCTTTATGAATACCGTGAGTTTACGTTCTGGCTGTACTAATTTGTCTTGAGAGAAAGTCTAAGGCGAATTTTCATTTCATCTTTCATCGTGATTAGATCTTCGTGTGTATGGTGTGATGTATACGTATGTTACACAAAAGGAAATGGCCATCGTGCCGTGTCAATTCTAGCTCTGCAACCATAGCATCCCGGCGCCATCTTTATATTCCTATTGTTATCTCATCGAATCACGCAGCCCAAACAACTATATTCTACTGTCTCTTCTATTCTCTCAAAATGCCTTTTCCTAAATTCAACGTCACACTCCCACCTTGCACGTTACAAACTCTACAACTATAGGTCTATATTCACACATATATATCAATTTCGTTTCGATTATGCTACTCGTAATGGCAAAACTTGGGCATGATCTCCTAAATCGCTATACCATAAGTGAATATGTTACATATGCTCGGTGCGTGTACATCTTCTTGCGTTCCACCTTACTTACCACTACATGTCGCCTACTACTTACCACTATAGCTACAGCATCTTCACAATTACACTTTTACTTTAACGATCGTCCGTCATTATGCAATTCGCGCATATTTTATCGAGACCGTTTACGATAACACGTATTGCGCAAAATTTGTTCACCAGTTCAATTAGTAGGTATTTATCCTTGAACTTAACTTTTTCATAGTTTTGCGAGCGTATACATTATCACTGGGTTTCTTCTCGCTTTTGTTCATCCTTCCACCTTCTGGAACTCCTTTCCGTTCCAGCAAAGGGGTCACGGATGGTTCGAAAAGAAACGTATATCATATCCACGTCGCATTAGCCGTTATGACATATGATCCTAACGATCGTCGTAGCACCACTAAGACGGCATACTGTCCATTTGTATAGTGCAGGCTACCGCTTGCGAATCGATCTCCGCGTTTAGTGTAGGCACCTGTGATTCGGAAGTATTGGCAGGTCCCTCGTTTCTTTGTTGCGTCGAGACGCTGGCGTTTGTTTCGCTAACTAAACTCGTTAAGGCCGACGATATTGCCGAAGGATTCGTTTTAGATTTGACCTGTTGCTCCATACTGTCGATCTCAGCCCATATCCCTCGCACCTCCTTAAACAGCTACATGAACATTTCATAAAATAAATATTTCTTTCAGACAGTTTTACGTACTAGTTTTTCAAATAACCAATCAAGTTACCTGATTCAGCCACGCTTCATCAGCTAACAGTTCATTAAGTATTATTGTGGTGTCCTTGTGAGGATCAGCGAGTCTTTTGTCAGTAACTCTCCTCGCGCACTCCAGGAACATCAGATACTTCTGATGCGCTACTTTATTATAAAGAGCCACCTTCGCTTGACATACTCGACACAACAAGAAGTCCTGAAAGTTCAAGGTGTCAGTCTCTTTGAGAATCCATTTCTAAAATATGCTTCTAGGGATATTGATACCTTTTCCTGTGGCACTCTAGGGTGAGGTGGAGAACCTTCCAGTGTCGTACAATTGTACGGTTGCCCATAGAGCAACACTCTTGCGTGTATCTTGGTTTGCTGACAACCAGCACACTGTTTCCCTTTAGACTCCGCTGCTGGTAAATCCTTTAGAACGTTAAGACACGGCCAGGTAGATATCGCATTCACGACATTGGGATGCCATTTCGTTGTTGCTAGTAGACGCCGTTTTCTCTCTTCTGTTATTTCGTCAACGGTCTTCACATTTGATAAGAAATAATCATCTAGTACGAAATAAAAAACCATTAATAATATTCATTTGAATGGCATTTCTATAATTGTTACTTAATGCTCAATAGATACTCACCTTGCTCTTGAAATATTTCTGTAAGAAAATTTGAATCTAATGCTTGCGAAATCAACGTCTGTATATACACTTCAAAGTTGTCCTGATATTTCTCCGTATCCTTCATAGATCTATCAATACACTCGCTGAAACGATATAAATAACAATTTTATTGAATGCTGTTTGAAATATTTTTAAATTTATTTACCAAATTAATATCAGTAATTGTTTTACCTGTCGTCGAGAATCATCTCATCCCGTAAAAATTCGACAACCGTTTCCATTTTACCCTGCTGCCAGAACTTTACAGGCACCTGCTGATATATATGACGATTCTGCGGTGCCCAGCCAGAGTACTGTCAACAGAAATAGAAGTGGCCAATAAATTACACGCAGCAACATTAATATTCATTAACGACAAATATTTACTTACCGTGGATATGTTTCTGTACAACGTTTTTCCATTCGACTGAAATGGTTCGTATTTCTGGAGTAAAGTCTTGCCGTCTATTCTCCATAGAGCAGGAAATTCTTCGTCCAGATCAGCCTTAATCACAACGAATTCGCCAGACTGCAATAAAAACAAAAAAGCAAATGGTTAATCGGAACATTTCATGAGATAAATATATTGGACGAGATAGGTAGTAGGTAAATATCGTCTATATTCTTTTCCTTATTGCCATCAAGCTGAAGTAATTGCTCCGTAAGAAAATTTCCGAAATGTTATAAGCATCTTCGAAATTGTCCATGCCGTTCTTCGTGCAACGAATATACCACTTTAGGTTCCTATAACCATGCCATTATCGTGGAGACGAAAGTCTATTATGTAACTATTAACTGATATCTTGAAAGGAATAAAGAGAGAAAGACAGAAAACGTGTTAACGAACCTTGAATGGCGAAATGTCGATATCCTCGTCGCTCGCAGACGCAATAACCTTCTCATCTATTTTACAAGTCATCTTTCCAGAGCTATTCGAGTTTTTCAAAGGCATTTCGTGCTTCTTTCTTATGGTTTTCTTAGGAACCGTTAGATCGCCGGACGAGTAACCATCCTCGTCCAGGATTCTTCTTGATTTTTTTGTAATGACCGGACGCCCTCTTTTCTTTCGCTTATCCTCTTCGTCGCCGAGCAACTTCGCAGCCGGCGTCCAAGCAGGATCTGAATCGGAGTCACCCTGCTCTTCGTCATTATCAAAATAATCGATACCCTGTTGACGATCCAAGAATTGCTTCACCGACGTCTTCTCCTTGGCTTTCCTCCTGGATGTCTCGCGCCTCGGTGGCAGTAACAATGGATCCACTGTAAACGATAAATTTTTAGATTTAAGAATTCGGTATCTATTGCATTTTTAATATTTCGAGAATTGTTCTAATCACCTTCTTCAACCTTCTTTGAGGACTTTCCCATGGAAGTAATAGCAGCAGCTTCTGCCGCTGCCGCTGCTGCAGCCTTTCTTTTCCTATCCGTAGGTCCACCAGGTTTAATTGGTCTACCTTTTCTAGATTTTCCTTCCGACTTCAAAGAATTATCCGCAGTGCACGTGCTATTGGCGTTGGGTGTCTTCTTTTCAGATTTCTTAGCTGGGAAAGGAAAGTCATCATCGCTAGTGAAGCCATCATCGCTGGAATCAAAGCTATGTTTTTTCCTTTCCTTTGGTAGAGGAAAATATCTAGGATCATTAGCGTAATCGATTGTAGGAGTCTCTTTAGGTGGTGCTGATTTATCCGACTGACTCTGTATGCTATCACCATTAGTTGAACCATCATTAGGTTTACTGGACTCCACGGGCATGTAAGGCTTAGACCTATTCCACGTTGCTTTTCTTCCACCACGAATTGCTGGCGGTGGCGAAGGTTCCCTTTCACCTTGCAGAAACTTTAGGTAACTCGTCATAAAACCAGAATTCGGATCTTTAGCAGGCCGCTTCAAATCCTTATTGACTTGGTTCATACTCTGCAAAGGTTGTTGATTCTGCTGAAGGTAACCGAGCTCCTCCTCGATATTAGGAACAATTACCTTTGGCTGATCGTCTCTTACTTCTTGATTATAATTCGGATTCTGATTACCGGTATTTTCACCAAATCCAATAGGCGTAATTTCCACTGCCGATTGGAATTCGTGGGCATGATGAGGATGATGACCCGGGGGTATGTGAAATGCAGGGAAGTATGGTATAGGTGGTGGCGCATGATGATGGGGTACCATGAGGGACTGATGCTGATGCACAGGATTGCCAACAAAATTAGTAGAATGATGTAACGTGGATTGTGAGCTGAATGCACCGGGGGCACCAGAGAATATTTTGGAAGGTGCTGGCGCCAGATTCCATCTCTCAAAATCAAAATATCCATTTTGTTGCTGCTGATTAGCATTGTGATGAGCTGGTGGAGGTATTCTGCTCAAGTATTCCATCGTTGCCGCTCCAGCAGCAAGGTCATTCAAGGAAGACCCATGTCCACCCTTCTCGAAATTCTTCCTCTTCTTGTTAGCTGTATCCACCTTACGTCTGTCTTCGACTTGCTTATGTTGTTCGTTAACTGTATTAGGCACAGCGGTTGCAGCAACAACTGCGGCTGCAGCAGCAGCTTGTTGCTGTACCTGACATGAGCCTTGTTGTAGCGTTTGCAGATTCTTAACTATACTCATAGGATCACCTCTGCAACTGCTCAGATCCTGCAACGTTACTTGGTTCGAGTCAAAGTAAGCCTGTTGTCTCTCAGAAATGTTCAAAACTCTCTGTGCTTGTTGCTGACCAGGTAAAGTCTGAGCATTGATTTCAGTATTGCCTGTATAAGCCGACACTGCAAATTTTCTATTTGTGTTCGTTTGCCTGCTGTCGTTTTCCCAACAAACTTGTTGCTTAGGCGTTTGTGCAAACTCTTGCTGTTGTTGCTGCTGTCTGTCATAACTTCTATTCTCGGTAGTATAGGCCTTATTGTTTTCAGCGGCACCGAGTGCTCGTGTTATCACTGAAGAATAGGCTACCTGACCCTGAGAGGCCGGTCTAGGAACAGTTACGTCGAGTGGCGATGGAGGAGTCACTTGTTGCTGCACTGTTGCTTTGTAAGCTGCACCACTCGCGCACTGATTACCGTTCTCGCCGTGTTGCTGGAGCGGCGATGGGGAAGACATCGTTGCCATGGGACTGTTGTACATAGGATATGCTGGACTGGGTACGTGCCCCAAGGGACTAGCCTGTGAGTGAGCTTGCAGAGGACTGGGTCGCCTAGGAACGACGACTCCGCAATCAGGTCCATTTTGCGTGGAAGTGTTTGATGAGTATGCGGAATCTGTGGAAGTTGTTGATTTGGATCTACCTGAATGATGATACTCGGAATCACTAGCCGAGCCTGCTGAGTAATGTCTGTAAGGTGTCGTTTGTTGTTGCTGCTGCTGCTGCTGCTGCTGTTGTTGTTGTTGCTGTTGACTTAATACGTGAAATTGCTGCTGCTGTTGATTGTGTTGTTGTAGATTACTATTAGATGATGTCCTTTGATTACTTGCCAGTTTACTGTTTGTATTGTTGCAATTAGTAGCGTTACTCGTAGCATAGTTTAAATTACGGGAATCCATCATAGAAAAGCTAATCGGTGATGACTGACTATTCTCATGACCGGGTTCGGTTCTTCTGTGGTCATTATGAGCGCTTAACTCTGGATAAATTTTAGTTTGCGCTTTTGTTTGTATTGCTTGCTGTGTTGCGGTGCCCGCTTTTCCTGATGGTGAAACAAAACTACTATTTCTAGTGGGCTGCTTATCCTGGACTTGAGCTGGAGCTGTTCTGACTGACGCGTTTGCAGTAAGGAAGATAGAGGTCGACGATGTTGACCTGGAGGGTGGCTGCGGAATTCTATACTCCTTACTCGGTGTGTTACTCGGTGTCGTGACGATACACGACTGTTGATGCTGCAGAGATGCCTGAACTTTAGCATTCGTACTTTGGTTCGCATTACCCGTTGCGTAATTGCTTGTTAGGGTCTCTGAATTGAAGGTTGTTGGCGCTTGTTGGAAAAACGTTTGGCTCGTATTGGCGGTTGTGGATACCACAGGCTTTACTGTGACTGTAGGAGACTGCGGCCTGACGCTGACTGCCTTCTTCGTATCCGAATAATTGGAGGACTTAAAATCATCCGTGGTGACGGTGGGTGATGGCAATTGAGAGTTGAGATTATTCAAAGTCTGTGCTGCTGCAAAGTGAGCATTGAATGTACTCTCATAAGCCGCGGCGCCACCGGCCTTCGTGGATGGTGGTCCAGGAGATGAAGGTACGACACTCTCATGAGGTAATATACCAAAGGGACTTGGAAGCTGCGAATTGTTTTGGTGCGTCCACGCCAGGCTCGAAGTTGTTGGCGAGGATGCATTAGGTTGGTGTTCGAAGAAAGTAGCCTGATGCGCCGAACTATAATTTTCACGCAGGGTTGAAATATCAGACTCGGTCGTGGACGGTTGTTTGGTGGCAGCAGCGACCTGGGCCTGAGCCAATGCTTGCCTGTGCTGTGTGACGTAGTGAGCCTGCTTAGGATTTGGATGATGAAATAGCGGCGAGAAAACGTCATAGCCCACCGGGGGTGGAGACAGGAAGCCCCCAGGGTTGAATGGAGAAGGTTGACCCGCCAGAGTTGCGGTTGTATGTGCAGCTTGCAAAAGTAGCTGCGACGTCGTCGTCGAGGGTACAGCTTGTGTTGCTGCTGTAGCCAGATGATGCGATACAAAGTCGCCACCGGTGCTCGGGGTCGTCGCTTGGAAGGTACTAGCAGCGCTACCCGCAGCCAAACGGTTATACGAGGCATACCAGGGTCCAACGGGATCCATTACCCACGCTTGGCACGAGAGTGCCTAGCCAACCTGGTCTGCGCTCTGCAGACTTTGCCTTGCAAGGGTATCACGGTGAGACGCTAAGTCGTGCATAACATAGTCTTTTGATTCTTAACTTCGTTACCGATATCCACGAATGTAGAATTAATTATTTCTTCCTTGGCAAACACATGGAAATCATCTATATTTCATAGAATCGTAACACTGATTTCCAATGGAAGGAAAGCTGTTCCATTCTCTCCTGCAACATAACATACAAAGAACTCTTTTCAGTTTCGTGTGTCACACTGTGCATTATTCAATCAAGTAGTTTAGAAAATTATGATTTAATTCAAAATAAAATTTGTTACCTTAATTTTGCGCAACATCTTTTCTCAGACTAATTATCATTATTTTAAATAAAATGAAAATCTATTTTAAAATCGTTTAAAAGTTGGAAATATAAACTGCATAAGATTTAATATATTAATACTTACCTGTGATCTTAATTTAGTAAGAATATATGTATATAGTGCAAGTATGTACATACAGTATGTATCAGATAGAGATTAGTGAATGACACACATGCAATATCAAAATGAATCGTAATAAACAAATAGCAAGTTAGGTATTTTTTTAACTGATAAGAAGGCGGGCATGAGCCTTGAATGAAATTAAAAATAAAACGGCAATGTCATGATTTAAAATTGTTAAATTCAACTAAGAATTAAAACATACATATATATACCACATGGTCAATTGTCACAATAGAACTGCAAAGCTCGCATTCCACAAAGGACCGAATAAACCACAACAATACCAAGTATGTTGCAGAATGCACCACCCCCTCCATTATTGACTAGACATGTACAGGGTGATTGACGAAAAAAAAAAAATGTGACCGGGAAAATGCCGGGAAAACATCAGGCACTAACAGAACCTCTATAATATACTACCTACTGTCACAGATAGGTTTAAGAAACGGATCGAGGAGACCTGGTGAATCCTCTTAGTGCCATCCTCGAGGAAGACCTCGTCGTGCAAGGAGACAGTGGCGAACCGTAACGCGCGGCAGGGATGAATCTTTCTGACGATGAAACGTGCCACAGTGATGTACTCTTGTTATAATTACCTTGACAGTGAACAGCTGGAGCTCGGAGAAACTTGTATTTGCACTGGATCCGGGATGGGGACCGATCTTTCAGCGGATAACACAGTAAATATGGCTACAAGTCCGCGATCCAACGCACGGCACTCGGCACTGCTATTACAGGACAGCACTCTAATCCTCACATGATTCGTAGAATAACGCTTGTGCACACTCGCGAGTATGCTAGGTGCGGTACTCGCATATACTCCGTGAAAATTAACGTCAAACGAAGCATTTATCGTGGGGATCCGCGAACAACGTTGCCCCAGAGCGCCCATTACAGGCTGCCATTTTGATCCGAGTCAACAATAGAGAGCGCCATCTATCGATTGGGGAGGGGGGGTACAGGCGGGATTTTTCAAACAATGAAGGGGAAAGCGTTTCTAGCGCTCCCTCTCCAACCCGGTCTATCCCACCCACACCGGCATGACCAGGGCCGTATGTTATGCGAGCACTTGACTTGGGGTGCAAGACCTAACCCGAAGGCACTTTCTAAATTGTTCTTATTTATTATTAACCTAATAAATTTTTTCTGAGAGAAAATTGCATGCAAAAAGTCACCATTTTACTTCGATACTGTATCTGCTATTCATGTTGATTAACTGAATCTTCCGTATAATTGAATGCACACTGCGATTACCTAATGTTTTCGATATTTCAAGTTTTAACCTCGAACGGATCCTCAATATTAATTGAAAGCATCGTACCTATCATACTTTTAATCTTTACTCAGTGCGCCAGTAACAACCTGTTGATCCTCTAACGAAATCAACACAGATCCCATTTATTTTTTAGCGGCTTCACAGTTAATATCGTTCATCCGATATTTACTGCTCAAATAAAACCAATATTTACTTCTCTATTCTATAGTATCAGCAACAAATATTCGCACAATTTCATTGTGAAAGTGCATCATGTGCAAGGACCCAGAATATTTACGCAAGATCCTCATTAATAAATACGCACTCCTGTGGAAAACCAACAGTGATGTCCACGGGGCCCTTGAGTACCAAAGCATCATCCCTGAGTAAGTTTCCCCACTGTGTATCCCATGAAGAGATCCCCACTGGAGAATCGAACTTTTCTGCCAAGGGAACAGGTAAAACGCAGGATGCAACCGGCGAACCGCGTGCTGGCTGTAACAGCCGTATGCGTGAGAGAGGTCTTGAGTTGATCGCGTGGTTCTTTCCGTGGTGGATGTGCATATCGCACATGTATCTATATATGCATCCACATGACTCCCTCATTGTAGAGGAGCTTGGCCGATTTGCCGGAGGGTTGAGAAATATGCACAGGCTGAACTGCTGAGCGCACCGTAGGATCCCTATACACCCAATGCATCGTCCTTGTTCTCGTCTTCCTCGCTCTTCGTTGCTCGCCACGGGCAACCCATCGGTAAAAGAAGATGAGAGGTCGGACCTGTAGTGTGTGTGATGAGGAGTAATGGCGGGCAGGGGGAAGTCCATTATTTCGATGAGAGAAAGGGAAACGTGTGTGGTACGAGTAGTCTAATATGAACAGGCTGCACACTGCTTCAAACGCCAAAGAAGCTTACACGATCAACCCGTTACTCTTCACGGACATTCCGCGATACCCATCCGACCTTGGGGTGGTTCCGACCCATACTATCAACTCCTTCCAGAAGATTCTCTTTGTTCCTCGCCGCTTGGTTGGGCTGACAAAATTTCTTTTATTTGCTTTTCCTTCCTTTGCCTTTTTTCTCCGTTTCTTTCTGTTCCTTCCACTCAGCGCGCGAAATCACACTGCGTTTCGTACAGGAAGGCACGCTTCTTCCTCGAGACAGTATAGTGCCGTACGTGTCTTTTTTAAAAAATAATCTTATCCGGAGGACCTATTATTTTATAGTAAATTCTTGCAAAAAAAGGAAGTGCATTTAGCTTAAAGATTTACGGTTATGGTAGCATCTACACATTGACAATAACAACATTTATTGCAATAATAATGTAAGAATATATTTATAATAGTAATAATGTTATGACTGATGATTATGATTAATTCGCAATCGCGCGTTTAATTATCTTGGGGGTTGGGGGGGAGATCCATTTTTTCAGAGATTGTAGACAGGCGAGGCGATCTCTCATTTGAAAGAATGAATTTCTGTATTTATTGCTAAGCTGTAAGAATGTATGTTTCTTGTTTTTGATAAATGAATTAAGTGTTACAGTAATTGGCGGGGTTTACAGGTCGTGCGCGTAATCGCGGACGGTCCTCCTCCGGTGATATGAGTGGAAAATAGGATTCAACGATTAAGACACTTAGTTGAGTATATCGCAGTTGTCCTTGAAAAGCGTGCTTAGTGCCACTGCGCTTTTGGGGAATTTTATAGGACATCGTTTCTTCTTGCATTTCATTATTCGTGCATCTTCATTTTAACCGAAGGGAAGATTCTCGCAATAGAATTTTTTCTTCGTGTAGTGATAGTAGTACTGTTATAAATTGATCGAATTCTGATGAGCTTCCTCTCTCGGCTTTCGTTTTGTATTCTATACAAGGTTATTCGGGAATGTTGCAGCAATTGATCTTGATAGAAATCGAATAGGCAGGTTAACTTCAACTGGTGCAATAGTCCCCTGAATAGCCCTTCAGAAGTAACCCTCTCCTCCTTGCTTATTAAATCCTGCAATTTTCCTTCCAGAGGAACGCGATTCGGTACACAAACCGGCACATTATCACTTATAACGAAACTAAGAAACTAAAACACTTCTTACAATTAGGAAAGAAATGATTACAGTAACAGTAATTGGTTAAACGTTGCTCCGACTTACACGAGTTTCAATTTTCTTCGTTTGTCTTGGGGGATATGTCAAGTAATGAAATATCCATGAAATTCGTGTAGAATGACATTTCAACAGACGATTCTGAACAATGGCGATATCACAGCCTATGTTGTTGCAGTGACAATTTTCTTTCTTCTTTTTTAAATTATATATGTCCCCGCGAATCTTTAAAAAGCAGTTTGAGAACATTGTTATGTATTAGCATTCACAAGAAAATGTAAATGAAAGATGAATATTTAAGTGACATCTCTGAGACAAAGTGACGTTCGAGAAAATCAATAAAAATTTGGATATAAAAGAAAACAAAAAAAGTGTACACGATCTTTGTGCACACGCGAAATGTCAGTTCTATCGCAAAATTTCGTGGGAATCGCGGTTTACAAATGAGAAAACTTCGTGGACGAAACGAGGCAACGGTGCGAGCTCCTGAAGGAACTAAATAAATTATTTACAAAACATTTATTACAAAAAAATATAGAAAGAGAAAAATCATCAACAATCTGTCATTTACGACCGTAGGGGGAATCAAACGGGGATAAGTTGGCTAACGGGATTTCCTATTCGAAAACTGACAGTTTAAATAATAAATAAGCAAATGACAATACGCTACAGCGCAAAGGATGTTACCTAACTGGACTTTCGCATTGAGGAGATACACCCACATTGATACGGTAACATCGTAAAATGCAATACTCATAGGATCATCAATATTGCTTTATCTCGTATTCTTACTTTCATTTCTTTTTTTCAATTTTACTTTTTTTATAAGTGACTCTCAACGTTAAAACATATTAATTAACGGCTACCTCATCTGCATCTTCCGTTGCTGCCAAACGGCAAACTTCCTATATGCTGTGTTCAGCAATTGATTTAGATGGCTCGTTAGGTGTTGACTTACAGCGGAGAATTCTCTTTGGACACGATCCTGAATGCAGAAGGAACAGAAGAAATATATTGATTCATCACTATCTTTTTCGCCTGGCATAAGAAATTTTTGAAAAAATTAGTCTGATCTGCCATACCTCGAAAGGTTTAAGTTTGGCGGAATGAAACCTGTGCAAGGCCTCGTGCATTCGGATGGCCTTCTCCTCGAGTTGTGGTGTTGTCGGTGGGAAACTTCGCCAGAAATGCCTGAGCAATTCACACGTACATACGTAAACACTTCGTAACTCTTTCTCCAAGTCCTTTGGTATCAACTCTAACAACAAAATGTGTTCACTTAGAAAATGCACGAACTATTTTTCATAGATTCCGTTACATCTGTAAAATTAGATACATACGACCAAGACTCTCTTCTCGAAAGCCTTTCATTAATGCTCCACCGGGTGTCAATTCTCCCACGGCTGAGACTGCTGCGGCCGGACTGACTAACGAAGTTGCTGTCTGTCTAGGTAAGCTATTACCACTCAACCAACCGGCTGCTTCCCTTTTTAATTGACTCAAGGTAGCCTGAAGTTCCTCATTTGTAGTTTCTGCACTTCGATGTCCCTGCACTGGTCCATGCAAGTACCTATCTATGTGCGTGAGATTGAGAGGAGCCCCGCAGTTGGTGTTTGTATCACAACTGGCATCGAGATCATCATATATTAGTTTCTCTTGTAATCTAAGCTGTAATGAAAGACCAAGGCGCATGAGAGATAGGCCTTTATCAATATATTTTCTCTTTCAGGATTTCGCAGAAAAGATAGAATGACAAGTTTCCTGGGACAGCCATTTACTATACGCACTTTCTTAGTCTTTGGTTGATCGTCCGGTTGATTAGCTCCTGGAGGTTTACTGGCTGATGGAGTGGAGCCATTTAATTGTGGCTGAGCTTGCGTGGGTGATGTGGCAGTGCTGGCTTTTAGAACCATAATGCTGTGTTGGTTAAATCTCTTTATCATGCTTTGATGCACTATGTTCCCGGATAGCTTGTCCGCTTTTCCAGCCCCCGTACCATAATTTTCATCCAATGTCTTGTCCTCGAAGGCAGTAATATCCAGTAGCGGATTATTGATACCTGTCTGGATATCCTTTTTTAACTCCTGATCGTCTATTTTGGCACACTCGGTAAATAGATCCTTGGTCCCTGCATTTATGCGGTCGCGATGAAAATAATGTGACTGAAAGAACTTTGTCCAAAAGTCGGCTTCCGACATTTTATGAGGCACGTTTTCTTGATGCTTTCTCTTGACTGCTGGATAAGTCTTGAATATACAATCTATTATGTCCACGGTCAAGTTATATTTCAGTCCATTGCACCCGTCCGTTTGTGGTTTGATATCAGCCTGAAGGATAAAAATTAAAGATACTTAACAACTTATTCGATATTCATTCGTATAGAGACCGATTTAAGCTGCAAATTTTTTATTGTAAATTCTTACGAGAAAGGCACTATTAACGCCTATTTCTTGACGCTGGCATTTCTTCGCTTGAGTATAGTCCGCAGCATGTTGAGCCCAGAACTCCTCGGACGTTATAACTTGTGTTATCACTAAGTCACGATAGAGTTGTAGTAACATAGGATTCTCTTGCAGCAATCTGTATAGTAAGGATTCAACAGTTAGAACGCTAGTGTTAATTATATTAAGATTCATTGGATAACTCACCGATTTTTCTCCTCAAGCTCCTTATTTACTTTTCTTTTAAACTTGGGCAGAAGTTGCTGCAGAAGCTCCTTTACTTCATCACGATCCTTTATCTGTGCCTCCTGCCCATTTCTATTTACAAAATGAAAAGTAGACGAGGAACCATCGTGAAGAACAACTTGTAGCTGGATTTTAGATTTTCCTTCGGGTGATATTTTTTGTACTAAACAAAGAAATTCAAGAGTGGTGTATGGTATACTATATCTAATTTTTTACTATTTATTGTAACAAAATCACACTAATTTCTCTATGAATATGTATAGGGGATGTGTTAAAGCTTTTTAAGGTAACATGCATCTAATGGTAATTAACAAAATTATGCAAAAGTATGCATAAATGAACATATTGTAATATGCATTAACTATTTTCATTCAAAGATGGATAATATGCTCATGACATTTTTGTTGAGAACAAATTCTGATCCAAGTTTCAATAGACAGTGGACTTACAGAAGCATGATCTTTTAAAAGAGATTTTATTCATCTTTATTTTAGTATTTACAAAAAACTATTTATGATCTTACACTTAATGTCAGCATATTTGTGACTGACAGACACAGTATCTCTGTTGTCGAGCATCCAGGCTATCCGTTCGTTCATAACATACAATGTACCATCTCCCTTCTTGTAGCGGACCTGTCCTACTTGTATCAGTACATCTTCGGATGATGTAGTCATGGTGGATGTGATATATGATACAATGCTGCTAAAAGTAACATATAGAATATTTTCTTCAGAAGCCACTTTTATGAAAGTCTTTCCACTTTTCCTTATTGACTATGAAAATCATAAGTAATGAAAATTATATATTTAGATAAATGACTAGTTGTTTTTATGTTACTGAACACACATGAAGTAATAAATAGAATTACATAAAAATCATTTAGTGTGACATTACATGTATATATAGCATTTTAGCAACACTGTGATAATGTACAAAAAACGAGACTACCCATTACATGACAAGTATTCTTATGGGTCTCTAAAATGTCTTCAAAACAATATTAAACAATTACATTTAATACAAAAATTTACTTCACCAACTGTTGAATTATTTAGTAATTACGTGCAGATTGAACATGCCTATGGTATATCGGAACAAAAGTAACAAAGATTTCTTTAATCAAAATACTGACTTTTTTAGTGAATATTATTTGTATAAGAATTAGTATAATAATAATAAAAACTAGTAAGCTAAAATAAAAACCTAAGAACCTCAATTATTATAACTATGTAGATTACCCTGAATTAAAGGAATGACGTAAAATTGAAGTCATTTAAATATAAATTGTCTATATAAAACTCAGCCAATTAAAAATATAAGACAAAATTATAAATATTGTACTTTTTAGTGGAAGACTGCTTTATATAGGCACTTCTGACTTGTTTGTCACCGTGTCCTTGAAACAAAGATGAGTTTTCGGAAGGAGTTATCCTTTATCAAATAAAGTAATCGTATTTCCCCAGAAGCTAAACACGACTCGATGCTGTATGACCAAGAGAAAAACTACAATAATGTCTGACAAAAGGAAACGTTTGGTCGACTGATGTTGCGAGGCAAAACATCGAAGCAGTGTAAATTCTTAGCCTAGTTTTCACCGTCTTTAATTTAACAGCGTACAACAAAAATCAGGAAATAATTAACTCCGATCATAACTCACAATCCCGCGATTTTAAAAATCGATGAAAATGACATGAAAAACGTTAATTTACCCGTGGAAAAATGCGGAAATGTGCAGAACGAAGTATAGGCCCGTCGGGAGGCACGGCCATGTGCAGAACCACACATCAGCGGACGCATCGCGAGGCGAAGACGGCTACGGACGGACCGTCGGTACGGACAACACCATCGACCAGCCGAAGCCGAGATACTACTGGACTCAATTTAAGAACTACTGGTTTTCCGTTACTCAAATTCTGTCATTATAAGTTTTGTAAAGGTTTCAGCCAATTGCTGAAGTCAATCAGAGTGAAAATTTTTAACAAATTTCTTTCAACTTCCTCAAGGGTTTAATAGGAGTAAGCACTTCTAAAAAATCAACATGTTCTGAAGACACAATAGTCAGTTTGACTAAATTAGCGTTATACGTAGTTACCTGAATTATCAATAGGTGCCGCTTGCTGGCACAACTTTCATTTTCATTGAGAATTTCTTTCTTAGAGTTTTTTACATTTGCCTTTTATTCCTTTATGGCAATATCATTCGTTTATATCAAGATTCTGTAGAAATCTTCGGAAAACTGTAGAGGAATGAAAACGAATTCATTTTGGAAGATTCACTTGGTGAGGTCTTTTTTCGAATGTCACGTGACTTTTGACCAGTAATTTTTATCCACAGGCTATTTTCGAATGCTGTTAATTCAATTGCATTTAAAGATCGTACTAGTGCATAAATGTTTTAGAATATAATCAGCATATCTTTTCGAGCGTCAATGTACTACTCTTTAACCTATCCACCATGTTATTCTAAAAGTATCTGCTGAAATGGACAACTCAATGAATGTTATGCAAGAAACTCATGAAATTACACATTTAAAAGATTGAAATAAACCCAGAGGCAAACGTAAACGTGTACAAAAATCATTGCATCCGTAATGAAATGCTATCGTAAATAATGGAAGGTATTTTATAACCTATCACCTGCTAAGTCATTATTCCTTAAAAAATAAAGCGCAAGAAGAATCTCATTGAGTCAATAGAAGTTCAATGGGTAGAAGGTTCCTTGGAGGGTTGCCATAGTAATAGAATAAGTTAGTCCAGATTGTGAAACCGACATTTGGTTAGCAGAAAGTAATCATCGTCCGATTCTAATAGCTCCGACAAGTAATGTGGGTATGTCGCGACGGTACGTAGGTTTCGTATAGGACGGAACCTTCTGCGCACATGCATGTTTGCCAAGTGTATAATTTGCGACACGCGACACAGTACACGCATTGTAGATATGACGGCGATTTTGTCCCACCCAGGAGACCATATATCGCTACTAGGCATCTTATCCATGTAATGTACTGTAGAATATAATGGGACATCCGTATATCGCTTGTGCCAGGACTGCAAAATTGTTTAGAATCACTGTTGTGCATGGCGCACGACGAATAACCTTAATAAGTAGCTCGTTTTTCTCCTATATGTACCAAACGTGGTTCTCGTTTACCGTGAATTCTCAGGAATGAACTCTTGGTAACTGAGACTCGTTTCAGGATTCGAGTACGTGGTGCGAAAACAGGATCAGCAGAAAATCTGTTTTGGTTCAGGATGTCCACGAGACACGAGCAGTCGCAGGGGAATGACGCCCTTTATGCGTCATTACGCCAAAGACGAATATGAGAATATTGCAGCTAACAAGTATAACGTTTCTGAATCTTACAAGACCATAAATACGAAGGTGTTGTTAATCAACATTGCTCATAACTGTCAAACTGTTAGATTTGCTTCACAATAATTAATCCTGGCCAGAAATTGGCTGTAGCAAATTTCTTTGTTCTTCAATGACAATGATACAGTTTATTCGAATTTTTACATCTTTTGTTCTCAATATTTTCAGCCTTGTTCGAGAAGTATTAGTAAACGCGGTTACAGCGGTATTGCTCGATTTGCTACTACCATTCAGCATACTGAAGATTTTCCTGCACCATGTGATTATGATATTAGTAGTTGTTCAAAAGTTAAAGAGCTCAAATACCCATTTGCATCCACTGCTAAGAGAAAAACTTTTTTAACTAATAAAAATCCCGGGTAATATTTTTGTTCAATAATCTAAGAAATATTTTCGAAACATCTCAGAGAATTATTTTTTCTAGGCCGGGTATGTATATCAACTCAGGAAAACGAGTGATCACTTTTGATCACAGTTTTGGTGGAAAGATGAAGATGCGTCTAGGGGTCGAATTAAAGTGTTGTAAAAGAAATACGGACATATGTTATATTTGTGGAGAGAAACCCTTTGGTGACTATTGGCATTGTAACAATAAAACATTTCTCTGTAGAGGCTGCATGGTAAAAGAAAGATTGGAACATACGAAATTCACTCAACAAGAATTAAATAGCTTCTATGTAAGATTTGAAAGTTCTTGCGCATTTTTGTTTAAAGTATATATTAACATAATTCAGAGTGAAATCTTTTGTTATAAATTACAGAAATTAAGAGACTGCTCAGATATTCATTCACATGAAGGTACAGATGCAAAAGTTTGGTTGGTTCATCCAAAGACTGTAGAAAAATGGACTCGCAATGAAGCGTACCTTTCTGCGTATTTAAAAGACTAAAATTTGTTTCTTGTTCAGAAGAGTCACGTTGTCAAATATAAATTCAGTGTTACCCGCGCACTGGCACCGTATGTGTATGTACAATGTTGACGTTATACGCGTACAGCGTTCTTTGTACTAAAGAAATATACAAAACATTCTTGTTACCATTTTCTCAATTTTTTAACTATAGCACACCATAATTAATGCATTTTTTTTACTTCATACGTTGAACATTTTCACTATAAAAATAAATATCATTAGCTACTTTTACATTGTAATACATGTCATATTTATTATTATTCTTCATGAACAACATTACAATATATTGTTCTATTCCTATGATATATACCTATTTGAGCTGCTATTTACAGAAAGATTATATAAAAATATCGACATATGATTACATACACAGTAAATGCCTCAAATAATATATACGTATATCTTGTGATTGATAAACTAGAATAATAGAATAATGTTTATAGCGTTTGTATTTCTGTATTTTTTTATACACCTGATATCATTAATTACGTATAGGCGGTAGTCAGTCAGTAAAAAGAGAATGCGAGCACTTCTGACATGTGTATACAGAGTATGAGCATATCAAGAGTATAGGCAATGCATCAAGATAGCTTTATATGCGAGGTTGCTTTAATGGAAATATGTAATATTCATTACCTAATATATCCATCAAGAATAAAATATGATTATTTTCATCAATCTCTGAAAAGATGAATACCAACAATGCACAAGATGAGAACTTTTGACTAAGAAATAGCTTTCCATTCACTTACAGATTAGTATCTGCGGAGTTTGAAATTTTGAAAATGTATGTACTGCTACAAAGATTTCAATAATAACCAAAATAAAAATTTACTGAGCCATTAGTCATGTGCGAATAAAATCTATATTACAAAATTGTGCACATCTTCAAGAGGAGCACTACATTTTATGAAAGCAACAATAGATCTGAAGTACTTAAAGTACCTTGTGCATTGTTTTCATAAATAAAACTGCCAAATACTTAAGTACCTGAGTTACTAAAGAATTCATAGATACAAATTATCGAAGGTTAGACGAACCATTGAGGATTGAGTTATTGTTTATAAAAAAAGAAAAAAAGGAATCCACAAACTAAATCATTAGAAAGATATTATCAAAACATTAAATAAACTTTATAATACTCTTAACTATCTGACGAAGAATCTTGCAGGGCGTCTTGACAGTTTACCATGGACGGTTTCCCAGTTTCCTCAACAGGATTGCCGCCATCAGGCGCCTGCCTAGACACTGCAGAAACTAAGGACTCCGAGCTCAAAGAACTGGCGTCATCAACATCGACGCGCGTTTGACTAGCCGATGATTTCTCCATGGAGATAGTCGTTGTGGAGTCTGTACTATTGCTAGCCATCAACTCATCACATGTAGGCTTATGTATAACCGTTATGTCAATATTACCATCAATATTTTCTGATATTCCAGAAGGAGTCAATCTGAAAATTTCCATATTGTCTGGAGTGTCCAATGAACTTCTCCGCACTCTAGTGTGGCTGGCTGATTCACTCATTAATGACGTATCAAGCTCTACTAAGTTTCTTATTCTGCTCAATCCATTATTCAGAGTTGCATTAAAGGTCTGTGTATATCTGTTATCCAATTGCTCAACAGCTTCTCCTTCGGGAGTGGAATTAAGGTTCTGAAAATCTTGTATCATGCTCGACTGTATAGATACGGCACTATCTATCTGAACATCTGGTATTAGATGCGGATATAACAAAGGATTAAAGATGCTATCCAAGTCCATGTGCCGTACATTAGATGTTATAAGATGTGTAGTTAAATCATCACATTCCGTAGCGTCGTTGTTCTCTTCGGTAACAAGTTCCTCGCGGATCAATGCTGATACTCGACTTCTTTTATGAGACTTCTCATTCAATGATGAATTGGTTGTCGTGTTGCTATCACGAACATTGCTTGTCCCTTGATTCTGTAATATTGCTAATTTATTTCTTGTGCTCTTTTCTGATTCTCCAGCATCTGCTTGCGTAGGCACAGTGCGAACGTTAACTTCCTGATTGCATTTAGCATCGTTCTGAAAGTTATTGTTGTTGTGACGCAAACTCGATATCAGATCTATTATGTTTCTCTTCATGGTGAAATTACCGGAAGGAGGTGGCGCCGCAGTTAATTGGGATGATAATTTATCCAATAAATGACTTATATGAGTCTTCGTTCCCCTTGTTGGATGTTCGCTGTGGTTTTCGCATAAAGATTCGTTTGAGTAACGGTGCGTTTGGATTTGTTGCATGTGATTACCATTTGATAGATTCTGGCTAGAACGTAGATTTGAACTAGTAGAGTAACCGGTGTCTGTTAGATTTCCATCGAAACTTATGGTATTATTGTCGCTCAATATCTGGGCGACTGATCGAGATTGAATATCTTGAAATTCCGTGGGTGTACGACTAATATTCGCCGTAATATTGCGATCCGGAGATTGAGTATTTCTTGTGGAAACTGATTGCCACAGTTCATTATTATGGTAACCACTCAGCGTAGTGATACTTTGGACATTTCCATTTTCATTGTTCTCGACTTCCATTTCTGGTTCATTAGGATCAAAGTCATTTTCAAAGTCGTCGTCAAACGGTGCGTTAGTAACGTCATGTAAGCGCGACTGTAATCGCTTTGTGATTTCATCAAGCTCAGTTAATTTTTGTCTGAAAGAAAAATTCATTAATACAATCAGTATTAAGTATTATTTGTTAAACAAGTAGACGAAAAGTAATAACGGAAACCAACTTTAGAGAAAGGGATAAGAAAGACATGGATGCACCACCAAGTTCAAGTCCTATGTCCGCCATAGTATCTATATCCACTTGATTGTGATTAGTCGATAATTTCTCAATATCTTCTTGATTACAAGATGTTACTAGATTATTGACTGTAGCACTGTTCAGCGTTATATTTTGCTCGCGGGGTGGGAGCAAATTTGGCTGTAATGGATCAGCTAGTTGTGTTTTTGTTATACTTGTTGTGGAAGTTGATTTACCAAAAGTTGAAATATTATCCAGTGGTGTTACGCTGACCTGAAAGTAAACCAGGATTTGAATTAAATACAAGTACTATAATAGAGATATTTCATAGATGCAATTAATACCTTTATTTGACCATTGCACTTCCCAGTGAAATCCATTATATGAAACCATCCAGATACTAATGGAAATCCGGCCGTAAGGACGGATAAATCAATAGCAGAGAATCCAATGACTATATCTTTATCCAAATCGACTGTAGTACTTATTTGGGGGTCAGACAAGCGCCACACTTTTAGAATTAATCTCTTTTCGTCCTAAAGAAGTATAGCATATGGTAACTGCTTCAAAATATTAAATGTGTACCAGACTAAATACTTACATTCACCAGCAATTCTGTAGGTAATCTAGTGTCGCATCTCCATTCCCACTTTGGATTGCAACTGTTAACGCACACATTAGTTATGATGTATGAGCCGAATTGGCTGGAGTAGCCAGATTGTACTTTTTGAAACGTGACGTAAGTACTAGGCTCATAGGTGCCTTCTGGTTTCTCAACCTTTGGCAAATGAAGAGCGCACTCTACCTCGACCACGGCCCTAAACGATGGATCTTCATAGTTTTGTGCGTCAGCATCCAATTGCTCATCACCCGCAGGTTGTGTTGTAGATATTGGATTTGGCATAGACACTCCATAGCTTGTACTAGGTGCTAGGTTCGTTGCTTCATCAAACTCAGCACCAACGCCAACGCTTCTGTATAATTCAGTAGGCATTTGAAAGTTATCCCTAGGACTTCCGTCGCTGCTGTTATCAGAGATGCTGTTGTTACTCGACGGATTCAAACAGAGAGTCTCAATACCATCGTTTCTTTTAATTTCACGAAAATTACCAGTCTGTGTTTTTACAGTTTGATTAGTCCCGGTTTTAGGAACATTTAAGGCCTGGGCCAATCGGTCGACCAGAGCATGAAGGACAGAATTTTGTGTCTGGCCTCCACTGCTCTCTGCGTTAAGAACGCTGCAACCATTGAACACGTCTACGGTGCTGATTTCCGTCTGGCATTCTTGACTCTTAAAATTTTGCATGTTGGTGGCTCTGTTATTTATAATTAAATTGTCGTCGGTGTAAACTCCTTGATTATAATTCGTTGCTCTAGCGTCGTGTGCTTCTTCAGGATCTCCCTGAAGATTGGCTGAACGATGATTTGGATTGCTCGTACAATTATGAATTGTACGTGGTGTCACTATACACTCTCTAAGACCTCTTGTCATCTCTAATAGTGCAATCTGATCGGCTGTACCAAGAGCTACCAGGGCTAATAATTGACCGCAAGATCTTCCTGTTACTGGATCCGCAACAGGAACCCATCCATCAACACTGATTACTGGATACTGGAGAAATTTTTTAATGAGATTATGGACATTTAATTGGAATTATCTACTAAACTTTAATTACCTTCGATAGTAACAGATGCGGCAGTACTAATGGATCTCTATAAGCAACGTAAAGTTGATGAACTGGCAGTTTTGCTATTCCTAGGAGACTATCTACTCCTGCATTACTTCTACTGTATACTTCTGTCACAATACAATTATCTTTTGTACGTTCTAGGACGTCAGGACCATGAAGTAAAGGAACAAGCTAGAACAAGTGTCAATGAAATACTAAATGTCTTACTGTCCATCAAAGAAAAAAATCGTACTGCTAAAAAAGATTTACTTGATGAAAGTGATAAAATGGATTATCCGTATTACTGCAAAGACGACTAGCAGCTCTATCTTCTCTCCAAAATGCACGGCAGATAAGGTAAGTATTTGATTGCGGTAAATCCTTACCCTCAGCAATATATATTAAACCATGTAATAAAACCTGTAAGCGTAAAGCAATAAAAGATATATGAATTTAAAAATGATAAAATAATTTAAAAAATTCCCAAAAGATGCCTGTACCTTATCCTTGTAATTTTCTCCAGGAGTCTCAATGCCTATCGTTCTGTCGCTTCCATTTTGTTTCTTCCTTTCAGTTATGTCTTTCCTATTATCCACTGTTAAATTATTCTCATTAGTTCTGCAATCTATTTGCTTTGTTGATGCTGACGTGGCTCTGCTGTTTGTTTTTGATTCCGTTCCTGTGGCCGTTCTATACCTGTCAGTGGCCAAGTTGACCGAGGAAGGTACTTCCAGAATTGGAATATTTTCCTTCGTAGAATTTATGGCATCTAGTCATACACCAATTTTGTTTGTAGTTCTTTCAATGCAATTGGTACTTTAATGTGTCTACAAAGAGTTAAAGACTTACCCACAAAGTGCTTTCCAAAGTGAATACGTTCACATCCCAATTCTACAGAAACTTTGAGCTCCCCTATTTTAATTCCTTTATTCACAATGGCTAATTTCTGTATCATACTCAAGTATTCAGTCTTGGCCACTTCGTTTATATAGATGGAACCCACGCCAAGTTCTGTAGGCGTTCTTTGATTTAAGTGTCGGATAAATATTTTGAATTTCAAGGGCAGATCCGTGGACAGACAGGATTGTGATATATCGTATATAGCTTGATGATTGAAGTAAACAACTACAAATAAACAGATCTCAGCATTCATTCATCTCCTTTACAACACTGAGCAGTTATCCTTGCATTGATTTTGAAAGTTGATATATACCTTGACCAATTTGCTTTTTTGAACAAAGTTTTGTAGGTCTGTGACTCTCAAATTGCCTGGATGGCTGTTTCGCCCTTATGAATGCAGTATCATACTGTATGAAATAAGTTACCGATAGTGGTACACCATCACCACCTGCAAAGTAAATTAATTAGAGAAAATGTCTTTTAAAAAGAATAGGTTACAATTATATTATCGTACGGAAGAGACAGGAGGATTTCACTCTTCGGTAACCAGCTGAACTTAGGGTAAGTGACTCTATGAAAATCTTTAGACAGTCCACATGTTCTAAAGGTGATGGTTCTGAAAAGAAATAATAGAACGTGATTTTATTACATCCAAATTTTCTTTAAAACTGTTTCATGTTTATAAGACCGAACAAACCTTTTGGTATTGAATGAATTGTTTCTCTGGAGAATATTTCCTCTAAAATTGGATCACTTTTTGTAACTTGGCTAGTATCTTTCTTAAACTCTTGAATTTTATTATTCTTGCAAGATTCTATTGTTTCCGAAGCCAAATTAAGTAGGCTTGGAGAGGGTGACATTGACCTCAGAGTTTCCAAAGCTTTGCGCTCGTCATGATGGCTCATTTTTTTTCCCAAAAAATATTCATAGAGCTTTGCCTCGTTTTCTACAGAACTGTCTGAATGAAAGCTATCTAAAGTGGAACATTCACTAAGAGCTAGAAGATCTTCATTATGTGTCTCTTTGAGAATAACACCTCGCAGTCTTTGGGCTCTAGCTACCACTTGTGCAACAAGTTTATCTGTTACTTCCATATTGAATTTTTTAGAAGGTTCTTCTACTGTCATTCTCTTACCTTTCAAGATTGATTTATATGTGTTTTCATTTTGCTTTGCATTTTTAATAGCAAGTGGGCTACCTGATTTGCAGTATAAAACTGAAGTGTCTCTGTTACATCTTTTGGAATCTTTTAAAACAGAATCAGTACCCAAATATAAATTGTCCTTCTCGAAATGATGTTTCCATAGGTTTTTTTCTTTTGCAGTAGTTTTAGGGAGCTTAGTCATATTTAGCAATTTAATAGCCACATGTATGTCACCCACTCTGTTTCCAGTGTTGTTCAAAATTGGAAAATATCTCGAGTATAACTTTGCTCCAAAGATATCTTGTAATGCAGTTACATGAGTTGTTCCAAGTACTTGGTGCGTATTTTCAGAAATTATCACTAACTCAATAGTCTCACAATTGCTGATGTATTCTTCAAATAAATTAATATTTGTTCTAATGGTGTAAGTCTCTACAACTTCTTCTTCAAGTCTGGTTGAGCCTGTTTTAATATCAACTGGTCTGTGATAAAAAGGCATCATATTTAAAATAGTACATTAAAGATATACAAATATATCGAAGTCTTGTAATATTACCAATTAAACTATTCAATAGCAATCTAAGTTAATTTATCTTTAAAGTACCTGAATTGAGCACTATCGAGTTCACCCCACCAGGAAGCTAGTACAGCAACGTCTCCAGGACTTCTTCTGCACCAGACGATCTCGTCAACTATAAGTTGAAGATACCCGTGTATTTTGCCCTCTACGAGAGGCGGTAGAGATCGGCGCACTTTCACCTCCGAATCCATTTGTCATAATATAACTTATACATTACTGAATCCTTCACCGATCTGTCATCGGATTAGGTTAATTACATTCAACCTTTGACAACACGCCAAAGAAGCGATCGCAGCTTTGCTTAGAAGCAAGTAGCACTTACAAACGCACGTTCCTCACGAACTGTCAACCAATGGAACAACGCGTCTAGAGGAATTCCTTCCTTCCTTTCCATATGGCTGACTCCTCCAATGAGGAGATCTGCCATGTCTAGAGGAATTCACGTTGTGCTATCCGTCGAGAGCACTGAAATATAAGTGCCTATATTGGAACGTGAATGATATTGGTGGGGGCCGCGTAGAAAAAGATAGTGAGGAAACAGGCCAATGTAGTAGACTGTCTCTATTACACACTGTACAGTCTCTCAAAAAGTTTAAGCTGAGATAAAGCACTGCGCAGGGGGGAGGATTATGCCAATATAACCTGAAATAATGGTACACATTTTATTTTGAAGACTGTTAAATATTTTTTCCGATTTTACAAGGGTTTACGGATTACTTGACCGCAATGAAGAGTGTACTTGTATTTCAGTGCTCGCTCCATTGCACCACGGCTAGCACCACTGGCACTGACATGCTGGCGAAACATTTTTGCAAGGCTTGTGCACCACAGGCGCAGTTCAATTCGAAAAGAACAACCTACTACAGGTGCGTTCGACTTATCGCCCGCAACGCTCCCAACATCGTTGTGTCTTTAAATATTAAATGTATTGGATAGAGAAACAACGATGTTGCGGGCGATAAGTGGAACGCACTCTAATAGCGTACAAATTCATTATATCTATGTATATGCAATAACAAAAACATTGTATAAATTAGAAGGCAACAATTAAAATATATTTAATGGTTGAAATAACTAAGCCCGTAGATATATTTTTTTTAAATTGCTATATCTTAACACTATTGTAGCATAACTTTAAATTAAAAGAAAGGATTTTCACAAACACATCAAAAACGGAAAACTTACAAACCAGTTTCTGACCAATAATTATTTACAGAATTTCTGTAGCTATTATAGTGCAATATAATCTGCTTATTACGATGCTACTAAATCGTTTTATCAATGTAACATTAAAAAATATTGACCATTATCCTGTTTTTTGGAAGATATCTTAACCAAACCAATGGTTTCCCATACAGTCTCTTGTCCATTGAGTTTGACAAACCCAACACCACTGAAAACCGCAACCAGCTCTTGTGCAAACAATGTGCATGCAACCGCCTATTGAGAACCAGAAAAATGTAAGTTTGAAATGGAAATTAATCGACGAACAGCAATTATCTTAAAATGAAATTAACTGCTGTGAACAAATCAAATCCTTAACTGATTTGAGGTTTTTCGATCATCATAATCATTAAAGTAACATTCATAGTGAAACAGTTAATTAATAAAGATGTAAAAAATCTTTTAATTCTAAACCATAAAGTATGAAAATTTATCAAAATTCTACATAACCAAAATAGAGACTTCAATTTAGGTCATGAGAACTGTGCGATAAATTTTATTCAAACTTAACATAGCTTTAAATTAATGTGTCATCTTACACACACATAAAATTCAAATCTTCATCTTGAAATGCATCTAAGTGATGGAATCAACCATAAAAACCGTAATCAAGTGTTTTTAAAAATTTAATTTCCTTACTTTACTTAATATTATAATTTACCGTCTCGTTCAGTAGGTGTTCTGCATTTAGGGCATGGTTTTGTTGACACTTTAATTGTTTTCTTACTAGCTTCATCCCATTTTGCCTAAAATAATGAATAAAAATTGCAAAACATGGTCGTCAAAAATATTTACCTTTATAAATACTTTAACTTTATAAACTTTATAAATACTAATATATTCAACATATGTAATAAAATTCAATTAATTACAACTATAACAAAACAACACGAATCGTAGACTCAATACGTGACTAATTCCTTAATGATTTTTATTAAACATACGTCTTTGGCTTTCAATGGATCTACAGCATATGTACCAGTAGCAGGATTCTGAGAACTAGACAATACTGGGTGCTGTGTTTCGCAGTCATCAACGTGAAATCCTTGCAAGCACCTTCGGCAAAAAACATACTGAAAATCATAAAACACTCATTAATAATTTAATATGTTGTTTCAATTTCAATTATTCAATTCCAATAGGATGTTACATACACCACAACCGCCAATGCACTGAATTTTACGACATTCCTCGTCGGTAGTATCAGTGTCTGGAGACTGTGGAATTATTCCCATTCCACAATCTGGTTGTGGACATAAAAGTCCACCAGCTTTTAAAACATATTCCTCTGTGCCAAAACGTTGATACTGCTCATACTAAATATGTTTTTATTGTCAAAATATAATAGAATATATATACACATTTTACATAAATTTAAAATAACTATTGAATTTCATATACCCAATTGAGAATCCCTATGTCATATGCAAGTAAGTTTTTATTTGGAATGTCTTAAACTAAATAAAAGACATATATACATTCATTCAAATTCACTTTGTGCATGCAATATTTGTAAAAATAATTAGGTATTAAGATATGCATGTTTAATAATTATTATGGCATCTGTATATATCCTACCTGATGTGCGTTCAAAAGATGAAAGTGGTGAACTTCCAGTATGTAAGAATCAGGACATCCTGTAGGACATGGAAGTGTATAATACCCATGAACAGTATCAAATTCAAAGTGTCGATCATGTAATCGAGCTGTACAATAATCACAAAAACAGTCTAAACAGGTTACATGGCCTGCTTCGCATGGAAATACCAATACTGTATCTCTGCAAGGAATAGATAAGAAGTGGAAAATATCTATCACATTATTAGCTACTTAAGTAATACTAATTATGATTGTTGACAGGTATGAGATCTACTTTGAGAAATAAACTGTTTATAGCTCCTAATAGTCCCATTACAGTGGTGCTAATCTTACACAATAACTACACTTCACATAGTACATGTAAGGAAGACAAATGAAACAATCACAAATAATATAAATATTCTACATACCTAATATCTGTACAAGCAAGGCACGGGACCTTTCTAAGATTAGGTTTAATCAGATACAATGGTACAGACTCATCAGTCTCACCAAGACTCGTATGGTTTGCACACTTGAAATAAAACTTAGCATATAGAATTTGTGATTCAATTTCTTCAGTATGTGTTACTGATAAAGGAGGCAGACAGAAATCATTCTCACAGTGCACAGTAATGCGCTGTGGCAGTAGTACATCTGGCCAACACTGAGGATCTCGGTCAACAGTGACTGCTCCACTACTACATCTTTCACAGCGTACCCTTAGTTTACCAGGCTGCACAGATTTACATGGTGCAGAACAATAAACGTAGAAATGTGCGCGATTTTCTTCCTGCTCTGTAAAAATTAATATATTTTCAATTACAGAAAATTGCTTGAATACCACTTGTCTATTTTTAATAATATCTATGGTCAGTACATGACTTTAGTGTCACATTGAGATGATTCTTCTACATTCGAACTCGTAAGGTAGTGACCCTTCAAAAAGACACTGATACTGTTGCTCAAAGGAATTATATACACATATGAATTATTATTACAAATGCAACAATTATCTCCACCTTGTTCACTTATAGTGGTAACTGATTCTTCAGCTTCTTCTAGAGGTAAGTCAGTCAAAGTCTCATTCATAGGCTTACTTCCACTTTCATTCACATCAGAATTTTCAGAAGCTAATTCCTCAATTGTGTCTTGAGGTAAATTCAATTTCCGCGTCCGATTTCGACCTGGTTGTGTTCGTACTACATGTAAAATGCTCTGTTGGCCTAAATCACATTCCTGAAATAATATAAGCATAAATCAATTATCATACATCATTATTTCATGCAAGAAATATACTTATTTTAAAATTAGAACTAATAATTTATATTAAATTATAGCTTGCATCAATAAAAAATGCATTAAAAAATCATAGTCTCTATCTCATTATTTGTCAATTGTAGGGTGGTTCGGTTATACGAAGATAGGTTACTTTACTAAAAATAAATAAATATTATTCGTTAATAAAGAATTAAAATGCTTTTTTATTTATACAATTGTATACCTCAATAATTGTGGAATTATGTAATTCTTTCCCAGCTAATATAACTTTCAAATCTTCGGGCAAAATACCAAGCCGAGGTGCTACAACTTCTTTCACGTTTTTAATGTCCCACTTTGGATCCAAATCGACACATAAAGTATTTCCTTCGTTTGTTTTGACGTAAATACTTAATGAATTGGATATTCTTCGTTTGCCAAACCAAAATAGTTGTAACATCCTAATAAATGCATTCAACACAACGTCAAAGAAAAAATTCATCACTTTTACTCCAAGCAGAAATTTAACTTCTTCCTCTTTCTTTATATGTATATTTCAGTGGTCAAAAGTTGGATCGTACGCTTGTGGCGAGCATGATAGGGCTCTTATGGACTACGTTTACGCGGGTATGTTAAATCGGTTTAAGTATTACTAACTAAAGGAATTGACCAATCTTAAATATTCCTTACAAGTAAATAAGTCTATCATTTGTCTATTCCTTTAAATCAGTTTTAGATGAATCGGTTAGATCGTCGGGTAAATGTAGTCAGTAACTTAGTTCCAACGTGCAGAGTTTAAAAAGAGTTAAGCAGACTCATTGGTCAATTCCATTTAACTCCTTTATATGATTGGTTATCTGTGTTTAAGTAATTTTGGAACTTCCATGTTTTCATACATACGAATATTGACGATTATAATTAGTGTCACGTTGGTCACGTTCTTCAATTCGAGTGACGCCCGACGATCCTAGGTTTCAGTCACTTAAATTACAACTTAAATTGAGTTAGGTAGTTACCAAACGTAAATAATAAACACTCAATAATTTGTTAAATTTTCTTTATTATAATTGTAAATTTTATTCTTCATATAATTTTCAGTGTTTTACGAATAATTGCAACTGATTATCAGTAAATAGTAATTGATTCATTTATCGAGAGAAGAACAATACTGCAAGCCTTGCAGGCAATTTGCTATTAGTTTACTGCTTAATATTTATAACCATTTATTGCTGTTAATATGACAACAAAGAAGGATATACTCATTCCTATGGTTTTGCATTATATGCATTGTTGTTCGGTTGCTGTAACAATCGCATGCACTTTGATATTTCGGTTTTATAGGATTAAATAAGACAGTCGATTATACGGAATTTTGACGAGGGGTATAATAATAAAACTGATACGAATATGTAATCTAAATATTTCGTTATATTTTGTACATTATTAAGTAAATAATAAAACAGTACATAAATATAAGAATCATATAATGAAATTGACATTTTACTTAATTATATCATATTCCATCATAAGAAACCAATAGCTGTAATTAAAACTAAGGCTTTACAATTATATTTTAAATAGAATGTATTGCGTATAATTTTTGTTATATAACAATGAATGCTTAGATTTATATAGATTAATTATATAATATATATTGTATCAGTATAGAACTCTGCAAGACATAACAATTTGCTGAATTGACTGTAGATAAACGTGTTTCACACTTCACACATAAGTAATACCAAATATAAAATTGCTTTGGCAATGCAATCATATTCAATACTTTGCTCCTTGCAGGTTATCTCCATTCTTATGGTTACTTCTTTTACAGATATTTATATTTCTTAGTAACGTTGCTAATATGTTTGCATATATTGGCGAGAAAGTAGTTCAAGGCAAGTTAACAATTACAGTATCTGAAACAGTGCATCATCATAGATCTGTTTACTTTTACAAAAAACCTATATTAATTTAGTTTCAGGAAATGTCGTACTTCGTCACATGCAACTAAAATATAAAGTACTATAGGGTAGTGCGATTGTGTCCCACGACCATTCAAAATAAATCACTATTGAACAATATAATATTATTAAAATAGTTTGGCTTTTTAACATGTAATAGTTATGTATATATTCATTTAAAAGTCATATTGGAAAAAAAATTTTAATGGAATTGGATCAAGGAATATAAAACATCGAAATTGATCTGATTTAGACCTTTAGATTGAATACCATGCCCAGGAACTGTTCGTAATGTATTGTGATGACTCCATCCTGATCAGTGTCATATTGACGAAATGCAGAGGTTAAAGTCTGTAAATTTCGATAATCTGTGTTACATTCAGTATATAATGAGAACTAGTATAGAATTCAAAATAATATGGCACTGTGGATACTTACATAAAGAACTATGCAGCATTGAATAAAGTCATCGAAGTAAATAGTACCTCTACCAGCTCGATCGTATTTGCGTATTAGGGTATCTATTATATTGTCTGACAGTCGGTATCCAAAATTTGTTAGAGCTGTCTTTAATTCAACACGATCAATGTTTCCACTATTATCACGGTCAAAAGATCGGAAGCAGTTCTGCCAATCAGTGACATATTTCCATAGGGCACCAAACTCCTCGAAACTCACTGTTCCTGTTTGGTTTTTGTCAAACATACCTGGAGAAGCAGGATCGATTTTGTCAATGTCAAACATACCTGCATCAACAAACGCAAGCAAATTCGAAACCCATACAATCCCGCTTTTGAATCACCAATACCAAGCTTATAATTAGGATATGAAATGTATGGCATGACATGAAAAAGTTATTATTCACACAAACATAACTTACCAATCATTAAGCGAACAGTTTCTGGGTTGAATGGAGTCCATGTTCCATTTGAAAGTGCAACTTGAAGTTCATCAGCTGTAATGGCTCCAGAATGATCTTTATCCACTCTAAAAATGAAGGATTACTAATATGACAGCTTGTTATCAATATTATACCAATATTTCATTTGTGTAACTTTTAATGCAAACTATGATGATTATTAAATTTTACAACTGTCATCAAAATGCATAGATATATGCAAGTATGAAAGAAATTGTAATTGTGTCTAAATGATGAAAAATCGTGTACCAAAGCTTTGAATCAACATGTCATGAATCACTTGCAAGGTCACGTACGCAGAACTTGAAAAGTATTGTAAGAGGATATATTATAAATTATATACCTTTGGAATACATCCCACAGAAACTCGCGACTGGGTAGCGGCGAAACGAAGGACATTATGATTATATTTTCACTTCAGTAATTCCAAAACAATTGTACAATGAAATCGCTGTAAAACTTTCTACAAACGCCCTGTTTGTTTCCTGACCGGCTATGAGTAAGGGTATGAGTAAGGGTCTATGTCTCTATGCATTCATCTAACACATACATATATATAATAACCAGTCCGAATCCGGTATTCCTTGAATTATTCTTCCAACAACAGTAATAATCGAAATCAAATTCTTTCAGGAAGATGCGTTTATTGTACGTACGTTTCAGCGCTTATAAAGTTTCAGAAAAAAAATTATCTCAATTCAAGCAGATATCGTAATTTTATAATCTATGCAAAATTCATCGCCTTCTTGTGATATCTATGTAACCATGATATAACCTCTAAAAGTATTTATCATACAATACACAAGGAATCATGATAATCTTGACAAAACTTATATAAAACAAGAAATGCAATAAACATGCAGTCTACATACTGAACAGTTGTCATTACAAATGGAATAAGAACACTTTTCTAATTAAAAAGGATTCAATTTTATTATTGAACTTTTATAAGGAAAAATATATTACATTCTCAAGTAATGTGTGACGTATACTTACAGCATACGACTTTACCAGAAAAAACTAAGTTCACGCAACAGATTTGTATGTCTATATATCGCCAGAAAAAAAACGACATTAGTGATCTTTTATTTTTTGTATTCTCCACGCGCCTATTCTATAGCGTAGCCATATAAGCACTAGATCACGACCCATTTGTAACCAGCTCCAAAACGGTACGATTTTGGATCCTTCAATTTCCATCCAGTTCACAGCTATTTCCGTTATTGGAATGTTTAACGTTTGTGCTATATAAAGCATCTCTACGTCGAATGCCCACTTCTCCACGTGAAGTGACCGAAAGAGGATTCTCGCAGAGTTACGGGTCATTAATTTAAATCCGCACTGAGTATCTCGAATTCCCCTCACGCACAGAAACCAAACCAAAAAATGGAAGCCATGCATCAAAAATAAACGAAAAAAAGATCGTTTAGCAGTTTCTTCTTTCTCTAGGTGAGCACGAGAACCACATACAACAGCTTGTGCAGTAGCTGTTTTTTCTGGTTCATTTATATAATTGACTGTAACATAAAAAACAAAATACAATAGTCAAAGTTTTATTTAGGTAATTTAAAATAATATACTCTATACTGTATAGTGACTTTTAGTCTACTTACATCCTAAAATATCTGTCATGCTATCGTCCAACTTTTCTAAATCATTGAATTTTGTGGCACCATCGGCATCAGCAAACAAAATTGCACTACCTCGTGAACTTTCCACACCCTAGAATAGATACAGAATAAATGTACTGCTTATTCCGTTAAAAGTAACTTCTAGAAGAAAGCATATGGAAACAAACCAATCTCACAGCCCCACCTTTCCCGCGATTTTTTACTAGAGCCAGCACTCTAACAGTGTTATATTTCATTGCATAGCTTTCTGCAACTTTCACAGTATTGTCACTACTGCCATCACTGACAACAATGATTTCATATGTGAAGCCTGATTTTCGACAATGTTCCAAGTATTCTAAGCATTCATCAAGCATCGGGGGTACTGTAAAAAATATAAAAGTTATTGCAAGCTCTTTCTGTGCATTATTATATATTTTGCAATACCTACATCTCTCTTCTTCATTGTAGGCAGGAACAACCACACTTAAGTTAATGCTCCAATCGTCATAGAGAGATGGAAATGGTTCTTTCTTGTCCATTAAGGCATTATAGAAATATTTTTCATCCTCGTGTCTCCATACTTTTGGATAAGGCTGTGTTGTTATGTATAGTATAATACTAAGCTAAAAAGAAATAGAATTATACTGGAACACATAAAATACATTAAAAGTTCATTGTAAGATAGGAATATCGACTCTCTATATTAATTCTTTTAAAACTAACAAGAATAACCAAATGTCATTTGTGTTTACTACTGAATCAAGAATGATATTTGAACATAAACATAACCTGACTGAAGTGAAACATACCACTGTGGCGAAGACTAGGCCAAGTAAAAGAATATAAACAATCAAGCACTCTAAGGTGATCATCCTGGTGTTAGAGATCGATCAAATGTAACACTTTGAACACTTAAAGTGTCTAAATGGCGTAAATTTCGTGCCACGTATTCTTCGGAGTATTCGCGCCACATGGAAGTCTCGTATAAATGCTGATATAGCAAACATCCATTGCGCACGTCACAACTATGTTTAAACATCGAATAATTCTTCTACCTCACTTTTCTCAACAAATAAATTTCGTAAATTACTTAATTTCTATGATTCAGCATTAGAAGAAAACCAATTTTATTGCACTACGCTCCTTCCCCTGTGTATATTCCGAAATTCAGTACTGTGATTATAGTTGTTTCTTTCAGGTTTCACAAGCAGTGCATGCAAATAAATAAAAATCACATTGCTCGCTATTACTAGCAGTAAATTTTGGAACATGACCTATGAATATCTCATATAATGGTATCCATGACAATGAATTTTCAGATTTTTATGTCAGATAGACATCGTTCATCGAATCAATAATTTTATGAAACATATTTATTTGTATACCTTTACATTACGTATATAATAGTCTAACTATTGTATTAATTAGAAATCAATGTCTTGAGGAAATGTCTTCTAGGGATGATGGCCCAAATGAAAATTCTTCCCAAGCTGAAAAAGTATTTCCAATCCAGCTAATCCAGGAAACGAAACTCTCTAAAGAAAATGAAAAATTCGAAAAAAAAGATAAAATAAAGAGTACGTTAGTCGATGGGACCAAGGAACAATCTCAATCCTCATCGCAAAATGAGAAAACGGTAGAGACCGTATACGCAGGTGTGTCAACCCCATCACCCGTGAGCATATCTCAAAAAGCAAAAGAGCAAACCAACATAGAGGATGATCCTTGTATAAAGAAAGAGATAAAGGAAGAAGTAATCATACATAGATTTAAAACACCTGGTTTGGATCCAAGGTTCACAGTATATTCTGATTGAGGGAAGTTGTGAAATTTCCAAGATGATAACAAGGTCGTAATTTCTATAAGGTTTCAGCAGCAGAATCAAACAATGAGATGCTACGTTATGTACACAGACTTCTATCGATGCGAGAAGATCCTTGGAGAAGGTGCAGAGGCTTGTGTCTGGTTCAAGGAAGTTTTCACTTCTATATGTCCTACAGATTGGATACGCCGTTGGGATGAGCACAGAGCCGAAGGTCGTTTTCCCTGGTTTCGCTATAAATCGCAGGGAAAGTTTCCTGGTGACAGATACGGCGACGTTTGAAAAGTGGAGAATCCTTCCCCATTCTAAGGGATGTCCTGACATCCAATGCATGTCCTAATCAATTTTCTAATAAAGTAGAATCTACCTCAATAGTATAGCTATGGTAGAATTGAAATGTGAAACGATGATATAATGAATACAAGTTTATAGAAAAAAATAATGATTTTTTTTATTACACAGGTACAAGAAGATTATAATTATGAGGTATATATGTAACGTATGAAAATTGAAAGGATCTCTCTGAACACCTTGCATCCTTTGATTCTTGCGACGTCCACCTCCTCGAGCCTCTCGAGTTCTTGAACGATTTCACCAAAGATCCTTTTCATATTTTTGTCGCTGATTTCATTTTTTTTACTCATAATTGTCCGCACTAATCGTCAATGGATTGTACAGCACTTTTTTATATTCTTATACAAAACAATCGTCTCCAATCTTCCTCAAATTTTCATTTTTAGATTTAAAAGTTAAATAACAATAACAAAACGGTCCGGTCCGACACCTGTACCGAGCAATGCGCGACAGCGAGCGCACACCCGTACATTACACACACAGTGAGGCGTGGTTAAATTTGTGCAAAAGTCCTGTGATTTATGAAGGCAACTTACCATCTCGTGGTGTAGCCTCAGCAACTAAGAAGGAAGAGCCTCGTATGTGCTTATGCGTCACGGCATACTCCACATCCCGGATAAGGTCTTACCTGAAAACGTTAAAAAAGTGAAGGCTCGTTTGAGAAATAGCAATCCCTCTAGTCTTGATTATCTTGTCTTTTTTCTTTTTCGTTCAAGAAAAATACTAGATTAGAAAACTAGAATACTTGTGTAATGATAAATGAATAATGTTGTCTCAACACGTTCATTGGAATATGAGAAATGTAGAGTCCAAAAACATTGTAAAAGAAGATGGAATAGAAAGATGACAACTAATTATTAACAAAGTTATGAGGAGTAACCAAGTTAGTTCAGTGTAAGCTTACTGAAGAAGCCGCGAACTAGATATTAGAACCACCTTACGTATGGAAAGTTTGTCGTGTTGCTTTCTGCAGCTTTAATGAGCTACTAGCTGTGTGCGGCATTGTGGTGGACAAATTGACAATCCCCATCGCGACAGGTTCCCATCAGCTCGTATGGGCATAGGATCCCTTCGGGATTTGTGGTCCTGGATGCAAACGAAGAGAACACAAGAATTTTCTAAGGAAAATGCATGACCGTCCTCATTCGTACATCAAATACGAATTCTTCGAACGTAGTGCACCTGCCAGGAGATTACAAGGCAACGTACGCAATCCAAAGTCCCCTACGAGTAACCCACCTTGGTGTCCTCAAATGCAACAGGACAGATGAGTAAGGCGTGAGCAATGACTTCGTCGAGTCCTCGCTCATCAACATCCCGTGAATAATAGGCGACATCGGTGTTTCTGGATATAAACGCTCTTCATTTTTCATTGAAGTAGCCGAGGTACTCGTTAAATCCACTTCCACCCTTGATTCTGTTTCAATTTCTACATTAGTATTCCTTTTCTCATTTCTTGTTCCTGTAGATGTTTCTGTAACGTCTTTAGGTTCAAGAAGCAATATCTTATCCTCTAAATTTGAACTGTTTTTTTCTAATGCATTGTCATTCTTTATTTCTAATGGAGCTGTTATTGATGTTCTATTTAAATCCTCCAGGAGAATAGTTTTCTCAATCTTTTCATCATCCACGCTTTGTTTATTATTTTCCGACAATGAATTGTTCAGATTTATTTCATTCCGTTCTGGAGTTGTACACGCTTGTATGCTGTTCGCATAACTCTCTGATAATCTTACATCATCTTGAGTTTCTGATGTTGATTTTCCTTCGAAATTTTGAATATTTTCGACGAATGGTACTTTCTTTCTCGACAATAGACGAGTACGAACGGCCACCTCCTTTAATCTTGCAGTTAATAGTTGTGCACCATCAGTAGGTACCCTGAAACATAATAATATTTATATCTGCCACAGTGGCATTAATGTTGGTATTTGAGATGTGTATTGATATGAATGAGTTCGATGATATCGAATGAATAATTAAAATGTTATACATATATATTTATATAGAATTTCTTAAGATACTGTGCAAGTCGTACTTGTATTTCTCTCCGATTATTTTAGAGCCTAGTCCGGAACAGATTCTTGATAATTTGTAACACTCTTTACGGCCATCATTGATCTTCTCATGGGCAGCGGTTACTTTTGGTACCATATTGTGAACGCGACTTTTTTGTAACTGCAACTTCTCCTCAGCCATACGCAGTTCTTCACGAAGTCTTTTGACCTCGGCTGCTAGATTATTCTGTAAGTCCCTCTCAATTTCCCACTGCTGAAGTTTTTTAGACATGTCTTTCAAGTCATTCAGAACTGTATACCTAAATCATTGAGCAATAATTTTCTATCAATTTTGTTACGTTAAATAGAATATGACAAAAAGAAAATACTTCGACAGTAATGACCTACCGTTTTGCAACTAATTTTGTCTCCATTTCTGTCAAGCACTGAGACCGCTCGTTTAATGGAAGTGTATTAATAACATTCATTTCCGTTCTAATGTTATCTTTCATGCTGCTCGAAAATCCCCAACTCTTTTCACGTTCTACATTAGCCAGTGAATTATTCTTTGATGAGGTTGCTTTGATACACATTGAAATTGTTGAAGAATTATTCAGTTCTAGAGTATCTAAGAGTTTAACAGTTGATAAAGTAGAGCTTGCTGTATCTTCACTGTCCGCAGTACATTTATCTTCCTGAGTTAGAATCAATGTAGACGCTTCTGAATCTATAGACTGGCTACTCTCCGAGCCTTTATCCACTTCACTGATATTGACACTGTCACTTACTATGGGTCTTTGTAAAGTCTTTGTAATACTCTCCATTTGAGTCATATTATTTTTCTGATTAATACTGCTTACGCTCGCAACTTCATTAAGTTTTACATTACTCTTTGCCTTATTAGAGAGTGAGGATTCGTTTATGATAACCGTGCGATCAGCTTCGCCCTGTTTTACTCGAATTTGAAAAGCTTTCGAAGCTAAGAATTCTTTACTCGAATTATTAGAATTTACAATATTGCTCTTATTAGTATTTTTTTCTTGAGCAATGCTAGTTGAAATTAAATTAGCAGTTTGTGATGTATTCGTTGGAATGCTCGAGTGTACTATTTTATTAGCAGTTAAGTTACTACGTGACAGTGTACTATTTGGTATCTGAATATTTAAATTTGTCATTGACTTTGGCGATGAAGTAATTTTTGGAAATGTAGATCCAATTTTTGGTGAAACATTTAGAATTGATTTCTCAGCTGATTGAGGATCGGATGGATTAGATGAAGATGTCAAGGAAGTATTTTTTGTCAGTATACTGACATTCCTTGGGCCATTGTCCTTGACAGTAATTGCTATTGTTGACTGAGAACCCAGTGCTTGTTTAGATATTCCAGTAGCGGGATTTTCACTTGATTTTGATGTGGCGGATGACACTGAAGGACTAGCGGGCGACAGAGGACCTGGTGAAGTATCTATACTTTTACTACCAGGACTTATTGGTGCACTATTAATCTCTAAAGCTCTCTGCAGCTTGAGTCTTTCATGTTCCAATATCTGCTGCTTCAGACGACGATATTCCTCTTGTCGCGATGCAGGAAGATGCCGGACAGCCTGTAAAAAATAGTTTTCCAAAATATTTGAAAAGCAAAAACAAGAATCCATCGGTTTTTGGGAAAATATAAATGAAAAAATTGATAACTGGTTATGCGCAATATTACCAATGGCGTTGTATGCAGAGTAGACGACATCGTGCGATTACCAGCTGATGAAGTTGGTTGTGTAGCCTTTGGTTTGTTAACTGGGTTAGTTGGATTTGACGTCTTTATCGCTGCTGCTGACTCCTGCTTCTTGCGAACGTCCCTTAGAAATAGGTCGACGCTTCTCTCAAAGTCGGTGGTTGGGATCGCCAAGGGCTGACGCTTCTCTACACTGCTACTATTCGACGTGAGAGCGACATTGGTCTTTCCTTGCTCAGGTTCTGAATCACTATCTGAATCAGATCCTAAATTTATAATAAAACGTTCCGTCGCTGATGTCATTGGACTTAGTGGTCGATTTTTCTCTGTGAATTGATTGTTAAACAGTGTTCTGTTCCCTGTTGTTTTCTGGGCATTATATATTGTTGCTACTTTCTGTAAGCTCAGTTTCTTTTGCACTAAAGTGTTCTGAAACTTCTTTGCGTTGTTCACTACCTTTGTGCTGGCAGTTATTGGTGCCTTTCTTACTACCTTTTTGGGAGGTCCCTTAACTACTACAGGATTTGTTCTTTTTTTTCCAGCTATTGTAGATGATGGTGAAGAATCACTATTCTCGCCAGCAAGAAAGATATTCTTCACGACTTCAGGATCAATTTTTGTTTGCGTTTGGGTTTCCGTGACTGGTTCAGTCGATGTAGGATCCACAGATTTTGTTTCAGATGACAAACTTGATTTTGAGGAAGACTCACTTGACAAATTTGGCGTTTTTATGGCTGATATAAAGACCAAATGTTCAGGAGTCTTTAGATCATTGACATTTACTTTGTCCGCAGGTGTTGAATTACTAGAGGTTGTGGTATCTGAAAGATTTGATCCTACTGATATTGGTTTATTTGTTGGAGTAACACTTTCTGAAGGTTTTGATCTCTTCGCCAGGGATGCAAGTAAAATTGCTCGTAACGCTTCCTCATCCTCGTCCAGGCTACTTCTTCTTCGACTCTCTATAGTGCTAGTGCTATTTGCAATACTTTCAGGTTTCTTATCCGAAATCACATTTGTGGCTGTATCAGCATTACTTTGGGCGGAATTAATAATATTAGGATTAAGGTTTTCGGAAGAGATCCTTTCATCTTTCTTATTAGTATCATTTGTTTTTTTATCTTGAGCCATTTCATAATTTTTATCATTTTTAATATCTTTCACTTCAGATTCCACACGCTTCTCTATGGAGTGTTTGATAGCGATAGCTGTGACATTGCTTTCATCTTCCACGTTTTTCTCATCCACTCCTTTGCTATGGACCTCGGCCTTTTTATTATTAGATACAGTAGCACTCTGCCTTTTACTTTTGTTACTCTTCGAAGGGTTCTTTATTTGCTGATACAATGAAAATAAATTGACATTCGTCTCAGCGGTATTCGATTTCATTGTAGTTGCAACAATTTCCTTATCGTTGCTTGCTACTGCATTAGAAGTCTTTCGTTTATTTTTGCTGGATCTAGCTCTTGTACGTTTTTTACGTATATTATCACCCTCTTCATTTTTTTCCATCGCAGCAGTTTCTACTAGAACCTTATTAGCTCTTGCCTCTAGTAATCCCGGAATTGCATTGCCTGGATCAGTCGGTTTTAAAATCTTTTTGGAACGTTCAGCAGCTGCTACAGAATTGCTGCTTCTCGTAGATATCACAGTCTTCGATGCTTCCGTTTCCGCATGTTCACCGGACACGCTATCATTTAGAGAGTTATTGAATGCTGCTGGTGTAGTTATAGTCAGTGGAAGTTTTTTCATCACTGGAGCAAGTTTTATTGGCTTGAAAAGGGCACTAGTTTTTGTAGCCTCTGTCTCAATGCTCACTGGCTGCATGTCAGCACTTTTAAATACTGGTTCTGCTTGAAGATTAGTGTCTAACTTCTTGGGCGGCAATGGCTGCTGCAGTTGTTTATTTGTTTTCAGTATAGAAACTGGCACCAATGATCTATTAACTAATGTTGGTATTTTATTCAGGTCCTTAGTAACATCCGGTACACCCTGTAAATAAAGAGGCTCCTGAGCCATTTCAGTGATTTCCTTGGTAACCTCCTCTGGAATATGTATCTTCATGCTTTGCAAATCCTTTGGTAGATTAACCTGAAGCTTCGAATTGGTTTCGGTCTCTGGAAGATCATCGAGTGTTATGTTAGTGCTGTTACGGAATGAAGAATTATCCTTGGAAGATGCTGTTGAATTTCTCAGAAAAGCTTTTGGTACGGATGTTTCTGATTTATGTATCCTTGATTCACTATTATTTACATGTAGTTGATGAATCGTATTTTTGGAAGCATGAGAAAAAGCAGTCTTCGAGTATAAGGCGGATCGATCAGCAGGTTGAAAATGTGTCCCAGTGTTGATAGAAAGTCTACTCACTGCAGTTGTACAATTTTGCAATATGGGCTGCATGGGAACTTCAATTAGAGTGCGATTCCTGGCTAAATCAGGATCATAGATAGGCGTATCCGTGGGCGAGTATGGCATATCTTGATTAACGTCCCCTTGCACCTGGTGCTCACTGAAGTGTTCCGTCAAAATTGGAATTCGCTCAATAGTGGAGAAGCCTTGATGGGCGGTTCTCATTGTGGTTGCAAAATCTAGACTGGTTGTTTCAGTCGGATCAGATGGTGAGTAAAGGACATTCGCCTGTATATATGAGAGATTTGTGGCAATATTTCTCACGTGACTATTGTGACTATAGTTATCTTTAGTTGTTAGAATGTTTTGGTGAGAGTTAAAATTTGATATATTGTTTATCGTATTGGCTGTAGATATAAACGACACGTCCGAAGGGTCTATACCGAGCATCTCTGTGTCCATTTGTTTTGAAATATCATCGGTCGGCGAATATGGCGACGTGTCTCGATCCCTTTCTTGCTCCACCTCGCTGTCGAGTTCCATATCCTCAAGATTCATACAATCCTTTAATGTCAGTGGTGTCTGTGGAGATGCGAGAGGACTCTCATACTCGTCGCCGGATATTGTAATACTATCCAGGAAGTTTTGGCTGAACGGACTTTCTATTCGAGATATGATTCCTTGTTGTCTGGTAGCTTTATCTAGTTTTAAACCCCTTTGTACTCTGTTCTGATGTTTCTTCATGACTGCTGACCGAAGAGCTATCATACGTAACTCTAGAGCCTCATTGTCGTTATCGCTTAAGCTTGAATTACACTTTTCTGTTTCTACTTCAGGTTGTGTTTTAATTTTATTCTGTCTCTTTTGTTTTGTTTCCAATGCTTTTTGTCGCAATAAGGCCAAATCCTCTTCATCGTCAGCATCTTTGTCTTTCTTTTCTTCTGTAACTTGTTTATCTTTTAATTGCATGTTAGTATTTGTTTCAGTACTCTTCATCATATGTGTTAATTTCTCCTTAAGAGAGGATCCAATATGTTCTGCATGCTTGTTTAAATTTGATCCTGGAGATTCGCAACCAGTCATTTCCAAGTGTCTTACTTTTTTTAAGAGTTTTGTGACATTTCCGTACATATCCAGGTAGGTATGACCAGGAGGTGACATTTTTTTTTGAACTTTTTTGGACAATATTCTTTGGGGTGAACGACAAGGAGACCGTCTAGGCGATCTTATTCTCCTTACGGGCGACTTCCTCGAAACTGGTGATCGAGATTTCCTAAAGGGAGATCGCATTCGAGATATTGGGGATCTATACCTCCTAGGTGGGGATTTAATGGGTCTTGATCTGGATCGAAGAGGAGATCTTGCCCGTCTGTGTACTGGAGTTTGTTCTCGATGGTAAGATCTGATGACATGACTTTCCTTTCCAGCAGTGGAGTCATATTTTAATATCGTGCTACCACATTCTGTATCAGGTATACTACTTGGTGATGGCGATACAAAATTCTCTAGTGCTATTACACTGCTGTGAGTTCGTCTTTTTTTACGTTTCTTTCGAACCTTACTTGATTTCTTGCAAGTTACTAGAAGTTCCTTTGACATATCAGTGAGGCCAACAAGCTCCATGTCGCTATCACTCGAAATAGGAACGAGATCATCATTTTTCTCCTGCAGTGTAGAGACAGCGTGCTTTGCGCCTGTGTGTCCCGAATCTTTTGTATGATGACGGTTCTCCTTTCCTTGCACAGCATCTTTGGGAAGAATGTGAACTTCTACTTGATTAGAACAGTGATCTGGGGCTATATTTTCACCAAAATATGATAATGTATTGTTTTACATAAAGTAATACTGTGCTTAGTAGGTTACTTATGAAACGTGCAAAGCGACAAATGGAATTTTAAACATGGAATACGATATAAAATGCAATATTTAATTACACAGAGATATGACATAATTACCTTTTTTCCCATAGCTCTTTGAATGCAATGATCTGGATGATACTTGACACCACGTAGCACAACCATGCCTGGATAAGCAGCTTCGACACTGGCCCGCTGTTCTGGAGTTTCCGAAGTTCAGCTGACCTTCTTCAGAAGAACTTACGTCCTCCAAAGAAATTTCGCCTTCTTCTTTCTCATCCAAAACCTCGATTGCCTCGGTGCAGCCACTCGATAAATCGCTGGCCATTTTATTAAACTTACCCAAAACACTACCCTTGAATCCTACATAAGCTCATACCTGCGACTGAGGACGAGTCTTTTATACTACTATATCCTAAGAAAACCAAGGTTAATTGCGCATCCCGAGTCTAAGCCATTGTGATCAACAAGAAGTCTCGGTTCAATATTTAAACTCGCCCGTACACAAATTTCGAATGAATAAAATTATATAACAAAAATGCGACATTCACGGTTAAAGAATTATCTTAATTGCAATATCTACAGTTTTACTTATACGTGCGAAAAACAAATTCACTTATTGTGCACTTTGTCCATTAATCGCCTTGCGCCATGCTTGATCTGACGAACTTGATGGAATGTCGTAATCTGAAGCAATGTGAAGTGAATGAACATCTATTTACTCACCCAGTAAAACAGATACTAGTTGGCTGTGCTCATGAACTGCATAAGACGGTATATAACAGAGACATCTGTACTGTACATTGCCAGACAAGAAGACAAAATTTACAGTTGATAATATTCCCGCAATCTTGTTTTACTTATTTATTACGAATGGAACCGAATTTTACACCAAGATTTTCATGTAGAGATTCGAACAATTTCGTGTAATGTTGGCCCGTATAGGAATCGATTCCACTTATTTTTTTCTAGCTAGGAAGTATTTCAAGAGAAACAATTACAGTTTTTTTTATAACTCTACTTTAATCAATCACACTGTTTACAATCTAAGTAAACAAAAAAGCTCATTAAAACTACTTAATGTATCAATAAATATGTACAGACTAAATTTACAAGAAGACATCGTTTATTTTCAATCGCACCTGTAAAGCGCAATTGTCAGCATAATATTTCGCTTTTTTTCTTCATCGTGTATCATAATTTTCACTGGTATACTTCATCTTTCAGTAGAAATTATCAATGTTCCGTATACTTTAGGATTCTGCATTCGGAGTCGGCGGTTCGTCGGCTTTTGATTCCAATGAGAATGGTGGTATGCGACAATCAAAAGCATAGCCATCTTCACGTTCCATCCGAAAAGTTCCCCTTAAACCAATTTTTTTATAAACTAATTGTCCTAATGCAAACTATCCTGAATTATTATTAATAATATATTTACCACATATGCCCACTGGGAGCTTGCAGACTGACATGGCTGCTATACTGAAAAGCTGGTAGAGTTTTTGATAGTACAGGTTCCTGACCAACAACTCCGCGTCCTCTTACAGTTTCCAAAGTGCCTGAGAGGCTAAATATTCTCCAATGTCGCTCACGTAATTGAACACTCATGTCACCCAGATTTTCCAATCGAATACAATAACGCCACTTTAAAAGATATTAATAAATAATAAATTAACATCCTCCATAAAGGATACAATATAACACAAGATGTTATATCACAATACATATGTATTCATACTACTCACCCAATAAACAGATGTAGTCTGACTTTCTCGACAACCCATAAAGAATGGTATGACGGTTACCCTTATGTTTTCTGTAGTTTCCTTATGAACATCTGAGAGCTCCAGCCATGGATGATTCTTTTTTTGCCACGCTCTGAGAGTTTCTTGTGCAATGAAAGGTGGGTCATTGTCAGGATGATACGATAGAAATTTGTCAAATAATTCATGCTGCAGTGCAGCCTTTTCATTGGTGGTGTATGGTAAAATATCCTCATGTGCAACATAGTCAAGACCAGGAATAGCATATAAACTGCGACTACTTTCATGATTCCCCAGAAAGGTGACTGCTTCCGTTTGGGCTCGCTTTAACCAGCATAGATATGATATAGAATACAGAATCAAGAGAGAGTCAAAATATTTTTCCTTGTATTGTTCAACTTACTATATATGGACAATCTCTTTGATCAATTAGGACTTGATAAAAGGTATGTGTTCTACCTTTCACTTCTTTTCCAACTCCATTGAAATTTCCTTCTTCGATACTATACCATAGAAAATATATGTCTATGTATTATAAATTATATAGTACAAATTTATTTATAGTTCGAAATTATACCCTTCTTTCTTATTTGAAATATCCCTGTCATAGACCCTTGCCAGCCAAGGAAATAATATGACTCCACGATATCCAAATACTCTATGAAGTATCAATTGTCCAGTTGCATATTTTCCTTGTGATTTTGGAGTTTCCAATTTACCCACTTCAGCCAATCTAAATAATAATAAACAGATATACATGATACTAAGTTAATATTAATCTAAACTAGAATTTAGCCGCACTATCAGTTCTTTGTAAATGCTCAACTCAAACTAGTATTTTCATTTCAAGACACGTTACTATATGCCGGAATTTAAATGTCATAAACATTAAACCTTACAACTATAAAGAATGAGGTTAGGTTACTTGTATTTACGTAACAAAGTACAGACCTAATGTATTTAGCACTCTGTACACCGAAGAATTTCTTCGAAATTTCCAGCAACGAATTTTTCAAGTTTCTGCCAAAAAAGCCTCTTGTGACTTCCATAACTGAGAGCAAAATTGCAGATGTAGATCGAATTGTCTTTAAAAAAAATGTGTTCCAGTTGTTTATTGCAAAAAGTACGAGACCAAGAGATCATCACATAGCGGCATCTTTTGACAGTACCCCAATCTTTAGAAATATGCATAGTCTATGATCTTACGACTGGACGGTCATCTAGTGCCAATATGAATTTACTAAAAGACCATAAAATATCGAAAATTCTTTTAAAATGAGTGATGAATGAAGTTGCTCATTTCAATAGCGTCTTTTTATCTTTTATTATCACCCAACTGTCAAAACCTAATTGTTTAGCAAATTAGTAAATACTAACCTCGACGTTTCGTGCAGTTGTTCAGGTATCCGATGTCGAAGGTGTCCTTAAAAATTACTTTCTTATCGAGAACATAACGGATCATCAATATTTTGAATACCGAATTCGCAAAGAAAATCTTCGTAATACTATATAAAGGAAATCCGCAGAGAATAAATTCAAAGTAAACGCAACAAGACAATGGAGCACAATAGAATTCAAAAATTGTTATTGTCAGAGTACTGCGAATTCTCTGATCGCATTCTTGTTGAATCTCCATTTGCGGAAACGACGCGCGAGGGACGCGGCCTGCGGGAAGTCGCCCTGGGCTTGACACCAACGAAATTGGTTATCGCTGCGGACGTCATCGGCAGGAACATAAGTTTCTTATGCCCCCCAGATTTGGATCCCAGCATAGAGAGTTTCGAACTCGTATCGGTGTTCCCGTTAGAATATGTGATCCTGAGTGTTTTTCGAAGAAGACGCAGAAAAACATTGAAGGCAAGGTATACTCCCTAACTGATCAAGTAAGGAGTAGAGGTCCTAAGCTAAATTTAAGGAATTTTCAGGTTTGTAGATGGCAGAGCAAACTACTACGAGTTAGGTGGAATGGAGAAGAAAACCATGTTCTGGAAACTTTGGTGCGACCGTATACGAGAGCTCATGATAAGGAAAGAAAATGGAAGCTCCCTGTCAGAAACTACAGCAGCTAGCTCCTCGAGTAACAGCACTCTGTATTTGCTTTCTTCTGGAATAGAATTAGACGCTGCGAAACAATCTCGTGGAGATAAAAGCGTTTGTAGGGTATGGGCTCATTACGGAGGTGCTGGTGATGCCATAGTATCATCTTGGCCTAGGAAAGATCTCTATCTTGGACCATCTTACAATGAGTTGAATAATGGTCGCTACACACCAGTGCCAATAAGATTTGCTGACGCCAGTCTAGACGATCTACGATATGAACTGGATGATCGTTCACCGATGACCATCTCAAAGAAAGCCTGTTATAGTTGGCCAGTAGATCAGAACTTCCGGCAGGCTAGGAGAAATCAGCGGATGGGTGGACTCTGTGATGTTCTGTTCACTAGAGAAGGCCATGCTACAAAAACTCATTTAGAGTCGGTAACATTTCAGGGTGACTGCATGAAAAATGAGGACCCTGATGATTACAGTTCTAAGATAATAAAATCACAGAGTCCGGAAACGAAAAAACTTGAGAAGCCTTTGAATAAATGGCAAAAGAGAGTGATTCGTTCGAACGAGAAAGTCGTGAATTTAGCGCCAAAATTATCAAGGTTTGGTTTTGGAATAAGCGAAAAGTGCAGATCTGGACTGTACCTACAACCGTGCAGTGGTGATCAACCTTCTTTGAAACCAGCATACACCCTGCTGAATCCTTACAAAATGATCGAAGGCGGTGTTTCCCTATGGGAGGGTGCATCGAGGCAGAGGAAAGTCTCCAAGAGATACAAACATTTCAGAAGATACGGTCTGTCGACAGCGCCTCATTTTTTACATGCTCTTGGACCCTGGTCTGTGCAACCTGGTGAACGTGAATCGGTTCAAACACGACGAGTCCTAAGCGCTGTTAATATTCGTCGTCAGGCAGCAGATCCTGAATTACGTCTTCCCGTATCGAGACGTCAACTGGCTGCCAGTGTTTCCACCACTGCTTTAGAGCCTGGAAGATGTGGAGCCATGGGAACCGCTACAAGAGGGCGTGTAGTTCTCTTCTGGACACCAGAGTACTGGTACCGGCCACGAGCCGCGACTGCAGCTTATAGAGAACTTAGACAACATCTAGCTCTTCTACGTGAGTTTAGATCGTCTAAGGAGGATCGAGGAATCAAACGTAAATTCTTCAGTAAGCGAAAAAGAACTCCAGTTCAAAGTGAATCCAGGGATTCTACAGTGTTTGAGGAAAAATCAGGTAAGATTTTAGGACGCATTTTTTCTTCGACCATAACCAGAAAGCCGCGTAAAGATCAGGAGTCTAAGGACAGTACCACTAGTCAACTACGTAGATTACTCAGAATGGACATGAGGATCACTGCCTGGGATCTGAACAGCAGTACCATAGCTAAACAGCTCACGTTAATAGACCGAGACCTATTCCTTCGTATACCAGCATTAGAAATAGAAATACTGATGTTCCAAAGATCTTCGCGAAACGCACCAAATTTCGGTGCTTGGATAGCGTTCAGTCATCGGATATCCTGTTTAACAGCAAGCGAGATCCTCGCCGTGAAGAAGATAGACATGCGCGCGAGGATGATATCAAGGATGATAAATGCTGCTAAAAAATGTCACGATTTTGGCAACTTTCATTCTTGCCGCTCGATTCTCGCTGGATTACAATCACCACCAATCTATAGATTGAGGAACACTTGGTCCTACCTCCGTGTGCATCATGCCATCAGGTACGAGTCTTTGGAGCAGCTTTGCAAGATTTACAAAAGTCCAGAGACACGTACCTATCGTAGAGCCTGGAGCAGAGCAGAGTGCTGTCCGCCATATATACCATATATAGGTGATCTGCTTATCAGACTCCTTGATACAAATTGGAAAAATCGTTTAAAGTCTAATCCAAAATCGTTTAACCGAAACACCTCAAGATCCTCCACTAACCAGTATAAAGCCTTCTTGAATAACAAAAATACGAAATGCCAGTTGGATTGTCCTAATTCAAAAATTGACAATGAACACGATGTATCAATTAATAAACAAAAATCCAGTTTAGTCAGACGCATTTTGTCTGCAGCCATGACAAGAATCGGTTACAGAAGAATGGAATCCCTCGGTTCATCTTCTGCAAACGATTCAGCGTGGACGTATAAGCAGAAAAGTTTAGCAAGGAAGGTCTACAATCATTGGCGTAGCTACGTCCTGGAACGTAAGATTCTATCCGAGGTTGAGACTAGGCACCAAGGAATGGATCCTAGAAAAAAAATAGTCCTGGATGTCGCATCTTGGCTTGGCGACTGTCAAAGAGCGGCGCAGGGTTACGACTTCTCAGGACACTCCTTGGCCTGGGAATTCCTCTTGAAAGCCAGATACAAGGAGGACAGAGAGAACTTCTTTACAAGTCTCAAACTGGAACCGTACCGAACTACTTGATACTTTTTACAATTAAGACTTGAGATTTTTCTTATTAATCGATCAATAAAATTTGATTGATCATGATACCAATCCCTTACAGTCCTCTCTGGACTGGTATCACTATTAATATTTCTATAAGCATCTGGGCACACGCCTCACGATCTATCTACACATACTTGCTATACTTTATTCTTCTTATATTATACCTTTTAATAAAGGTTTACGCCAGCAATACTTGATATGAATTATATTTAGCAATAAATCAATCAAATTTAACAAATAATAACCGACAAAGTACTTTATATCCTTTTATTCAGAACATAGTGTATACAACGTCATCCTACCCTGGTATTTCTGTCTGTCGTGTGATTTTAATATTAAAATGAACGAGCCTAGATGCGAATTAAAACAAATACGATAACAGAGAGTCGTACAGTAAAGTCCGAAAGTATTCTTTAAAAGAATCAATATAAGTATATACAAACTATAACATTCGACAATCACCACTTTGAGTTTCCAGAAATAGAAAATTATACACGCAATATGGACGAATTAAACGCCTCGTCCGTCAGACCGAAACACTACCAAGACCTTTGGTCCTGACGGTGTGTCGAAACAAAAAAAAAAGGATATTTAATCGCAGACGAATCAGTCTTACTGTACATGCTGCCTATTTGTTCCATGATCATTTGCATCGCAACCAAATTTTCGTTGGTTCGAATCACACTTGAAAAGTCACTGGTCATTACAATAAACATTTTATACCGTTCAGATTGTCTAACGATAGCGCGAGCTACAGTTTCGCAAATTCAAGTAACAAAGTATTTATAATATACAATAAGAAATATTGAAAAAAATGAATAGAACTATCAATTGGTTTACTAATAAACAAGAAGAGCTTAATTAATACTATTAAATTAAATAAATATCCGGTTCTCCATACTTCTGTATTGAGTAGAACTTCTATCATGTTTCCTTTGGAATATTTTGTACCCAATACTTGGATCCAATTTGGACCAATGCAATTAGCTTTTATACGATGATCAAGAAAGTGGTTAAGTTTACATGCCGCCAGGTTTCGGAAGATTTGTGTCGTACGCCCTGATTACATCCGTCTGGGTCACAGAGCCACCTTCCTCTTGAGAGAACGCGAATCCATCTGATGCGACAGCATGCGCATTAGAAAAAAGTCATTGTGAATCGTTGAAAAGTCAGAAGCAGCCATTAATATTAAACATCCGTTAGGACGATGATTAGATTTCGAGAAAGGAGCATGCATCTTTAATATTGAAAAAACTCAGAGAATCGAATGATCCACTGACTGTTTTTTCGTTTTGTCAGTTTACGAACTCTTTCGAGTTAGCGTACTTATTCTTAGTTTCAAATACGCAGTGAGTCTACTTTATGCGTGTCTAAGCGCGTACTGAAAACCGTATGAAATGCTATAGTCGGTTCACGAGTTCAATTTAAAAATAATGAATTTCGTAGCGAATCGGACGTGACTATGCATAACTTCAGTCCCACGAAGTATGCACGTGCATGATTTTTGTATTTTGGGATATAAATTTATGTGATTTTATCGAAAGTCATGTGTTATTTGTTAATGGTTGGATTGTTTGCAAAATTTTAGAAAAATACATTAAACCCGTGGACTGACTATTATAAATCTAGGTTAATTATGAAACTGGTTGATAATTGTGATATATGTACAATGATAAGATTTCTCAGTACGAAAAGCAGCAGCATATGTGATCGAGGATAATTGACTGTGATCATAAAATATTATAGTTTAACCTTTGAAGCATACATTTTTCCTTATCCACGAGTTATGTATCTACTTGAAACTTGGTACTTCGGGAATTTTTAAGTCGTTGATTATGGAGCTGATCTCAAAATTCAAACATTCAAAGTGATTAGATTCCAAGGTGAGAAACGCCAAATTCAAAGTATAACTATTATAGAATTTTCTCGAAATTGAACTCTTCGGTGTTTTTTGAATCTCTGAATTCGAACCGGCAAAAAACATACTCGCTTTTGTACTTTGTAATATTATCCTCATATTCGAAACATTTTGTGTTTTTTTTAAATAATTTTATGTCACTTTTTGTATTTTTAATTTCGGAATTCTGAGCCCACATTTGTAATTGACTACTCCAAAGATCCCCCAGATACCGAGTTTTATCCAAATCACGTCACTTTTTGCACTTTGGTTTCAAATCAGAATTCAAATTAAATTAAATTAAAATTAATTCGCAACTCAAGATAGACGTTAGACATGCATGTGATATTTACATAAAAATGATTACATATTTACAAATCATTGTCAGTGGGTGACGCGCTGGGACAACAATGACTGGTTATCCTGTTCTTTGATTTCTATTCCTCAAGCACGTCACCCACCTGACTTAATACCACTTACGTGATAACTCCACCTCAACATTGGCTCTGGTCGCGGCGTTAGAGCGTCTGGTGAAAACACTTTTAACATTTTTCAGTAGCCTTGCTGTCTCCGTCAATCTGCAATTCGGTCATGTTCCTGTGTTTTTAAGAGATCCTTACCGAAACTCCCCAAGAGTCACGTGAAGGTACCCCCCATCGTATGAAATGCGTGGTCTCATCGCGTACGTCTTTTTATAAAATCCTGCGCGAAGAACGCGAACGGCTCGTTACACATTTTCATCGAGCGATTGTCAAACCGGTGACAATTGAATCTTTTTCGACGAACTCTCATTTTACCTGGGTGGTTTAGCGACAATAACAAAATGAAAACACTATATACACAGTTTGTACATTTACAGGTGCTTTACTAGGAGCTTTGTAGGTATACAAAACTACACCAGCTTTGGACTGGGACTTGAAGGTTCGTTAGCCTCAATATTCATTATTTCTCAATTTGACGTATTACTCACGATAACACAGGTATCGACAGCCGCAACGAAGAGATGCTTTCCTGTCCAAGTCCAAAGCTGGGGTAAGGTACAAGAATCTCGTGCGAGAACTATGTACAGTGCTGTTACAATAGTGACCAGACTGGCAGCTGAATCCAATCAAAAGGCACAGTCCATTGATTAAGGTTGACAAATATACCCTAGGGTATCTCAAAATGACAGGCATCAAGCGGATAAATTAGCTGCTGCTTTGGCACGGTATGATAAAAGCAGAACATCCAAGGAGCAGCTACATGCATGCACTTTCTATGCAGTTCGTAGCATCTTTACTAAAATCTGGAAGGTCTTATTCTAGATCATCACATTGCTACCTACTAGATCATTTATGAACGTTCTACTGGGGTACTTACACCTTGCGAGGTCGACGATGGCATGCACAGGCCTGCATGGGTTACCATGATTGTTAAAACATACCAAATACAACACATGGCATTAAACGGTCTCATTATCAAATTAATGGATGGTACACGTATCTCCTAGAATTATTCGTTAATGTTGTACTACTGTGCCAGGCCATTCAAATTCTCCAAGCATCAACTATTCAACCCTCATACTGGATATGACACATACGTTGTCCATCGTCATTGACCATTGTCCAATTATGAAAAATTGTTCAAAAATCTTAAAATTTGTTCAGGGTGATGATGCACCCCACTTTTGTATTTGCTTTGAAGACTTGTGTTGATAAGTACTTTTTTTTTTGGAAAAGTGGTTAAATTCATAGGATTGCTTATAAATTGATGGTTCTGAGTGAAAACTAAAATTTCATGTGATTTCATTGAAATTCGTAAAACAAAATTTCAGGCTGCTATGAGACGAAAAGTGTTAGTGCGGTAGTCGAGGTATTGAAAGCCCAAGAACTAGCTCAAGCTCTGGATGAATTATACTTTTTGGAAGGGAGCTTCACACATCCTACATAAACTTAAACTGCTTCTATTCCACTTTACAATGCTCTTTGAATTTTGAAAATCGCTTAATTTTTCAAATAGTTATAGTCAATTTTGTAAAAAATGTTATTTTTTCCTTTTTTTTTTATTTTATAACATTTTTTAAATTTTATTCTTAAAAAAAAATTGGTTTACGCCATTGTTTTCCATATTAAAATACAAAAAGAATACAGTACCCATTTATTAATTCACTGTTGACAGGAAAAGATTTTATCACATGAAAAGGTCGGGGTGCAATCGCACCCTATATTTGCCTGATTAGGTAGCGATAAAAGATATATGATTTCTAGGTATAAATAAGGCACACACTTTGATTGTCGATATTGCATCCGATGTAAATCGCCGCGTACTAATACCCAAGGAAAAAAAAATAGTTTGCAAAAGTCTTGTGTATAGCTTGAAAATCCCTTGAAACTGTAAAAAAAAACTTGCCACAAATTTTGTAAAAAGCTTTCAAACACTTGTTGTTAAAAGCAAGCATCCTGCAAGCTTTGAGAATAGTTTACCTTGTATTACCTTAGCGAATACTTGCGCCTAACCCTTGACTACATCTTTGACAGTTCCTTAGCAAAGACTTGCTTTTAAATCTTGCTTTTACTGTGCTTTTACCTTGGCAAACACCTGCTCCTAACACTTGGCTATTTCATTTTTTTTTCTTTTTTTTCATAATACTTAAAAATTACTGGTACAAGTTGTCTTTATTATTCACGTTTCTCATTATTTACGAAAATCTTTTCTTGAGGCTTTTCTTAATTCTTGATAACGGCCATTCAACAATCTTCAGTTCATCAAAATTTTACATTTATTTCTCAAAAAATCACTAGTGATCGGTAGCATTGCGGATAACATGTGCGTGCGTTTTAGGTATAAGGTCGCTGGCTTGAACCCCCCGGAGTTAGGTAGGAAAACTTAGTTCGAAGGAATAATTAAAGTACCAATGCCAAAAAGGTCACATGGGATAATAAATGAATTCCCGAGCAAAAAATATACATTCCTTAAATTAATAGTTGAGCCAATTACGTTTCGATTCACTTCACGAATTATTTTTCTCTGTATGAGCTGAATGCCAATCTTTTGCCTGTGCAAAATTTACTTTGTAATTACCCAATATCATACTATATTCGATATATGAATATTTTCACGCGTACAATACGAAGTGCCATTCGTATATGAAATGTAGAGCTATACCACTGGTTAGCATTTTGACTCTCTCTTGAAAAAAACCTTGACAGTCTTCTTGTTTCAATTTCCAAGCGTTTGAAAGCAAGCTCTCTGGAATCGTTATTACCAGCTTATTGCAAGGCAAATTTGTTTACTAGGATCGATACGGTTTATAAGACCTAGGCCATTTTAGAATCGAAGAACAGTATGCACAAATAACTAAGCATTTAAGATACGTATCTAGAAACCTTATTACTTAGACTAATATAAGTATGCATACTTCACTTAGATTGGGATATAGTTAAAAAAATAAGTAACAATAACATTAATAAATTAGCGGTACCAAAGAGCACAGCCCTAAGGTACTAAAAGTTATAGGAAAAAAAATAAATTCATACGTTTTGACGATTAACTAAATTATTAAGGCATTCATGTCGAAAATTAATCACAGTGACGAGTACACTGTAATACTGTAAATGACGTCGAGTAATCGGTATACTAATCGCATAAGTAATCGTTGGACTATAATACTTATATCTTTATCTGATTAATTGATTCAATTAGTAGTGATCTACCGTGCGTGATCTAATGAGAAATGATTAAATGAAAAAGTGCGTCTACGCGTTATCATTGCATTGATTTCGTTTTAAGTATACCCATTCTAACGTATGAATAATTGGCGGGGATTTGGAACCCGTGACTTGGATCTTGGGATAGACGGATTTCTGGGATGATTATTTAAACGGTAGGTGTATGGTCTGGACGATGCGGGAACCATGAACCACGTGCCACAAACAGGAACGGGAACATTCTCATCCTACTTCGTCTTCGTGATGGCCAGACCCGTAGCCGAATAAACCGCCATTTCCTTGAGCTCGATCTCCTGTTTCAATTTTGATGGTGTTGAATGAAGCGAATCTCATTTTACTTTATTTCTTTAACTTTTTGTTAGGATCTTAGTAATGAGTTTTGATAAGCATATCCAGAGTGTCTCAGAGTTAATGATTTCTATATGGTGACGTTAAACTTTGAATAATTCCAAATCCAGAAGCACTTGTCAGCTTTTTAAATTCTATTGTAGTTTGATTTTCGAGATATGCTAAGATTAAAATGAGCAATCAAGCGCACATTCATTGGTCATTTTCATTTTAGTATATCTTGAAAACGAAGCTGCAATTTCAAAAACTGATAGGACCTTTTAAATGCAAAACTCTTCAAAGTTGAACATCACGCTATAGAGTTCGTCAATTCTGGAACACCCTGCACCTTTGATCTTAATTCGAAGATGAGATGAGAATTTATCGTGATAAAGCAATACTGGAGCTAAGATCATTTATAAGTTAATTTTGTTTCTTTTTCATAGATTGTTTTCACAGTCACGAATGTCTATGGTATAACAGGAATATTGAAGGTAATATCAGGACACATTAAAAAGCCATGCATGTCAGATCAACCGCAGAGGAACTGGTAAAGGAAGGTGGCGACCACGTGTATATTTTGTATGTAACACAAAAATTTTAACAGCATCAACTCCCTCTAGAAAATTTATACTGATTCGGGAACGTCTCCAATGCCCACCGTACACAGTAGCTGTCAAATATGACATAAAAGACTGGGTCTTACTATACATGACTTCATAAGACTGGGCTTTCTTCTTTTACCAGTATCTCCACAAAATTGAAACTCGTTAGGATGATATACCTCTATAACATTTTTTAAGCTGCTCTCCCAACTTCATGCATCAGGGACACTGTCATAAGATTCATTATGACTTTTACATAACCATACGTATGCACATTGGCACTCAAACAATGATCGCTATATCCACCCAAAGTTAGTAACAAAATTATTAATTATAGCGTATAAAACGGAAATTGTGTCGTACCGTAACTATATCCGTTTTAATATCCCCCACAAACAATGAGATAAACGTAATGCACTTATTAGAAACAGTAACAAAAATTAATATAAAAGAATCCGTGCTGTGCTTTCTCCAGTGAATTGTTAGATGAGACGATAAGCGATATCATTTAAAATTTCAATGACTTACGAGCTCCTGTAATCTTGACTGTTGAATATATCACCAGGATCAGATTTTCGTATTTCTTGTTCCCTAGCTGCTTCCGTGACCGACTTCCACATTGTGTTTTTCACCCTATACCATTTGTAATCGTATCACTTGAATATCAGAATAAGACAAAAAAAAAACTTTTTCACACTCACGCCTTTGCTGTAACATCCAGAAGCAGCACTGCCGGTGGTATAAGAATTAGTCCCAGCCAGAATACGGGTGACGTGAAAAGCATTCTGTCATTGCCTAGCATAACAGCGCCAACGTTTAACGCAGGCCAAAAATTGCTGAAGGAAAGAAAAAAACGAAGGATGAATTGTAAATATTCACGACGAAAGTAAAAGCATTGCGGACACCTACCTGTACATGAGTATAAATAAGAACCATAATATAATAGAACCCCAAGTAGCTAAATGTGTAACCCACGTCCAAGAATTCGTGATGAGACCAGCCTTGCCGCATACAGTCACTACGACATACTGTTCCAGAATTAATTAATGTAACCACTTAATAAATTATAAATTGATTAGAGATTGCTATTAATCAATTGATTGACTTACTGTATAAACGACATTTCCTAGAACGAGATAACCACCGTCACGGCCGTTACTCCATATTACGTCTTGTTCCAATGCCAACAAGGGTAACCAATAGAGTAGTGACGAATGGACGAGAGCATTTATTATCCATACCCAAAATACCTAATTATACGATCGTCTTGTTATAAATAAAAATCTGCTCCTTAGATATATAAATTAGTTAAATCATATACATACTTTTATATTGAACATAGATTCTGCGGTGTTCCTAGTTGCGTATAATCTTGGATGGGCGAGATGTGTCTCTGCTGAACAGACCTTATCAAACAAGCCCATAGCCAATGGTGGTGCCGCAGTAAATACCTGTATTTTAAAGGAAAATATATATAAAACAAGACGAAAAAATGCATATGAGTGCATTTGAAATATGCTTATATATTTATCATATTTTAACTTACCACGTTGTAAAGACCAATGGACCACCTTTCGAACAGAATCTGACCGGACCAGCCGGAATAAATGGCAAACCATAATTCAATGACGTAAAGACAAATATTTTTATAAAACGAATATAAAATTAATTTGCACATTCTACTGTAGTTCCAAGAACCGTGTACGAGTAATAATCGTTTTAAGAAACGAAACTGCGCTATGGAATAATCCGAAGCACAAGCGGCTTGAAGTCCTTCCACTCCTGAAATACCTACGATTCAAATCAAAAATAAGTTTTATAGATCTTTTTTCATTTCTTACATAATGTGTAAGTAATTGGATTTTTTTTCTAACCAACACCGATATGGGCTTTTTGAATCATAGCTACGTCATTTGCCCCATCACCAATTGCGAGCGTCACGGCTTTTGTGTTACTTGTGATAAGATCAACGACCTGCAATGCTTTGTTACATTACTGACGTTGAATTTATTAATTGTGAATCTTATAAATAAATATTTAACTTAAAGAATAGATTACCTCAGCTTTCTGCATTGGAGAAACTCTACAGCAAATCACAACCTTGCAGGAAGTGCATAAATCTAGAAAATCTCTTCTGAGGTCACACGACAGTGCATATTTCAGACTGTTACCATCTATTACCAAGCCAACATCGTTTTGGCACCTCAAATCTTGTCCAAAATCTAAACAGTGCTGTATTATGACCTCCCGCGTTTTCTAAAAATCATGAACTATTATTAATATTCTATAAAAAGTCAACAGATCTGTATTATTTGGTATACTTACATCAAGCGAATACTCATTTACTATAATGAGAGGCATCGCTTGTGTAATAAGTCTGCAGGAGTAGCCAATATTAATTGCAGTTTCTTGTTTATCACCTGTTAAGACCCAGACGTTTATTGCAGCTTGCACTAAAGACTGTATTGTCTCTGGTACCTAAAAATGTGCAAATATATTATATCTGAATAGACAAAAATAGTCAAATTATTAAAAAATTAGACACCCCAAGAAGAAATTCATTATCTAATAAATTCTAATAAATTCGCATACCCCTTCCTGAAGTTGATCTTCTATCGCAGTGGCTCCCAATAAAGTTAACTTTGTCTCGATAAGATTTGCAGCATCCTCCAGTTTAGCTTCGCGATCCACCACGCTGATGGAAGCTTTGTGGTAAATTTCTCGCCACCACTACAAGATTAATCAAGAAAATAGCAGGAATCAAGAATAAACCATAGAAAATTTTACCTGATAACGATTTTCTGGAATGTCTGCAACTGCAAAACACAGAGTTCTCAGTCCTTCAGTAGCAAAACTCTCCAGGTGACTAAGGGTGCTCTCGCGAAAGTCATCTAGGCCTTCGTTATTAGGAACACTAGTGTTCCCAGGTCGTGACGCCAGTCTCTCATAGATAACTGAATCCGCACCCTTGCAGAACAGTTTGATCTTTCCTTCAGGAGTTCGCACTATTACTGACATTCTTTTTCTAGTAGATGTAAATTCGATTACGTTGAGAATTTCATAGCGCTGTGTTTCGCCGAGCGCCAAGATCTCTACATAAGATGGTGTGCGCGTGTTGAAAATATAGCCGAATTTTCGTGCACCATCCACAAGAGCTCTTTCATCTGATTGAAATATCATCAGAGAAATCATTGTCATTAGATACTGTACATAAATCCATGCAATAAATAAGAGATAATGAAATGTACCTGGAGATGCGGCATGATAAACAACACCCGTATCCAATTTTTCAGGAATAACTGTGTGACAAACCGACAGCATTACCATAAATTCATGTAAAATGGCAAATAAATTGAATGCTTTCATATCACTGATGCGAGAATTTTCGTCCTTAGATCTGCCTTTCATTATATCGTTAACCAATTCGCTGTTAGGTATTTGATCATTTATATTCTCTGCCGCAGGACTAGGCAAACTAATACATTGTATTATGATAAATACAATTGAAATGATATTTGAAGAGTTAAAGCATTGACTAACTTACTCGTATAATTTACCAGCGATCGAACATCGCTTAAACTCCATTACGTTCCGTGTGAGCGTACCAGTTTTATCTGTAAAAATATAGCTGACCATACCGAGCTCCTCGTTAAGATTGCTAGTGCGTGCCATCGCAGGCGTGTCTGTCTCTGCATGATACATCTCAATATCCATATTGATAAATGTTGCTTGGACAAAGCGCACCACTTCCAAAGTCACTTGCAGTGAGATTGGTATTAGATTATTGAATAGAATAATAAACGTCAGGAGATTAAAGGCAAAATTTTTGGTCATTGCCTCTGAAAATTTGTGAGAAGCTTAAATAAATTTCTTTCTTTTAAGTATCAATTTGCATATCTCTATATCTACTTAATTAAATATATTATTTACCATGCAGATCCAAGTACCAATGACCCTGTCGATTAGCATTGGTCCAAATGGCATTGAAGATCGTGGAAATGAGACACAGTAGGAGTAGTATAAAGAACAACATTAATATTTGCGTATTCGTTAAACGATCGAGTGTTGACCTTTTCAACGGCGCTGCACTTGTGTTATTGCGCATCAGTTTAGTATCGTGTCCCGTGTATATGACTACACCAAAGATCCATTTGGTGTTCCTCAACATGGCACCACGTAGCAACAGTTGATCAGGACCCAAGGACACGCTCCTATATAAAGCGCAGACGTAATTCCTCGAACCAGTTATGATAATAGTGAAATATCATTGAAACTCACTGCTTATTTGATTCACGTAGTACACCGTTGAATTCGTAAAGATGTCTATTTGGCGGTTCACATTGAATATTGCCGCGAAAATTCATCAATTCCGCAGTGTCCAATAAAACAGCAGTATCGGGAACAGCCTGCCTTATTTTCAGATTTGTCTCGCCATCTAGATTAGCCGTTTCGATGAAGGACATACCCTGCGGCTCAGAGGAGGAGAGCAGAATCAGATCAGCTGGGAAGAAATTATTGTTGTGGACCTATTTAAGGAATATGAATTCTGGTATATAAAATAAGTTATTTTCTGTTTCTGAAAGTTAAAGATATAACGAACCTTGACAACGTCACCAACTGCCACTGCATGCCACTGTATCCATTGCCAACGGCTATCTCTAAGTACTTCAACTTCTCGCATATTTATCTCGTCGTCGGCTCTGTGTCGTTTCTAAAACAATGGTGAATTTCTCAAGATTTCACTGAGAGAATGTACGTGTCGAAGAGGATATAAAGAATATTAAAGGCGAGCTACCTACAATGTCCTCGATGATCTCTTTCAAGGCGGATACACTCAGGATAAAGATCAGCGGTACAAGAGTTGTATATCGTCCAGTTGGTGATACGTCTGGTATTTGCTGATGAAAAAAGAAGCCAGTTTGAATTGTTTCCAAAGAATAATATTATTGAAGCGCGATATCACATATAACTTTACCTGCATAAGCGCGATGAAAAGGAAGAAGCAATTGCTGTAACGGCGAAATTGCTCGAACAAGAATGATGGTACGAACGTCAAGATGGAATATTTCGCTGTTGTTATGTGGTTATTTTTGTACTTGGCCGGTTGATGTGGTGCATTGACGAAGACAATCCTTTCGTCTTGATCCTCCTGAATATGAGGTGGAGTTTGACCCTCAACCTGGGATCCACCATTTTCGGCTCTGTTGGCACCAACTGTGACAGATGGACAAGGAGAAATTAATTATCAAGATATTCCTTTAGAACAATACGCTATTGAAGTATCGTCGACGGCGTCACGCCGCGGCTGCCACCTGAAACGATTGGATGCAATAGAGGATTTTGCGGATCTTCGGAATTCGAAACTTTAAACATGAAAAAGAGATTTACTAATTGCAAAAATTGTGCACGCTGTGTTTCATGCGTTCCGGAATACAATGAAACCAAGAATCCGGAGTTGCATTTTTATTTATTTTTGGGCCGTCAGTGGGAAGTGGAAAGGAAAAACAAATTGAACTCCGCAGCGCTTCTAACCTCGTAAGTAACTGATACATCAGTGGTTGATTTAATTTCATTTTATTCAGATTTATGCTTGGGGTATTTACTCAAATTTGTGAATGATTTATTATTTTTTACTATTATTTTGATAATTTTTTTATTATTGATAACATTAGGTTTACGGGGGACAGCTATGGACTCCGACTGTTCACAGAAGAACTTGCAGCTTACATTTTGCTGGGGGAGAAAAGTCGAATGACCCACCAAAAAAAGCATACCTATAATCCGACGACTTTCCTGCGGACTGTATTCGAACCTGCTTAAAGAACGACGACAGAACCGAAGGACGTATCAAATGTCAGAAGCTGAATACTCAACTTCAAAGGCTCTTCCACATAGTAATAATAGATCAATAATAATAATAATGACGACGCAAAGAAACCATTCAATTTTTCGCAGATCCGACAGATAAAAGCCCTAAAACTGAAGAATTTATGATTGAATCGGATATAAGCTCACGACTGAATACTGAAACTAAAACAAATTTTCTAGAGACTGAATTCTACGAATACACTTTAGACGTGTTGTCTTGCTGGCGGGACTCGTCTCGTATCGAGGCTTCGACGCAGGCAATAATTGCCATTACCAACAATTCAGTAGAAGAAAAAAAAACCTAACGTTCCAGCAGTAATCCTGAAATTGGCAATGAATGCTAGCATAGGTGCAGACAACGAAATGAACTCGGGATTTTTAGAATTTTAAGATGTAAAAAACAAAATGGACACGAAGCAACTCGGCTATGTGACACTAGTACATTAAGATACAAGTGCGGGAAGTTGGTGATTCCTGACGAGTGTGGTGTTAAACGTCACACGAGTAGGAATCACCAACCCGCATACGCCTATCATATACTATTTTTTTGCAATTCTTTTAAATTTTATCTTACCAAATTATCCTGGCTAACCAAAACTCTTTAGAAAGGTCTCTCCAAAAAAGAGAATTACTTCTTTATTTAATTAAAATGAAATTAGGTCTGAGTTTCGTAGCAGTGGGATCCATATTTAAATTGTCGAACGTAACTGCATCGAGCATATACCTCAGTACATTAAAAACGGTATTTACGAAAACACAGGCATGGATTTTTTGACCATCAAAGGAGGCAATAAAAAAACTATGCCTGTGGCGATTGCAAATTATCCGATTTCCCGAACGATAATTAATTGTACAGAGCTCCGTAACGACATTCCACCTGCAATAGAAGAACGGCCATGTATATATTTGAATTATAAAGGAGGTTTTATAACAAAGTATCTCGTCGCAATTAGCTTCTGCAGATTAATAAGATTTGCATTGAAAGATGAGTAAACGTGACCGAGCCCTTAATGGACCATCCACATCAAAGGCAAAGGCAAAGGCAGCGAGCAGCAGTCGGCGACTAATGGACAAAATGCTTTGGGTCTGAGTCATGACGTCACCGGCTCGATTCTGTTGGTTCATTGGTCACTGCTATGCTACACTTTCTGCACTTTTCAAAAAAGAACAAGTTCTCATTAGTTACTTAAAAATATCATCCAATAAAAATATGCATTTTTTGAAAAGTGCAGGTAACGAGAACAAACCTCTTAATTCTATTACAATTTAACGGAATCTGAATCGCGCCATCGACAGTATGTCCGCTAAATCACAAGGTGTCGAACAATCTGTAAAGATTATGTGACAAGCATCAATTTCGAGGAGAAGGATTTGAGGGATGTACGATTTTAAAAACACAAAATGCTTTTACGTTAATAATTCTTTTTATTAGTCCTATAATGGTCACACTGTTTGTTCTCTAAGGACAGAACTGCATAGGACATGAACAGACTGCCGCTACGTCCATATGACGTATATTCTAGCTTCTTTTGTGCTCTCCCATTGGCTGTGCGTCCGGCCAATCATACGTTGTCCTAGACGATGCCCGACGCGTCTGGAGGCGACTTAAGGTCTTGCATCATTGCTTTACGCGTGAGTTGAAATTTTTTAATTCACGAATCTCAATGTCTTTCCCAATGCACTCCCGTAGTTTCGTGGTATACCCCGTACTTGCGAAACGTGCTCCGTGCTCCCCATGTCGAGTGATTGACTTCCTTATTCAATTTATGCTTCAAGACACGCCAATCGAAGCCTTTGGGAGCTGAGCTACAATCGCCTGCAGAAGGTACGGTCCATCGTGGTAATTACGTCGCCGTACCTTTTCTCGCTTTGCCATGTGCGAGGGATGTAGGCAGTTCCTTACCTTCTCACCGAAGCGTTCATGGTAGATACAGAGTCCTTTCTGTGTCTTGTCTGTTCCTAGATCTTGAGCATGAACGGTTGGCTTTACCGCTGCCACGTCTATTGATGGCCTTTTCAATTGCTTCCAGGCGCTTGTTCAAGCTGGCGAAAGCTGACCATGCTGAGTCGAGGCTGCTATAGCCATCTTCTGGAACGGCGCATCTTCCAAAACGAGTAACGCATCTCCGACTCTGGGAGACTCTGTGGCCAGATTGTACCCAAAGCTTTGTCGTTAACTGGACAGTGTTTTCATCTCTCTTAGCATGTCTGAAGGGGTTTTATAGTTAATCTTCATTCCCATGAAGAGCTTGTGTAGCCGCTTTTCTTCTGACTCTGAAGCTCTATGAATAGGGGCTTGCTTTAGCGCACCATATCTGCCTTCCGCAGATGAAGCTTCTATGATGTTGACCACCTTCTGTAAAACTGTTTCGTCCAGATGACGGACAACCGCGCCGTATTCCATTGCATCAGCACGTAAGTTTTGAGCCTCGAACTCAGCTTCCAATTGTATAAATCGAAGTGAGAGTTGAGCGCGCCAGAAAGTTGATTATTTAAATCGGCGAAATTCGTTCGTTAGAATTTTCCAGGAGCTATGTAAACTGTCTGGAAAATTCGTGCACTCCGCATCGACCTCTTCATTCTCTACTGGTATTTTGAACGAAGGACTGCGATCGTTGGCTGGGCAATAACTTATTAACTCGATTCGGTTATCGTGGGTCGTTTCAGACCCAAGGCATTTTTCTTTTGTCTCATTACTCAGAATCCGTGTAGCCTGGAAATATCTATCCCCACCCTAAAAAAAACTTTAGGACTAGAGGACCCTCTGTGCTGAATTGCGTTTTCCCATTGACTGCCTGACCTTCGCAGTGAACGGGTCAAGTTTGCGTTGGATCTGAAATGACCGACGATAATTTTAACTTCGGTGCAAACTCGTTTTGAGCGTTTTTGAATTTTCATGAACTTTATGAATATTTTCGGAAAATTTTTCTTTTTTTGAGTCATATATTGATTTTTCAACTCTTATAGCATGACGCAGCGTACATTCCGTGAGAACGAACCAATGTTGCATCAAGTGTAGGTTGGCCATTTGCGAAGAACACCGTTACCCATATTGTAGAGACTGTTTGTAATTATAACTTGATAGAATTTAAGGCGTGAACATGACGTTATTTTTTTCTTTATGAATAAAACTTGTATACATCGAAATATATATAGTTATTTCTTGAAACTTAAAATTTCCTCTTTCGAAAAAAGCACTGATTGGCACCTCAAACTTAAGCATTACTTTTGTTCCCATCGAGTTCATGATTTTTTTTTTTTCGTAAAAATACGCTTCTTCAACTTTATAATGCAATTTGAAATATTCAAATATCTCGATTTGTTCAAAAGTTATGAATTTTTTACTAAATGTCTGCATTTCCGAGAGGTGAGTGTGTTTATCACTAAAAATAAAATATTTATTAACATTTTTTTGCAATCATTATGATGTGCCCTTAAAAGAGAAGTGTTCAAGAGTGTACAGGAATTTTACCAGATTTTTTTATTGATAGTTGAGCGTTTTAATATGCCTTGGGTCTGAAACGACCCACGATAACCTGAGAAGGTGCCAAAAAAAAGCTATAACCTGATCGGGTTAAACTGAACCAATCCGAAAAGCTTATTCATCACTTGATCATTTTTGAATCATAACAAGGCTACTGATCAATAACGCTCTGGAAGTTACGTCATTGGCAGTGACCTCGGAATGTATTATGAGACTTCACGTTCATTAATATTCTCAAATTGGTTCACCTAATATTGACCCCCTATTGGCAAATTGATCATGCTCTCAATTCGATGGTACATATTATAATGATTAACAATACTAAAATCGTAATGGAACAGCTGGGAGTTATTATGAGAACTTTATTCTGAACTATGCTGCATATTTATTTTATCTAAATGATCTAACATTGGTATTTACGTTGCAGACAAACAAAGCACTCTATAAAAGCATCTATAATTCTCGTATACTATCTAGAATAACAGTGCACAGAACAAGGACAATGCGTCAGCGTGTCTCTATTTACAATGGCAAAGTTTTTAAATAACAATTAACAGAAAAGAAAACAAAAGAAAAACGTTAATTTTTAATAGCTGTTTCTTGAATCCCCTTGCGATTCCATTTCATAATACTTCAATAGTATTTACCTTGATTAACTCTCAAGGGAATTATAAATAAATATATGTGAACATAACTAGATAAGACAATACATATTACACGTAACGCAATTTCTCCAATTGGTCTAAATCGAATCAACTTACGATTATGCGCGTGCATATAAAGATTCAGCCGGGATCTCAGTACGTTGAACCGCTGCACCACAGTCTCACTAGCGAATTCCATTTCGAATGTTCTTTGCGAAGGACCAGTTCAATTAGGTTCGTTTAATTTCGACCGAGTACACTGATAGCACGCCAGGCTTATACATTCCATAATGATAACTGATCAAATAGTGTCACAATCACGAAATATTCAACTGTAGCGTAAAGGTACAAAAAAAAAGTCCAACAGTTTCCAAATTTATTTTATACCGAGAAGAAACAACCGATGAACTCCTAAAGGTATCAAACTTATTAAAAGAATTGTTATCCATTGAAAGTAATTGCCGTTTGATAAGATTGATCAGACTATCTAGCCAGTGCGTATAAACTCGAGGAATCCCAATCAGTTGTTCGAAGGTTTCTATTAGGATTAAAAGGCGTGACCGATGTACGCAAGTCAACGATAATAAAGTGACGTCACTAAACAATGACCATTCTTACTCAGAAATGATTTCTAATCCGTCAGTGAAATGCTACAATTAATGTGTTTAATAATTTCAACAGTATCAAGTTACAAGTATCTTCGATAAAATTTGAGCCTATACTGAAGTTGATTATGAAAGACTTGAATATTTCCATCTTATAGCTGAACAAATATTAAATGAAACATCCATGCTCTAGCACCGTAGTAGAGTGATTAGTTAACAGTTCCGAAATGTGTTTAGTTATTGAGAAAAACAAGACAACGGGCTCGCAGTTGGTGTCAGACGCAGCGTTGATCGGATAACGATCGTAGGAACGTCGAGTTTACGTCACTACGTAGAGCCGTTCGTGTGGCGCCACACCCCGTTGAGAACGCATGGTACTTTTTGGTACGATAACCCACTGACTAGAAACACGTGTATCAGCAGAAACACACGAGGAACACACTCACTCACTTCAAACGCCATTGACGATTCTCATACACGTACAAATTATGAAAACTAACGACACAACGTCCTCAAAGCGACCCGCCCTCTGGACGGCCATTTCCGAAACTACGATGCACGAAATTACTGATGTCTCCTCTCGCGGGAGATTTGACTACGACGTTATTATTTCTCGGGGTTCGTACCCATACACATAGCTGTGTATACATTAGTTCTTCACCGACAACCACAAATTTATTTCTTCATTCTCACCGACTCGTACCATTTGAATATTTTTCTGTTCGATTACTTTTTCCGAATGGCGATTAAGCTCACGTCTTCACTGCATTTGTTGCCCTTTCGATTGGCAGGGACGACAAGGAGAATCAGGAAGGCGTACGGTATACGAAATACGGTAAAGAGTTGGTGGGTACGATCGTTTGGCCTTGTATGTATGTCTACATATACAAGAGCAGGCAGAGGGACGCATGCGCCCAGCAAAGGCAACAAGTTGATGCCTTAACAACGCGGTGCTGAACTCTATTGGACCTGGACGATAATGTGCGCCCATAGTATTGTCGATAAAAATATTACCGTGGCACACAAACACGAAGCCAGGGATACCCCCTTGGACATCCGCTCGACGTCAATATAATTGATACACAGAATATATGTAACGTATAATAACAATTGTTTTCCATTTAACTTATCCCCAAATTAAATGAAAACACAAGCACCCGTGCAAAGCGATTCCATACATTCGGAGGACAAAATATTAATTCGGCGCCATTGGTGTTTACGCGGAATTGCTGACTGCTGGTTATATACGACCAACTCTCTATAGAATACTTATATTTTATTATTGATTAATCGGAGGCCGCCGAGGGTAACTTTGATCTTTTTATCACTAGGAAACGCTAAAAGCTTACTTTCTCTTGACTTATGTGACATCTTCACGGACACAAGACACGGGTAAGATAATCAACACAGCCTATAAGCTTTTTACAAGGAGATGAGAAACTACGTGTGGATCAATTAGAACAGTGCAAAATTGTATTAATGGCCGTGGACTATAATTCACCGCGTGATGAGTAAAGGTGATATTCTACTTAACACTGCGAATTATCAAGAACCCACGAATAGAAAACGTACAACACATGCAACTGTGTCCATTCGTCAGAGGTCATTGTCATTATGTCAATAGTGATGAAAGCATCGTCGCCAGTCGACACAGTACACTAATCTCGCTCTTTCGCACCCTCCCGCCGGCCTCTCACCTTCAGTTTCTTTCTACTCCACAAGACTAATAAAACTAACAAAGTATTCCCAAGTACTCGCTAACAATCTATCTCTTGTAGTAACAGTTTTTCCTTTTCGCGTGAGTTCAATTGCCATCACTAGAAATATTAACACGGTTAAGAGGGCCCTCCGCGTTTGCCAGTATACCCAGGAAGTCGTTGTGGCTCGTAGTCGTAATTAAAGGAGCACCAAATATAAACATACATTCCCAGCTACGAACCTCGACGACGCCGATAATTGCATAAATCTTTACTGTAGGATCCGCGCCAAAGGAAGAATCAAAGTGTCAAGATCCTCAAAATTGGCACACGGACAAGAACGGAAACGGAAAAGATTCGTCGCACTTTGGAATGTGCCAGAAGCTCGTGAGAAAATTCACAGAGGATTCTGTGAACCCACCTGGTGCTGCTATCTCGCCGGGCTCAGTTTCCTGAAGTTCGATGTGTTCCCGTGTCCTTCTTCGGCCACGATTAAGACGTTGCAAACGTGCACCGATATTATCGACGTTATCGATGTCACCCAGATCAATGGGACTACCGATGATATAAGGCCCAATAGCTTCGATGGAGTCAGTGACCTGCTCCTCGGGTTCTCCGCTGACGGGACCATCCTGACTCGAGTTCTCGTTATGAAGATTGTTCTGCAAGGGCGTGCCATCCATATGAGGGATCGAGGGAAGATCCGGAGGAGTGAACGGTCGCAACGGGCCAGTGTTTGGTACCCGGGGGTCCGCCCTGGGCGACGGTTGCATCTGTCGAGCTGGGGCCTGAAACAGTATACTTATAAGAGTTCGACCAGTAGCAGGTATTCCTCTAACATGCTATGTAAACCGAGAGGATAATCGATTCAGTAATGTTAACACTTATGATTAATCGAGTGAAGTAATATACCGAGCAATATGTATTTTTCACTAAGGGATGTAACCGTTACGTAATATGTATACTTTATACGTATTACATCACTGAGTGTAAAATCATAACATTGCCGATACATAAAGATATGTAAATATTACTTTGTGTCTTGCTAACTAAATTTTCAAGGGTTCTATGCGCAAGCCAGATGCAGTGTAATACGGAATATTTTCAAGCAACGTTAAGCCTGTAAGAAGGGACTACCTCTCTTTGATTTGCATTGCATGTAAGCACGGTCGCTTTAACTAATTAGCTTTATCTTGGTGTTGTGTACTGTTATTCCGTTGTGATCTGTAGCGTAATCTTACAAAAGTTTACATACTTCCTTTTCAAGGAAAAGTACAAAAGTTTTGAGAAATAATAATTAAATTGTGGATAATATATATCGTATCACTGTTAAAGACCCACAAGGGATAACGGACTAAGGCATTCTCGAATACGATAAGATATATTGTTACGTGCCACGTATACGGCCGTGTGCACCACCTTATATGCAAACGTCGATTACATCTCCACTGTGACCGATAGAGGGACTGGTGTTGAGGACACTGGATGTTATTTGTAAAATCTTTTTGCCTTTGTCTTTTAGTATATGTCATAAATGTATCTATGTATATGGCTGCGTGTTCGGCAAGCGTTAAAGGTCGGCGTATCACACTGCACGACAACCTCGACATTGTCGCTCACTTTGTGTACACGAAAAATGGACGCTTTTCTAAACAAGAATATGTATACAGTAGAACCTCGATTATCCGAGTTATTGCAAACCGACCCTGGTAACCCGAATAATAAAAAAAACTTGTATAATACAGATGCAATTTTGTATGAAAATAATAGTACGATTTATGTAGTTAGGCACGACTAGTCGTATCTACTACGAACGAGTTATTGAATACAGGTCGCACATAACAATGCACGTCTTCACAAACTCTGAATAATACGGACTACCCACCTGCTGTAGCTCGGATAACAACGCAGGCTCACGCGAATAGCACGCGAGTTCGAATGAAGCAAACTCGAATAATCCGGGTTCTATTGGTCTCGTATCAGCAGGTCATTCTTATTGTGAAATTCGGAAAAAAAACACTCTCGCTAGATGTCTCGTCGGACGCGTTCAGGGCGGCTACCTAATCAAATGTTTAATTTTCCTGTTAACCGGGTCTATAACGTTTAATTAATGCGAATCGTGTGTGTCTTTGCTCTTAGAAATAATTATTTTCCTCTTCAAGCGATAAAAGGGTAACGGAAATCATTATCAAACTATTGGATTATGCTTAAAGAGATTCTTTTTGTATGTAGCAGTATATAAACTTGACAAGAATATGTTCTTATGTTACTATTTTTTTGTAAGTTTTTCATTCATGAATTTCGCCATTTTAAAAACAGTCAGAACATCTACTAGTACTTTTAGGGATATGAAGCCAAGAAATGACAAATAAAATTTTTAAGACGGATCTTCTGTGAGTATCGATCACATTTCTTGTGCGTTGATATTTGGAATTATTTTAAAGATTTGCTGTCCAATGATAGAATTTACATGAAGGCATAAAAATAGTGTACGTTGAACCTTTCTTTAATATTCTTAATTTACCCAGCGTGTAACGAATATATACCCAAAGTAAATGGACACAATAAAAATTAAAGCACGTGCCACTATGCCATTGATGCGCCTAGTCTAGTTAAACACTTAATCCATTTCTTCTTAATTTGAAGAATACTACGGCTTGATAACTCATTACTCTCATTAAAAGACATTAAGGATATTTGTGCCGAACATGCGGGAGAGGGATGAGAGAGATGGGCTGCGCCGAATGCGTTAAGCATACGAGAGAGAGAGAGAGAGAGAGAGAGAGAGAGAAGCACCTTCGTGACTGCGCTAGAAAGAGAAAATAAACGAAAATCTTTCGTTTGTTCAACGAATCTCAAAGTTTATTCCGTCAGTTATTTTTAAATTTAGATACACGCTGTCAAAGTATCTCCTCCGATCTGTTAGTTTTCAATTCGGATCAAATAGAAATAGGCTAAGAAAATCGATACGGTTCATTGTCGTAGACCGGTTCTCCTGACTTTCCACGTAAATCTGCGTGACTTTAGGCAGACGCTGTTAAAAAAATAACCCAGACCGTTAATAATTTTTAAAAGTTGTAAAAAAAAATTCAGCGTACTTTTATCTACAAACTAGCACTCTTCCGACACAATCGAAGAGAAACTACTTTTGGCACAAATACCCTAAAAGAAGTAAGTCGTTCTGGTGATCTCATATTTGAATCTAGAAAAAAATATATTAAACCTTCATTGGTAAGAAGAGTTCTTAATTTTCTCTCGAATATCGTTATTGTTACTCACAATAGAAAAATGTAAAATATCAATTACTCTATATTAAAATGTCAGAGTCCCAGCAACGAATAATAAAATTCTACGCTTGCCAAGAACACAGAGTGCAGTGAATTCCTATGCTATTCTCCTCGCAGTCGAATTGGCCGTGGCTCTATCCACACGACTGCTCGCACGTGCACGCAGCACTGGGCCACATGACTCGCGTCACTGGCAACTATGTATAGCGAGGAAATAAGGTAACAAGTAACACAGCCCGAGAATGTTTAATCGCTTTGTCGATGCAGCAAAACAAAATGAACGTGTTAACAAGCCATAAGGATGCTAATAGCAAAGGAAGCCAGAGTTAGGCAATGTAACTACCAATAGCCATAGGGGATGAGGGGGATGTAGATACATTTCCATTACTTACTATTCTCAGACGTGTAATCCGAGGCGGATTGACGGTGGATGTACTGCCGCGATTGCCCAGATTTATCGCGCCGCGGATGACCGGCAGTATCCAACGAGCGAGAAGAAGAAGAAGAATTCCGAAAGCAAAGTAACCCGGAATCGTCGCGAGAACGATACAATTACTTGATTTTCAATTAAGTAATCGCACTAACACCAAGTGCATCTCTTTTGTATATGCGGGTTAAAAGGCAACTTCGGCAAGTTAACGTGATAAAGATATGGGAAAAAAGAGAGGTGTAAAAATTCCTTAAGGCACTTTAGGTATCCCAGAGCACAAATTCAAGCAGCAATCTATGCTGCCTGTTATAGTCTTCCGTGCATAGGACAGAATCACCTCACTGTCGGGCGACTTCGCCGAGCAGTGCAACCGTCGGGTCACCATAAACGTCAGCGAAACAAACGATTAACACGGAATAGATCAGTGATGCTTGATAAGATTCACCGGATATATAGTATATATATATATCAACACTCATGCGGTAAGTAATAAAGTAAAAGAGAGAAAACATGAGCGAGATGGCAGATGAGAAAAAGGTGGAAACGCGTGAGACAGAGGGAAAGAAAAATAAAAAATGGCGGGAACGAGATGAAGAAATTCGCAAAAAAAATGAAAAGTGCTGTAAACGGTCTAGTCTTCTCTGCACAATTTATCGAGCCTCCGTCGATTAAAGTATTGAAACGTACCCAGGGTGACGGCTCTAGAGCTGCCACAGAGGCGGCTTGAGGCCAACTGCCAAAAGCTGCGTCCTGTTCTACACACGCGGTCTCCTCCCTATCCCGGCACTCGCTCCCCACGCTCAGGGCGTTCTCTATCGATAAGAGGGTATTCCACCACCTTCACCTGAAAGCCCCGCTACTCTTCCGTTCTGTCAGAGGACTCGCCCTTCCTTTACTTCTATAGGCAGGTAGGGTGCCCATCATCGACGCGACTAGTCCTGATGCTCTGTCGGCGTAACACGGGAAAGCTTTACTTAAGCTTGTATCCATATATCTCTCCATGTCTATTTCTATTGACGTTCGGTATACTTGTATATCACGCATATCTGGCTACACGTGGCTGTCTAATGTGAACGTACGTGTTAGATTTGATATTCAGCACGATATTATTTTGATTAAGAACCATTAGTTAGAGACGTCAAAATGAATTCGTAGTGTATTTTACTTGTCAAAGATCTTAAAATATAACGGTCACGTCTGAACTGTAGATTTCAGCCTGAATAGCCCTGTATAGTCTCACATTACTATATATACAGTACAGCATGAACTGTCCTGAAGGACAACGTCGCGCTCTTCCGGAACTTGGTCGACAGGTAAACCTCACGTAACGTGCCCATCCCAGTCGATGAGGATGGCCTGGGCTTATCGTCACTCCCGTAAAACCGTCAGAGTCCTATATTAAAGAACACGCGATGCACTCTCAAATGTATAGTTTCTGTCCGATCTATAGTTTCAGCTAACAAAACTAAAATTACTCATATGTAACTAACGGTAATTAATCACTGTTTTTTGTCAATTATTAAATAAAGATATAGGTATAATCGTAAACATTTGTATACTCTTCTTCTTCTTGGTCCTATTGGCTTTATGCTCTGTCAGGGCCAAGTGCCAGAATTGTATCTTGAGAATACTTATTGATCGGGCTGTTCGTTAATGAAAATTATTCGCACAAGGAAAGCACGTATATAAAAGTGTTGATTTTTATCGATTTCAAGAACACAAATTGCTTCAAGCCTAATTTTATTGTCATGGAAGCCATGTTCCGGAATACATAGAATTCTATACTGCGCCTTAATCGTACTACCGTTTCTTTCCTATAATTTTCACTACACCTACCACGTCCAGAACACGTTCTATTCTTACTCTACACATTGTATATATAGCAAATGGTAATAATCGATTCAACGTTAAAGATCATCGTGGTCGTGGACGACAATTTTCATCGAGCCAAGTTATGTCGTGTGGATGACCTTTATACGAGAACTAGGTTTCAGGGTCCTGGCAGTAAAGGATACACTGGTTAAATGTCATTCGGGGTCTCGCACTGAAGGCTTCTCGGGTTACATGTCAT